CAGTATGAACCCTTTTTTTCCTCCTTCCCTGTGTTTCATCTTTTACTGATTTATTTAGTGAAAAAGGGGGGGTGCCCTCTCCCATGGATCTGCCCCTGTAACCCATGTAACTTCTCCGCTGGATCCTTGAAACCAACCAGGAATTCCATGTAACATCTAGGCTGTTGCAAAGGTGAATCTATATAATTCTGTCAAACTGAATGGTTTATGTACATTCTATGGGATTAGGGTTAATCCTGTGTTGACCCTAACCACCTAGGCCCTTCTAGAGGATACACCCTCAATCCTTCAAAATCTTCCAACTGCCCCCATAAAAAATTGGGTACAGCGCCAATCCTCCAAAATCCTCTGATACTTCTTAAACATATTCTGTAGAGGGGTGCCTACTGCCTCGATCCTTCAAAATCCTCTAGCAATTCCTCTCATTATGTTGAGGCAGTGTGAATGGTATCAGTATGGAGGAATATGAATTTATGCATGGCTGAGCATGAACAACACGAGGTCTAATTCACAACCTTGAGACAATCCCATCTGTCGCATTCAGCAGTGCAATTTTGTCCTGCAGCCTCAATACTCTAAAATCCTCCATAACTGCCAGGCGGATTTTGAAGGATTTGGGATGGTTAGGGTTAATATACCTAGAATTCCCTAGGAACTTGTGAATTTGGCAACTCTGCTGTATCCATGTGTGATAAAGGAGGCTTCAGACAGGAACATAGATACATCCATGTAAGTCAACATGTGTATGAGGGTACTGTTGGGTCACATGACATGTGAGAATCCCAACTAAGTTCATGTCGGTCCAGGAAATGAATCAGGGATTCTTAGACGAGCTATAAATACCAGGAGCGGAACGTCAACAGTAGGTGAACAAGTGTGACATTATGCACCATTGTGTGACATTATAGAAAGGTAGTATGACAACACAAGGCTTCAGATTTGACATTTGTAGCATTTATGACAAGTGAGAGAATAATAGGCTAATTGTTTTGTAATGAACTCTAAAAAGTCACATGATCCAGCCACTATTTAATGGGATTTATTTCTGTGCCAATATTGCTCTATCTCCTTGAGACAGAGGAAGATTGTGAAAGACCTAAGACGGTTCAGAAGAACAGGTAGCCATTGATGTAAGTATCTAACGCTATAACACAAGCAAGAAAGTTGAATCCAGGCGATCAAAACACGTGTAAGTGGAAAGCTATCCCAAAGTATGCATCAACTTACCATATCCGTTATTGTTGGTAATTTGCGGTGCTCCTGAAGCCCGTGTACCTCTACTTGGCGGAGGTGGTGGAGGCGGACCAAGTGATGAACTATTACTGCCTACGATTGATGGCGGTCTTTCTCTTGACGGGGGTGGCGGTGGCGGCGCACTTTGTGCCGGACCAGATCGCGATGGTAGAGGGGGCGGCCGACTGGATGGGGGTGCAGGTGGCGCTGGGCCACTGGAGACTGGACGCCCGGTGTTCCTTGCTGGGGGGGGAGGTGGCGGTAATCCTGACGGTCGGGATCCACTGTCGCTGGGTGGAGGAGGGGGTGGAGGTCGGCTGTTTGCGGCCCTCGATGGAGGGAGTGGGGGTGGGGCTCCGCCAAAGGTTGGTCCATTTGTTTGGGATACATTCTGCATGGGGTCTGGAATTGGGGGAGGAGCCGGTCTTCCTGCAGGGGGTTGCCTGGAGGGAGGTGGTGGCTGTGGTACTGGGGGTGGGGGCTCTCTCGCTGGGGGAGGGGGAGGGGGTGGCATACGCCCCAAAGATTGCCTCGTTGGTGGTAATGCTGGTGGCCGTGATGATGATGATGGTGGTCTTGGGGGAGCCTGGTCTTTCTGCCTACCGTTTGGAACATTACGCCCAGGTGGAGGTGGGGGCGGCAGGTTTCCAACTGATGGGGGGCGTGGCTTATTCTGTTGAGGAGGTGGAGGTGGCGGGGCAGCAGAGTGCCCTCCAGAGTTGTAGGCAGGCCTGGAATTCCCCCCTTTGATATCATTCATCCAAGACGGTTTGTTCTGTGTTGTGGTAGAGTCCCTGGGCAGCCCTGGATGGCTGGGTAGCGGCCGGCCATGCAGTTTAGGCGAGGGAGGCTCTTGCCGGTCTGCGTTTTGTAATCCTATGTTGGAAAGACGTTGGGAAGGGGGCTGAGTATTCCCCGCTGATCTGCTTGGGGGTGGAGGCGGAGGCTGAGAACCAAACTGTCTACTTCCTAGCGACTGGCCGGGGCCACCTACATGATTACTTGCAGGGGTGTTCCTATCCTTGGCACCTATGGAAAAAGATGCAAGAGATTTCTGTTAGGACACTAAATGACTCTCAGCACACTGTACAATCAAAGCTGCTTACCAAGGCAGCATTATAAATAACTAAATTTGCAAAGTAAATAAACAGCAGGATGATTTATTTCCATGGCTTCTTCCTCTTGAGCAGGGAAACTGCAGCATTGGAAATACATGTATGTGTGAACGTTGCCGACACTGCAAAGTGTTTGTAAAACAGACGTTAATCTTTCTTAACAAAAGATAAGATAACCACTTGATAATGACACATTAAAGAAACTAACTTACAAGGGTTTGCATAACCAGCTACCTGAGGGATTTCACAGCTGGTTGATGATCAAAACTAGCTGAGGTTTGGACATTTTCTGTTAAAATATACATGCCAAGTCCTTGCACATGCAGCATACTTTTGTAAAAGAGGAATTTGCTCTCTTGTTAAGAATTAAAGGCAAAATCTCTCTCAACCAGTAATGACTATAAAGTCCAAGGCAAAGACTGCAGTAACTTGATCGCACCTGATCCTGCTGGAAATCTGCCCGTCTTCTTAAGCTGTGGCATTCCACCACTGAACAGTCCACCCATCCCCCCACTCATTCCACCGCCCCCTCCTCCACCGCCTCCCATCCCTCCTCCTCCTGGTCTGCCGACTCCGCCCCCTCCACCACCAGCGGGTTTCTTCTCAGCTAGATAATTCAAACAAAACAACTCCATTAAAAAAGTTTGAATCAGCAGAAACACAGCAAGAATAAAAAAAGAGTCCAAGGGGCTTGGGGCCTACTTTTTTTGGGGAAACATTTCTTTAACCACTTGCTGCCGGGGTTTCCAGTACCGAACACGTATTCTTTATATGCGTGGCCAGGGTCTCCGAAATCGGACATGGGGAACTGGGCCTTGTATCAAAAGACCGTACTCATAACAAAAGACCAGGCTGCTGGGCATTACCAACATTTTTTCACTCAAATAGTGGAGATACTCCAGCCTTGTTTTGCAACAGTATACCACAGTTTTGTGGATTTAGCGCGAGTGGATTACACCTGGGACAAAGTGCTCCACCGTCGCAGTGATAAGCCACACAGCACCGCTGCATGCTAATCTGGCCCCTATTGAAAAGTGGTCAGCAGCGCACTGTGCCATTTTCATTAACAAAAGAAAATTACATAACACCGCAAAATCTGGACTCTTTTTACATGGCGTCAGGCCTGGCTGAAATATTCCACTGTCAACAGGTCTTCGTGTGGGTGTAAGTGTCCAGTAAATGATGATAGGAATTTGAAAAGAATTTCGAAAACAGAAACAAAATGATAATTATCCCGCCCCACTATCATCAACATTGATAACTGCCACAGGTGCGAAGTCATTAAGAACTTTTCAAGGGTAGACATATGAACATCTTGCCACAAAACGAACAGCAAAAGAAATGAGCGTGAAACTTGCCGAGTGTTTCAATACAAGTGCTCATCTGAACCATAGGTGAGAAATGTGTGGTGTCCAATGAACTCAAGACTTTATAGACCGATTGTGCTTAGTCACGTGACCTGTAGTGGGTTTCAAACAGCAAAAGGATAGTATTCTTCTACAGTAATGCTTGTCGTATTGTTTACCCAAAATAATGCTGATTTTCAGCTTAGTACTCAGCGTATCAGTAGTTGGAATACTTGACCAACCATCAGCTTAAGTAAATGACACTTATGACACTCTGCTATGGAAAAGTGCTATGTCTGCTGATGTCTGATATCCACTATTGGTCACATGACTTAGCAGGTGCCATTGGTCTGTTTCTAGAGATTCTTTGTAATGAGGAACACAGTAAGTATTCTCAAGAGGCTCACGTGCTAGGACTGGTGCACTCCTGTCGTTTGTGACCGTCTTTTTGAGTCTGGCTCCTTTGTGGATGTCAGTCAGCAATGCTCCTCGGTCCTTCTGTGCCTTCTTACTGAGTGGAGGAGGCCCGCTCATGTTGGCTGGGGGTGGGGGTGGGGGGGCTGGGGCAGGGGGTGGTGGGGGAGGCATAGTGGTGGTAGTTTAGTTTCTCTTTATGTAGACTATCGCTCACCCAGCCCACTATGGAATCTGGTGATAAAAGAAAAAGAATACATTGTTTAATACTGTGTCTGACGGAAACATTTCTGATACATTAACCATAACAGTCCTCAGTCCTCCAACAGGTGAAGGATTGAGGAGGGTTAGGGTTAAGGCCAATTCAAACTTGGCACGAAAGTGAACACAAATGCCAATTGTGACTTCTGATCACTTGTTCCTGCTGCACATTCAGAAAAGTTGAACACATTTCAACTCCAGTAAATTTCACTACAAATGTACATGTAGTGTGATGTCAAATTCGCTTGAAGTATGAACCAGCCTTTGGTCACGATTGTGTGCCTTCTCTAACCAAAACTCTGCACTTCATTTTGGCATGACTCAACACCAGGCTTTTTTTTTTTCAATATTGCAGCTTTGAGCCGCGAGTAAAAGGAAAGTGTGGTGCACATGTATCTGAAGGTCAAAGGTCACGTCTCTGAAGGGCAAAGGTCAATGCACACACTGAACTGAAAACAGTTTGTAGTACCCGCTGCTACACCTGACCAGCCAGCTGATACTGGCAAGCTTGTTGGCGAAGTATTAAGACGTCTGCCATAGTAAGCAGGAGGTCGTGGGTTCGAGTCCCACAAGAGTAAGCTTGTGAAATTTTTTTTATATATGTTGACTAAGGGCAAACCCCATAATATAAATTAACATCTCCCCAGTACAAAGTTCAACTTAAAAAAATGTGAAGTTGGTAGAGTGCACTAGGCTGCGCCATCACCGCTACTGAATCCAGTAATGTACATGTATGTATTTAGATTTGAAGTTACATGTACATGTACGGTACTTGCAGAGGCAACGATTGCTGAAACGTTTGAATTCAAAGTTTGCTTTCAAAGTTTGCTTCACAATTCCAAAATTTTTCAGTCAATGTACATGTACATGCTAATGCTTGTTGTATACAGTTCCTAGGTTACATGGTACTTGTACATGTACCGACCGATGGATACATGGGGATCGGTAATATTTTTAATAATTTGTGGTTCAATCATCAATGCATACATGTAATTGCACAATGCCACATTGTATACATGACATACCGGTACATGTAGAGAAAGCAACCCAAGGATGAACTACACAGATAACAGACATGCTCAGAATTCAATACACACAAACCAATCAGAGAGAGGATATCCTGTGTGCCATGCCTTAATTAAACTTTCCCTAGTCCACCGCTCACACCTGCCACAAATTACCAAGGACTCGTCACAAGTCTACCAACCAGAATCCTTCAAGTTTCCTCAGTTAAAATGCTCTGGTTTCGGTAAACACACCAAGGGAATCTGTGTTTCTGATAGCTTGCTGGGATATACTCCATCTCGAAAACGGTTAATTAGAGGCTTTTCTTGGGGTCATGGAAAACAATGAATATAATCTATTCCCTGAATGGAACCCGAGGAGTCTAGGCTAGATATGCTTCCATTGTGTTTTTGGACGGAAATGCAATGGCCCTGAAGGCTTTCACTTCCTCTGAAATGGACAAATTCATGTTTCCGAAAGTGGGTCAAAGGTCATTCCCAGACACCATGCTTTGCCATGCGTCATCGCAAAAGAATTACATAAACCAAGATGTTTGTTTTGGTAGTCAACTTCCCACATGAGAAATCAAAAATGATGCTGACACGGATGGCCTCTTCAGACTTCAATTCCTGGATTTTGAGAATCAATTCAAGTGGTTCCAGGCCTTATTATCCACACCTGCTCTCATTGTGGGTGTCTAATCAATACATTTTTAGGCCATGTCCAAATCAGGCTTCCTTACAACGGTTATGTATGTACGGGTACATGTAGGTCTATTATCTACACTTTGCCACACATTTCCAATGGGGAGTAGACCTAAGCCTACATGCACATGCACCATTAGCCCTCAACAACAGGTTCAGATGCAGCCACAGCAACTTTCTTTCCCCAAACAAACTTTGCGAATTAAACCTTCAAGAAAAAATACAGATCATGATTTTTCAACTCAGGGCAATTTTCCTGTTGATTCTACGCATATACCTGGTCAGTTTATGACCACTACCAGCAAAAATCATACAAATGCATGTATGCATCTTATAAGCAAAGGAAGTTAAATCCACAAAAAACCTTTCTTGTTAGTCAGCCAGCTCTCCGATTGGCCAGAAAACAGCTGTTAATTTCTATTTATAAACAAGGCATTTAAATGGTACGTAGAAATACAGCCCCCCCCAAAAAGTCTAAAGTTATGACGTAAACACAGAAATTCATAGTGCTGTTTGGGCCAATTTCACAGAGCTACTTAAGCACAGACTTTGCTTAAAGCATGAAAAAACTTTGCTTACAACACAAAGGTTACCAGCTCAAACTCGATATGATTGTCATGCGAGCCAACAGACAGCTACTTGTAAATACCACTTAAAACAATATACATCTCATGGAGATTTGGCTGGTAACCTGATTTATCAAGCAAGAATTTTTCTCACTTAAACAAATGTTGTGCTTATTTTATTTGTGGTTTATTTATTGAAACGAATCTGCGCAGGTGCATCGCTTGCTGAAATGGCACCCATGTGATTTCAACTACCGTGTATTCACGGTGAAGCTCTCCATCTTGCGTTGCTTCACGGCGCTTTGCTTATAATATCTGACAAGTACTGTACATGAATATATGCACTAATAAAGAATGGAGCTTGGTCATGTTAAGAATCGGTAATGGAACAAAGTTACAAGAACGTATCCATGCTCAGAGATGACATGTACCTGTACTTCTGTGTGTGCCTACCTGTAGACTGCTTGGAGATACTTTTTAATGGATACTTCCAACCTGTTTCCACATGTGCATGTGCATGTATACAGTTCCTAATTCTAACATGGGCTGGGCCGTTGATTGTGGGAGGGACAAAGTCCACTGTCAAACTACCGTATCATGTGCTTCCAGTTGTGTTTACATGTCGGCTCTCGACAGTACAAAGAGCATGAATCCTTCATTAGACAGCCATTATGTTTCTGTACACGTACATGTACACATGTGAATGCTACATGAAAATGTGTGCACTTGCACAGTACATTCAGGGTTCATGATACGTTTGACTGAAAACTTCTACATTTTCTAGGCTTTGTCTTTACTGCGTCAAAAGTTCACACACAGGGCTGTCTGGCTGTTACAAAAATCAATATTATAATGAATGAAGAGACGCAATACTTGATCCTAAAAGTAGCAAAACTTCATGAAGAAAAAGGACCATAAAGTGTTTGTTGGAAGCAAAGATCGTATAGCCCCGCGTAGCTGCGCAAGATGGAGAACTTCACCGTGAATACACATAAAACGTTGTACATGTAATCACATGGGCGCCATTTCAGCAAGAGATGCACCTGCGTGCACATTAATGCACACGCTCAGGCGCTGCGGCAGGCACATACACCTGGTGCGCCTGCACCTGTGCATTACCGTGAACTGCGCAGGCGTATCACTCGCTCAAATGGCGCCCACGGTGATTATACCTTTTGGGCAGAGTTATCCATCTTGCGCTTTCGGCGCTATACGATCTTTGGTTGGAAGCTAGTTCTACAGTGTGTGCATGGTCACTAATCTGATCAAGCCTGGTCAGTAATACATGTAAGCCCCAGGGGGTTGGTCAATCTGTCTGAACTGTACACTCCTAGGGATGGTTGTATCAATTTGTCCACATAATCTGCAAGGTACAATGTACACAGTGATTGAGAAATAATCCGAAGATAATTACCAGGCTCTAAGAAACCTCAAGTGCAATGGAAAGTTCAACAGGCAATGAAGATGGTTGCAATCAACAATAATAACAGATATGATCAGACAGATGAGGTTTTCAGGTAGGCTGAATTCAAATTCTAAACTACAAAAGCCTGCCAAGCTAGAAGTAGACAGGCACAGACATGAACAAGTACATGTACACGTAAATCTGTAAGCCCCGAATGAGCTTTACTTTGAACAAGAGTGTGTTACTGTAAACAAGTGGTGCAACACATGTTTAGCCTAAGGTCAAGAGTTTTCCGCTTTGCGGAAAATCCACCAAAAACACGGATTTGGGGGTAGAAAGCGGAAAATGCAATTCTCGATAAAAAGAAATAAATAAAACAATTAAATATTTTTGATCATTTCGGCACAATTAATCAAATAAATATGAACCCAAATTAGGAATGACAACTCATTTTCACTGTTTAACTCACTTTGAAAGTAACAGGTAGCGTTTCCCCTCCTGTTTTTCCTTTGCGATATCGCAGAAATCGGTATTGATTTCCTCCGGCTCTGCACCGCAGAGATCACGAGGTCCCCGTTCCCTACATAGTGCCCAGACGTCTCACAGCTTATGAATAAATCTAACAGGACGGGGACCAGTCCAAGATCACAGTGGAATGGTGCGTGTAGGCCCTACATACATCATTATGCCAAAGATACCTGTAGATGTACGGTAAATGTAGGCCTAAAGTACATATGCACAGTCACATACAGTTTTTGTACATAAAATTTAGAAAGCGAAGAAAGCAGAATTTGACTTTCAGAAAGCAGACAATTCTTGACTTTAGTTTAGCCCATCCATTTCAAAAAAGTTTAGATAAGTGTATTACGGATCCTGTCTGAATCCACTTGTTGTAATAGCCATGAGCAGCACATGTCTAGGAGGAATGACTACAGCCACTATCTAGAGGAGAGCCAGCGGCTTCCACACATGTACATGTACATGTAGGCTCCAGTCTCATCTCTAGCCACAGCCATACCATCCAGACATGGCTCACAATCCGACATCTTGCTCTGGTTAAAATAGGAAGCATCACTTCACTTGTGTCCCACTTTTTGTATGATTCTGGCCAAGCTGACCAATCAAGAGGGGTTCCTACTTAAAGAAAGATACATGTACTTTTCTGGAGCACCTGCGGTCAATGAAAACTGTGTACTGGTACAGTATAACATGGAACTAACTTGACAAAATAAATGTACAAGAATCAAACTCTTGCAATGGCTGGACCGTTGCATGTCAACATAAAATAAGATCCCATAAAAAGGTCCAAGCAATGTGTGTATGTACATGTACACACCCACAGTGGAACGGGTAATAAAGGAACCATAACTGTGATTATACGACCTTGGAGAGAAGAATAGCCCAACATCGGTTACATCAGTTAAAGCATCGTTGGTTTGTTGAATATAAAATCACCATCAACAATGGCATTCAGAGAAGTCTTTCTATCTGGACTACGCATGCATAAGCAGAGAGTTGTATAATGTCGTAAAGCTGGACACAACACCACAACCATTGATACAGACCTGTAGGATTCCAACAAGACAGGCGTGTGTAGTATCCTCAATATTGGCATACACATACACCTGTTAGCATGAACCGGTACATTCTGAAAGGCAGTTTTTAGAGACCGCAGACCAACCCATCTGATCCTTGCCAACTGTAGTAAACCTTCATTTGCAACTATCAATGATGACTTTGCATTTAACCACTGGAAAAATTAAAGGGGATGGCCATGTAGGGTTAAATTGACGTTATATGATAGTTTTCAACTGTCTTATAAACAAAGAGTTGGATTAATCACTCTTTTATGTCATTAAATCAGCAAAAATTGGCGTGTCCTGTGTACTTTTTTCAGTCTCCACCGGGGCTCTTCACAAAAACATGTCAAAATCGGTCAATGAGGGCAGCAGACAAATCTTGGCAAAATGTGACATCATAGGACGGACTCGACTTTTTAGACTTTTTAGAATGCACAGCTCCGGCAAGAATGTTGATCGGTCAAAGTAAGCGACTTGCAGTTCACAGTGAAAAAAACTGTTGGAAAGGAACACAACTTTGACAAAGTAGGCTAGCCTATAAAAATAGACAAAAACTACCCCCCCAAATCAGTGAAACACACAACAAAACAACCAAACTGGTAGAACAAATAAGAGACAAGGAAGGCAATCTAACTTTCCCAGTAGGCAGTAGGCCTTACAGACAAATCGCAACCCAACGTCAACCTGTTTCGAGTCACCTGTATTTGCCCATTGTCGACGACAATACATGCATGTTTCACTTTAAAACAGGATTTATCAAACAAACATCAGTGAATACAGCTATTGAATAGCCAATGGCAGGACAATTACGTCTTTTCAGAAAGACAAATTTTTATAATGGTGCAGACAAAAAAATCATACCAGTCAGTGTTTTTCCAAGGATGGATTTGCACCGAAAACCATCGAGTTTGCCATCCTTCCATCCTTGGAAACAGTTATTCGCGATACCCACTGCTACATCTGACTCGAACCTGCCAGCCAACACCAGCAAGCTCGGTGGTCGAGTGGTAAAGCCATCTGCACTAGTAAGCAGGGGGTTGTGGGTTAGAGTCCCACCCGAGTACGCTAGTGGATTTTCTCCCAAGCCAAAAATCCAAAATTAGTCAGTGTTTTGTTGTCGATCCTCCGGGTCACTGCCATGCCCGTGGCCAACAGCCTCGAGTTACAAAATCTCTTCCTGATTATATTCTGGTTCGAACTGATAAGGCAATATTTCTTGTGCCTCATCAGCTCCTTCAATGTCGCTTTCTTTGTCAAATGAATAAGACGAACAAGACAACTGATCACCGTCATGATCAGAAAAAGAATCAATGCTGGAATTATTGTCGCTTGTGTCTGACATGATGGCAAACGCTAACGCAACTGCATTATGTACATGTCGATGCGTTTTTGCATAACAGTGAACGGTCACCAGATAAAGGACTCCGTCCTATGACTTCATGATTCTTAGGAATTTCTTCAGACAACTTTTGGTACCCGACGGCTGTTGTTTAGCTTTGGCTCCAAGAAGGGAGTGAAACAGGGTCGTGAAAACTATAATCTTAAAGATATTTCCGCACATTTTGAAATTATGCAGATGTCTTTTCTTGTTATATGTATGCTTGTTTTATGTGCTGACGTATGTTTTACAACAAATCTTCCCAGCATGGCCCATCCCCTTTAAATTTTCTACAGAACTAATCTGAATAAAGGAAGACTCTGAAATAGAAACTGAAACAGTTGCTATGACTTACATAAAAATAAACTGTAAAAAACACAGGTGTCAGGTGCTGCACAGGTAGATCTTGGTTGATTGAATTCTTATACATTCAACTACAAATTCCACAGTACAGTATGTATATATTAGGAGCCTTGAAAAATTTCCCCAAATTTACCACGTAAAAGTCAGAGTAAAAACGTTCCTGAAGTAAATGGAAAGCCTCAAGTTTCTTTGACTACATTCGTAATCACTGTTACATTAATCAAATAACACAGGAACTCTTTTTAAGCAATGTGTCAGTTAGCACGTTGCTCAAAGAATCCAGACGGGCATTCTTTCAATAACACTTGGCTGAATAAGCCTTTTGCGAGTTAACTTTGACCCAAATCTGGTACACTGAGTTCTTTAAATTCGTGTGAACTTAACAACTTGAATTATCCATACTGACAACTTGAATTCTCCATGCTAAAGCCACTGTTGCTATACCTCGTGATTCGGGGCAAGCTTTTGCTTAGTTACATAAGAGACGCCTTGCAACAATACACTGTTCTCAATGGATAAGAAGGGTAGAAAGGAACCAGTCCATTCCAGAGAGGTAGTCGCTATGCGAAAGCTTACCCCGAATCACAAGGTATAGCAACAGTGTCTTTAGTCTCGGGAATTCAAATACACTGTACATGTAGTTATGTTTAAGTGCAAGCAGATAACTCAGTGTGCCAGGTTTTATTTAAATTTAACTCACAAATTGCTTATTCAACAACTCATTGCATCTGAAGCACTGGATGAACTTAAAGCGTCAAAATTAAGAAGGGATTAATGGCAGCATACCCCACCACTCTAAAAAACGACCCCTAGAATGACTGGTTACGTGGGTACAAGGTGAAAATCCCTTGAGAAGAGTGTGACACTTTGACCTGTACCTGGCTACGAGGTTGTCCTTGCGGGTGGTGGGGTATTCTGCAATTGAGCTTAAAAGTTGGCTTCACATACATGTCTTTAGTTAAGCTGCGAAAAACTTCTTGGCCCTTGACATCTTGGACTTACTCTAATACACTTTAACAATATTTACGGCTGTGTCAGTGCAGAGATAAATGTACATGTAGATCAGTGTTGAAGTGGATTTGCAAAAACACAGTAACACGTACTGTTACATGGCCAACTTGGGAAAACATTTTTGATGGTTGGGTTATCATGGCCTCAAGTAACTTCACAAACTTACAATGTTTACAAATAACATGTTGGAAATGTACATGTACATTGTGCCCCCCTCAAAAATGCAAGTTATGTTATTGACACAGCAAAATGCATGACTTGTTTTATCCAGCATTTCTGAAATTCTCGGTGCACATGTAGGGTCTACATAATGCACCCCATAATAATTCATCAACCTGTACATGTACGTCACACTTGTCACAATGTTATGCATGATATACATGTAGGCCTACAATACATGTACAGTCATAGACAGGGTAATACCAGTACAGGTTGTATTGTGACATTGTAATCACTGCCAACAATGAGCTAGGACTGCAGTGAGTAGGAGTGAGGCTTGCCGGGTACGGGGGAAGGCACAGTAAACGGCCTATTGCAGGCACAGCAATCGTGATCACTGGTGATTAAGTGATTACTGATGTAAGCCCTTTTTCTTCTTCACCTGTTCACAACTGCCACAAAGCCTACTTGGGCTATCCCTTGCAGATCACACTGTCCACTCATGGGTAACATCTGAACATGATGGGTGTTAGCTGCAATTGCCAATGATGTAAACATCACGTCATACATGTACATGTTGGTATGACTGCCATGTTTTCGTGAACTTCAGATACGCCAAAAAATTGTGTATAAAAACACTTCCATTATTGAAATTTCATAAAGATACTTTCCAACTTGTTTTAGGCTTTGGCTGGGCGGCATGCAACCCGACCTGCAAAACTGATCAAATTTCATGGCAGAGGACTACAACTCACCTGTAAAAATTCAGATCTCAAGCAAACAAAACTAGGACTTTCCGAGCCGTAAACTTGTCTCCAACATTTCGAATCTTTCAAATAATATACACGGTACAAAACACTTGGCCTATCCCAAACGAATAAAACCTCCGCCTATTTTTGAACCCGGAAATTGTCTGGGTGGTTAATGCACTAAATCACGCACCACCGTAGACCACTCGACACGTACGATACCATGGCATAGTGCTACGTACATGTACAGTACATGATGTACATTTCCCATGCTATGAACTTCCTGATCTAAAATGGCCGACCAGGTGGTGTGTCGAGAGGGGTACCCAATATTGAGCAATTGCGACAACCCCATTTCGGCGGTAATAAGTCTAGAATGCATGCAACACAGGGAGAAAAGTCCCAGAATGCTTTGTATCAGTTGACTTTTTTATGCATGAATATCCCCACATTTTCGACTGGGGGGCTGCCCTCCCCCGTACACACTTTTTGCAGGGTGGGCTCAATATGGATCGAGCCCTTAATGGCTGATGCCTGATGGTCTAACAACTGGCTCCCCCATTATGGAAATCGTTCCGCCGCCGGTGATCCCAAGCCTGGATAGATGTAAAAACTTTAAAAAAAAGTAAATTAACAAAACAAAACAAAAAACAAAACAAAACCAAAATTGACGATTTTTAATGATTTTATCAGAAATATGTCAGAAAACTTTATTCTTTTGAGAAATAGCATTTGAATAAAGTGACATAATTATAAATTGTCAACACCCTGCGCGTTTGATTGACCGACAAGTCAATCAGACAATAGAACTTTAGAGGGCGCCCTCACGGGTATCGGGTTTGTCGCGTCAGCTAGCTCAGAACGAGTCTCATGGTTTTTTTTTTAGCGTGGTAGAAAGTGTGATTGTTTGAGAGCGAACTTAGACTGTCAACTCCCGGGGGGGTATTAAAAGTCGCAGCTACTTTCAAATATATTACCAAAAGACATGTGATCAGTAATAATTAATGAGAAGATAAATTACCACACTGTGATTGTACCAAGGCCATGCTTTTTTTAATCATATGACCGACACTTTGCCGGTGCCATTTAAAATTAAAGCATGGCCATTGGCGAACCACAAAATTTAAATGACGCTTCGCTAACAGGAAGTGATAAAGTCGCGGTCACAGGTCGTGCACAATGTAGTGCAAAGCCATCAGCCCTTCCAAGTATGGAACGCCAAAGAGGCAAAAACTTGGAGGCAACACATCGATCGTTCTTCAACATCGATCGATCGTTCCCCTACATCGATCGATCGATTTCTTTTGATCGATGACGAAAGAGCGATGAAGAAAGACCGTTGAAGAAAGACCGTTGAAAAAAGCTACATTGAGCAACGAATTAATAAGCTCCCATGCATGTACCTGTAACATTATGGGCGATAGTCTTTTGGGATCGATGAAACGGCCGAGATAAGCAAGACACTCTCTTTGTTTACGCTGAACAATATGCTTATTTTGCTTGTTATTTTCGACCTCATCGGCGTTAGCTTGGGGTATCAGGGGATCAGGAATGAAAATAGGAAAGAGTTGTATTGAAACAAGTTGACATTAGATCAAGATATTTTAAATTCAAAAGGGAATAGTGTGTTCATCAGTGTTATGGAAGTGCATAGCTAGATGAGTAGGTCAATGAATGACAGAATAGTTCCATTGGTCACGTTGATCAGCCGGTTCTGCCGGTTTCACCAGAATGTTATCATCAGTGTGGAAAATAAAATTTGTATCCACTTGGAGTATATATGTCTGCCCACAGTGGCTAGGGAGCGACCCATAATGAACTGGCATCCCATCCAGGGGAAAACAGAAAATATTCTCAGTGGTTTCATGACAAAGAAACTAGATTTAAACACCCATCTGACAACTAATTTGGCTCGGGACCAGACTTACGGGTACCGAACATGGGTGGCCTTGTGTGCTGGTGGGCTACGGTTACAGGGAACACGTGTTATTTGGTGCTGGAAGAGATTACGTAACGTTGGCATCGATGTAGCTTCATCGGTCTTTCGTCATCGCTCTTTCTTCATCGCTCTTTTCTCATCGATCAAAAGAGATCGATCGATCGATGTAGGGGAACAATCGATCGATGAAGAGGAACGATCGATCGATGTTGGAGAACGATCGATGTGTTGCCTCCAAGTTTTTGCCTCTTTGGCGTTCCATATCCAAGCGCCCTGTTAAGACGCTGAGCTACGGTCGAAAGTAAACTCTACAGCGGGAATTGGAACAGCGAACTGTGAATACGATCAAACGATGCAATCAGTTGCTCGAGAGCGCACTAGTGGCCATTTTCCGACGGTCAGAAATTTGTTACTTCTTATAAGTTCCTTAACATCATGTCTTCTGAACTCCAAAACTCATGCGATTTTCCTCAAGATATTGTTTTTAAGACGTCAAGATATTGCTTGCGAGAAAGACAGGTGCGACCAACACATTTAAACCGATAGGAAGAGTTCGTGCACGTAGCATGACTTTCAGTACAGCAATGGCAGTGGCGTATCCAGCTTTTGGTGTGTGTTTGGGGGGGGGCAAATTCAAAAAAGGATGCGGCTCCTGATTTATTTAACATGATGCTCAGCGAGAGGCTCAGCCTTACAATAATCCGTCGGGGGCATTAAAAACACGTTAGCAACAACAAGACTTTCACATATCAAAGATGACACCGCAAATACTTGAAAGCCTCGACGGCTACATTTGTCATTCATCAGGTCGTAATTTGATCTCCCCTCATTTGGTGAATAATTCCTCAACTGAGGCAAAAATAACATCAAATCAAGAGGAAGAGATCAAATTAAAAACAAAGATGATGAGAAAATAACAGGTCTTGCAATAAATAATTTTAACTTGCTCCTCCTAAGTGCAATACATGTATTTGTTGTTGGTGTCGGCGTCATTGTTTTCATGGCTGGTTTATTTGGAAATTTGCAAAAGTTTTGACTGAATTTTAATTATTAACCAATCATTTATTAAATCAATCATTATGAGCCCTACGACTCGCTGAATTGATATCGTTTTTAAACCGAAATAAATAAATTAAAAAAAATGAATAAATAAAAAAAATAAGCGACGTGAGCTTCGGCAGGCTTTAATACTATGTGGACCAGCGCACACCTTTGGTTTTTAAAGAAATTACAAACGTCAAACGTATGCGTAATGGTGAAGGGAAACGGTGAATTCTGCTTAAGAATCCATGGAAATAGAAGGCTGCTATTTTTGACGAGTGAAACTTCTTTATTCACTTGAGTACGGCTGAATTGAATATAAACTCATATATGATCGTGCCGTTGCGAAGGAATACAGTCAAGAGATATATAACAGGAATAATTTTGTACATTAAACTTTATTTTATTTACAACTATACCAAAAGATAATATATACAAAATACATAATATTCAAATACATGGAGGATGACATTTTCTCAGTGTCGCAAAAGTTTTCAACATAGTAATGCTTGAAATAGCTTGTGTGGACTTTTTCTATATGTGACCCACTCTGTTAAAGTCCCAAGTCTCAGGAGCTACTTCCGAGTTTGATTTTATTTTAGATTGAGGAATTTGAGCTCTTTCCTTGAAATTGATGTGCCACTCAGTTTTGTACAATGAAAATGGACGTTGTGTATACGTTAAAATATTGAGGATCCTTATTGCTTAAATAATGGGCAAGATTCTTTCAAAGGCCTTTTTAACTCAAAAGTGGTTCTGGCTACATGTGACTCATTTTTACAGAGCGGGTAACATTCTGACTGTATTAGAGCACGTGGGGGAAACAGGATGAACAGCGTCAGAGATCTCTAATCGCGGCGCCCTTTGCAAGGTAGCCATAAGGGTGCCCCCCCCACAAATAGGCCAGAAATACAAACTTAATAAAAGTTAGAGAGTCCTGAGAGCCATGGAGTTGGGAAATTGAAGAAATATGGCTCTGAACCTCTGGCCCGGACTCATTTTAGGCGTTGTCTTCCCTGGGAGAGAATTTTTCTCAAACATTCATTGGTTAACCCACAAAAAATTGAAAGGAATATGAAAGGACACTTGTCGAACATCATTTTTCTGTCCAGCCTGGACGGCTGTCAGAGTTGTATTTTGAAATATAAGGATTTATGATTGGTGTCTATGGGAATTTATTTTAGGGTTGCATCCATATTAGACAGAGCGATGACATTGATCATGTGATTCGTACTTAGTCTGTATGCATGTTCATGTACTTACAGTAAGTAAACAGCCTTTGCCGAACATTCACGTCCCTGTTGTCCACATGCAAATTTGGACAGTTCCTACATACAATGGTTCGTGAGGCATGAATGAGATCAGATTCATCGATGGATACGAAATTGTTTCATGTTTGAACTGATAGACCGTTATGATGAAATTTCATGTGCCAAAGAGATTTTGGTTGGAATGTGGGCAGGGTTCGAACGCATCACAGTTGGGGGAGGCCTGTATACATCTTATAGTTTTGGACTTCGGAATCGTTTCTCAAAGAAGGATCCACATGTCCATGCACATGTCTGCCTCATAACATGCAAATCATGTATCAAAGTCGTTTTGTTTGATTGGCGTTGTCACTGGATCCCTGTCAGCTCAAGATGGATATTTTATTCGTGAAGGGTGGAATTGGTTCCTTTCACAGTTAATTCACAATAGTGCACCTCCAAGAGTTGACGGTAACGTGTTGACCAATCACAAGGCGTGAAATCTGTTGACCCTTTCCAAACACGCATCGGGTCGACAGATTTCGCTGTGATTATTCAACGCGTTGCAAACTCTTGGAGGCGCACTATTGTGAAACGCCCGTATCGAAAAACTATTTATCACTTGAAAAGCAAATTGCACAGATCGTTCGGAATGACTTTCCTTGAAGGCGTAGGGTCAACAAACATAAGAGATGTCGTTTCTTTCTTCAAATAACGATATGGTGTATGGTCTGTTCAAGCAATACCTTCTAAACGGCTTTAAACTTTAAAAAGCCGGGTGGGAGATTTTCCTACGTGATTTATTTTCATTTAGCGGTTTATTCATTTATGTGAGTTTAAGAGAGTGCTATCCAACCTAACAATCACTAAATAATGTGATCACAGCAATGTCAAAGGCGTGGCGTATATTCGCCTCTCCTTATGTTTGGTAATGTCAAATATTAATTGTGCACATGATGCTTTGTTTTGAAAAAAATGAGATGAGATGAGATGATGAAATATCTGATTGTCGAGACATCTAAATGAAGCGTCATGATGGAATAATTAAAGACGAGCGTGAACAGAGGCGACTGCCCAATGCTGCCGAAATAATGTGGAAAAACAGCAACCATGAGAGCGGCCAATACTATACCGATCCCGATCAAAACCGTATCCTTATCCTTCGTTTCTACCAACCACTTCTTCTTTTGTCACTATTATCCTGTCGGTTTCGTGAGGTTTGAATTTAGGAACTGAACTGCTTGCCTTAACCGACGGGGAGAACATTGAATTTATAGTTAGAGCTAATGTATCACAAAGCTATATATGCCCTCACTAGATAGACATCAATGAAAGAAAACCCTAATGCATTAAAAGGTGGCGTCAGAACGTCATCATGTGCAATTACATGATAACTTCATCACTGACAACCACAATCACATCCCATTTCGGAGGAATTGTACTGATATTTTGTCAGTGAGATAATGCTAAGGTTGTATTCATCACTTAAGTTATTTTTATGCTATTGTATTTATTAATTAGCTTATAACATTCTATTATTAAAAACTATGTCATATTTCTGGTTAACGTTTCATCTACAGTTAACTAAGCGTAGGAAAATTACCGGCAATCTCTTTCAAAGTACAGAGGAGAACTGAAGTGGAAATGATAAGAGGTTTTTATAGAGTAATGATTAATTATCCGATGAAATAGAATGAAAATCCAAATTTGTGAATAATTAAACATTTGTGAATAATTGTATGCTGCGCATTTCTGTGTTGCTATGGAGACTAACGTTTAAGTCTCCAATGCACCGTGAACACCTCGAGCGTAATCGTAATCTGTCACCCTCGTTCTCAAAAGACGTTTGCATTCATCACGCTGTTCCCAATAAACCAAAGTCCCTTCCAAACATCGACGGGAAAGGGAACCACTATAACGTGAACCAGGGATTGATCAATGTTGATCTAAAGAAAACAGCTGACTCTTTCCTTTGCGCAAACACAGCTTGTTGATGATTAAGTGTTTTGAACTTGTTGGAAATGAATGATACCATAGTAGGAAGTATCCATATTAACTTCACTTCTGACACACGAGCCAAAACGTTCGTTCTGTCAATTCTGTAGCTAGTCTTTTCAGATGTACAGAATTCCGACATGCACCACAGATAACCGTAGGAAGTTTACTTTTATTCTGTTTTGTTCCAAATGTCCACATACATGTATCCTATTTCATGCGTATATGGTAGTCCAAATCTATGTATGGCTGCTCAGGAGCCAGACATTTAACGAACGTTTACAACTCGATGCAGAGAGTCATTCAAGAAAAGTCCAATGAAGTATTACGGATGTCTTTGATGCTACATGGGAGGGAATACGCAAGTATTTCATTGTATGAACATACCACACAAAACGTTTCTGAGAGGTAAGAGTAGAATATTTGTCAACGTTCATTCGGATGCAGTGATAATTATAGCGGTACAGCAATACTTGTATAATAATAATAATAATAATAATTTAATAATAGTAATTTATTCATTTATAAAGAGCAAATTTCATATGGATATGTTCAAATGCGATGTACAATGAAGACATTAAGCGTGGAACAATGAATACATTTAAACATGGTTGAGCCGATGGCATACAAGGGCGCTTCAGGCAGCAGCCAAACGACCCACATTCACCAACATCAGTAAAGAGGAGACAGTAAGAAGCAGTTACAGTTTTAGAGGAAGGAAAACCCCAGAGGAATATTCGGGGTAAAACCCACAGAGTCAGGTAGGAACTGAAAACCCAATCCACATGTGGGCCGGGCTGGGAATCGAACCCGGGACCACAGAGGTGGAAGTAATAGGTGCTCGAATTCGTAGACGTTGTCAAAGGAGTCACAGAAGATGTACGGGATGAGAAATGGCAGGGTTTGCATTCTTCACTTGAGGTTCGGGATAGCTTCCACGCGTGGTTAGAAACAGGGCATTGATCAGGGTAATCTGTGACAGTCCATTTTCGACACCAACCGTCAAGGTCGACACATCGCTAACTCGGTTCGATGGACGATCTCTGCAAATAATTAGCCCCTTGACCGCCAGCCTGAACTTCTGGTTTTTGAAGGTGTAGATGATTGGATTGGCGCAGGAGTTGACGAAGGCTACAAGGAAGAATGCCTGGTAGATGTCGCTAGATAAGTAATCCGGGTCGGTTGTACCAAGGTTGTAGGCCAGGAACAAGACCTGATCTCCGGACCAACACAGAATGAAGGTGACTACGACAGCCAGCAACATCTCGATGACCTTGCGCCGCGTGTGCAGCAAAGAATAAGCGGGACTGTTGGGCGATTCGTTCCGAGAGAGAAGTGTCCGAGCGTGCGCTCGTAACGCTCGTATGGCTAACACGTGGGCCACGATCATAACAATCATTGGAATGAAGAATTCGGCAATAAAGAGACCAGCACCCACGAACTTCTGGAAGCTCGCTGACGGGTAGGCTGAAATGCATGTGAGAGCCACAGGATCAATGCTCACACAGTAAATATTGAAAGTGTTCAGTGTTAAAGACAATAGCCATATACCGAGCGAGATGGTGCGAGCTCGGTTACCGGAGAAGAGCCTTCGGTATTTCAGAGGGTAGACGATAGCGAGGAAGCGCTCAACTGAGACGAAGGTAAGAGTAAAGATTGATGCCACGATGGAAGTCCACAGGAAGAAATCCGAGTTGATAAGCCGACAGTAAGTATGACCAAGTGCATTGTTCTCCACTCGGCTGAGATAAGGTCGAGGGATGATGTTAATTGATGTGAGCAGATCGGCGCAGGCAAGGTTTAAGATGAAGGTGTCGGTAGCGCTGCGCGGAAGACGCCGGCCGGTGCGTCGGCCAGTTACTCCTCGCTTGCGTGCGTAGACGGTAACGACGACGGCGTTACCAACGATACCAACGGTGGCAAAGATGATACGAAGGATGGTTTTCCAGTTTAACTCAATGGGTTCCACAACGAAAGCCATGGTTGCTGTCGAGACTAGTCACAGAGCTCATCAACACATCATGATCTCCTTTGTATAGAAACAGCAAAGAAAAATTGGTCATACATGTACAAACCGCACTCAAAATCTTATTTGTAAAGGTTCTGTAGTGAAGCCGTTTTTGAGCATGACAAGGATACACATGAGTAGATAGATCTTTTGGTACTATCCCTCCCTAACAAAAGCAGTTAACGAAAGATAGCTGTCATGCAGAACCTCTCTTAAGATGAAAATCAGATTTGTATAACGATTAAAGGCGCCTTTCCATATGGGCGGTAACATTTGCGCAAAGCGTTGCGTATCCGTCAAAATCGCTCCCGGAGCGATTTTGACGACCGAACGCAACCCACACGTGTTTTATGTTAATGGAGTGTATTTTTGTGTCCGTGAAAGTGAAACGCATGAACGCATTGTATACACAATACGTCCAAAAAACGTACATTAGAAAGGCGCCTTAATGCTGTCTCTCTGTAGGTCCGTATAGGTTCCGTATCCGGATCTGTCTACTGCTTTTCAATAAACGCTCAGCCGCCTACGGACATGAAACACACTGAAAACGCATTCTTTCTTCAGCAAAGATTCATCTTGTCAAACTAACTCAGTTTTCTCTCAGGGAGTTTTATTTTTGACATTAAATAACAAAACGAGAAATCGAAATGTCTCGTTCTTATCAAGCCTTCGTCATATCGTTGTGCAGGGTGCGTGTTTGCCTTTCTGGTTAATTTGAAGCCACAGTTAACATTTTAGAAAATGCATATATATTTTAGGTAGCTTAGTTTGAAATTGTGATGATCGTATTCAGAAATTTATTCACACATATCGAATTTGGTTGTACTCACCAAATTAACGACTGTCACTATCGTTGGTTAAGATAGTGCAGCTGTAAGCCACAAAACGACGGCTCTCCACCCTTTTGGAATATTCATCTATAGGCCTAATACTGCTGTTATGAGATGTCAACCTCTTTCTTACAAGACAATCTACATTGCAAAACCATTGAAATGACGATTACTGACTGGCCACCACGGCAGGTAGACCCGCTTACCTTCAGCTTCAGCGTAAGGAGAAAAAGGGCTCACGTTTCCACGGACGGACTGTGATGTACCTCGGCGCGCTCTTGCATCTGACGTGTGATATGGATCTTTTACAGTTATATACTGTACGCCGTCAACAACAGTGTCATCAGCCTCGCTTTTCATTGGCAGATTTAGTGATGACGTTTTCAAACGATGAAGTCACATTGGCTACCTCCTCGGCTTAGTTTTGGCGCAATAAGAAAATTGCCTGTGGACCGATACAGGAAAAAAGTTATTCGTATATGGCTCCAATCAACTGTACATCTCCTTTGATTTGAAGACTTGATTTTTTTGTCGCGGTTAATTAGACATGAGAGATCTCGACAGAGATACTGCGTCAGCGTTGTCCAGCTTGACTCCACGGATGGACAAGTTCCTCAAACCAGCGCACGCAAACAAGCCGGGTTTGGGCTCATTTCCTTTGGCGTTGGATGTCTATTTGAAGCCGCGGGCACGTGTGTCCAGTTTCAAAGTCTGGACATGTCCCATGATAATTCATCGTGACAACCGTCTTCAGAGGTTATCGAGATAGTTGTCTTGTAAGTGTTTGTTCTAATGATCGTTATCCATCCCATTTTCCTCACTGCATCGTGGCACGAGGATCAGTCAGAGATTCTGTGTTGAAAGAGCGGTCTGATAAAAGCACGTTGTCTTTACATTAACAACATACAGCGGCAAGTGTGTACAGTGTTTGTATAATATCGAGCGGTGCATACCATTCCTATCACCGAGGCATACCACTCATGTCACGATCGTACTCAGCATTATGATGTTTAGAAGGCTTCATTTCAGTTCCGTACTCTATAACAATCCCCCTGACGTCTCATAGCCACTTGATATTATTGTTAGGACAGGTAGCAGTTGGTATTTGGATAACACAATGCCAGGGTGACGCGTCCATTAATGTCGTCGGAGCATGTCCGCGCCTGTTTGGAGTGGGAATTTTCATCAGGATTTCACTAGTGCAGATGTGGCAGAAAGTGTACTCACTTACAAACTGAGAACAATAAATTGTGCACAGTCGTCAGAATTGTAAGAAATAAGGAGAAATCGCAAATTTCACCGACTAGTTTCCACAAGGAAATGGAAAGTGTATAGCGTTCATGTTTAACATTTCCTGCGCATGCGGCACTCGTCAGAATTCTGCCCTGGATTTGTCACGTAACAGTGCCAGTTAACAGATTGCAAGCTTTGGCAAAATAACCAGGATTCGTTGTTTATCCAAGTTTCCCTCGTCCCCATCATCACCCTGTATATAAAGGACAATTGCTTCCCGATGCTAGATATAATCTGCCTTGAACAGAAGGGCCCCTCATCGGTTAAAAAGAGCCATTGTGTTCATTTTGTTGGTAGTGATGCAACTGCAACGCGTGCATTTCACAGTCGTTTGTGAACCAGCGAAGTGCAGTTCCCCATCAAAGGAGCCTCCACCAGCTAGGAAAGTTGCGCCCTCTCTTGGTACCGCTCGGGGCAGATTTCTCAGAGCCCTTTTTGGACATTAACAATACTTGAGAAAATACCCAGGTCGACACTTCCGTGTACAATGATATTGCGCATGCCAAGAGGCATGGTTACCTTAACGCTTAGCAACATCCACTCTTTCTTTAAAAAAAAATGGTTAAAATGTGATTAGCCATTGTTATGCGTTGCTGAGGACGATAGGTTCCAGTGAACCCAGAGAATTAATGAAAAGTACTAACATACATTGTCAACAAAGGGCGCGGCCGCCTGCACTGTTAACCTTTGTATTCTCAGGAAGGGCAGTTTGTGCAAATCACTTGGTTATGGGTCTTATGGTTTGAAATTACACTGTAGTACACTCAATGCTTGTGGTAGCAGCCACTTCCCATAGAGTTGTGTGTAATATCAAGCCCTAGTCAAGCGATTTGAACACGGCTTCAGATGAATCGCAGGGTATTCCTGTGTCGCCAGCTGTGGTACATGTACAAAATAACCGCAATCTATATGACACTGATGACATGCAGAGGAATGCGCGTAGTGGAACCGTACATGTTGACTGTTTGCACCGCGTGAGATTGCTCAGCTATTAACTAGTGGATGAGGGTAAAAGTCTCTTTATAGTGCTCTTTGCCTTATCTTGGATTACTTCTAACTAATACGGACACCTCATTTACGTTAATAAGTTACCAACCACCGGCATTAGCTAGCCAGTCACGGGGCAGAGAGATTCACTCGTGCGTGTAACAGCGGGGCCGCACTGTGGACGCTATTAACAATCTTGAATGAATTATGCCTCAGTCTGTTTGATGGTAAAACAGATAGAATACAGTCTATGTGAGGCTCCTTTTTCACAGATTGTTCGAAAATGCAAAATCCTTAACAATATGTATTTCCAAAAACGATTGCTAGTGCATCTTAAATTTGTACCCATCACCTCTTGTTTTACAACTCCCAGGTGACGCTTTTCTTGGTACCCGTTCGTTCTACAACGGAATGATTCATTAAAACGGAGCATAGGAGCCAGTGACAGGTAACCCCTTCTGTTTTAATATTCCGCTCCTATATAGGTCTACCCACCGTCCCTACAGGGCACTGAGCAGGGCAAATGCGTGACCCACTTTTTGTAAAGAACCGTACAATGGACAGAATTCATCCCAATGAAACACGGGTCGACACTTCACGTGCTCACGACTGCGCGCTGAAATTACATGCGTGGATTAGGACAAGTCACCCACAGTGCTTTGCGTGCCCGTAGATGTGCCGTGTTTCTTGATCGACCCTTAAGTTCCCAGCGCCCTGTAGAGGCGGTGGAGGACGAGTGTATTATTGTATGGATGTATATATAGCGCCCCCACCAGACCTACCCAGTTTGCTACAGGGATAGGCACACTGCAAGTGATCTTTTGACGATGTGACAACAGTGTAAATAAATGCACAGTGGTGTACGCCATACACGTATACGAACGTGCTTACTCCACAGAAACCGATTCCTACAAACTGCAAACTCGTACCTTGGCGGCAGAATGTTTAATCACGATCAAATTTCCGCCCGCGCTGCTCAATTAGACGTTAAACATTAACCTTCGCCTATCTCTCCGAGGTAACAAGTTCTTTGGTGTCTTTCTTGATCAACAAGAAAGCAACGCGTTGCAGGAAATAGCGCGCTGGTTTACAAATTGAAACCTCACTTGACGGTGATTGCTGAGGTCAATTCGTCGTGTTTGAAAGACCCAAAAGAGTGTCTAATTGGGGTTCATGGCTTAAGGTCATCAGGTTCCCTTTTAAAACTATGGTCTGTGTTCCCTACACGAAATCACGGATGATGCAATAAGTCCAAAATATAGACAGAACGTCGGATTCTGATCTTGTTGTATATCTTACAAAACTCAAAGTGCGCCCTCTTTTGGTTTGAAGAGCATTAGAGCCTGTAAACCGAGGCCGCACCCGAGTGGCTGAGGCTGGGGAAACACATCGCTGCACGATGCAGTCGCAAGTACATTTCGTTCACAAGCACACTTTAATTATTATCCAGCCGGTTGCAGCCATAACGCTTGGGTGCAGCCTGACTAAATAAAAAACAACAGAGTACAGAATCCCAGGCAATCAAAACAATGCAGCATGCTCGGCAAAAATATCAACCGTCCAAAGTGCACGCAGGGACAAGGGAAGAAATGGAACGACTGGGGTGGCTTAAGTGCAGAGCAGCCGGTAAGATTGTCAGATAAACACGATGGCCCGTGGCCATAATGAAATCATCCAAGTTCTGTCATGTCAGGAAAGTACACACACTCAACTGACAAGTTCTCCATACATGCTCTTCCGCTCATGTGATTGGATAAGTCCCGTGGTTGCCACCTGGGTAAATTGACTTTCGTCCCCCTTTTCCCTTCCAGTTCCCAAACAAGCAAGGTAAAGGCATATTATTTTATGCAATGAGCTGAAACTTTGTAGTAAGATGTGAGCACGTTTCCTTTCGACGCCGTGTCAACTACGCCAAAAGGCAAAAAAAAAATCTACCTTTGGAACACATTTTCTCATAAGACCTAGTCAGAAACTGATTTTTTTTCAACAATGCTACATACCCTACTCTGTAAAGGCTCCAACAATCTCTTGATAAATTGAATATTGAAAAGAGCCTCTATCTGTCGCCACCAATGTTTAACTGTGACCCCCCAGCCAACAACGTGCGTAACTGAACGCTCGAGAGTTTCAATCCTTAGGATGTTACATAATCTTGTTTCTGTGTCCACATATCAACAAAGACCCACAGACAGGAGTTCGCCACTGAAGTTGAGAACTCAAGGGGAAGAGACATGACCGGACAGTGTTGGGGAAGCTGGACATATGCAACGGTGCAAACTGAACAACCGATCGCATTTGCGGAGTTCTCAATTTCAGTCGTATTCCTTAACGTATTGTATACGCTTGAAACCCTTAATGGGACGGCACCAGGTGATTTTGAGGGTCGGAATGAAATCATAGAATAGAGCCTACTACGTTGGGTATAATCTGACTGAAATTGGGTCCCTCACGAATACGGTCTACTGATTTCGTACTAGATAGCGGCCTCTAGTGGCAGAAACCGACCATATTAATGGACCATGACGTAAACACACAACGGATTCGAATGAGTAACTTTGTGTGGGATTTTATCAAGAAAACCCAAGGGAAATCTTCACCGATACAAAACCATTGGAGAGGGCGCCATGTGCGTGCAACTACCTTTTCACTCACAGCCAGCGACAGATAACAGATTGCACATCGTCTCAAACAAATTGAGTTATGAACAAATCTATCTTGTTCAATCCATGCCAACCCGATTCTTAATTCATCACTATGCCAACCTCGTCGAAAAGAGGTAACTTTGAAATCCCATTCTGTGACGAATTGACATTACTGTCGAAAGGAGAATCTGTTGTAAAGCACACGAGATTGTGGAGCTGAAAGCCGGCCATGGCGATCGCAATTACGAGTTTTTTTTTATATTCCCGCCAAATTACAGGACACCCTGTCGTCTGACAACCCAGAAAATCAGGAGGGATAATCTGTAATTGAACATTGCCTTAGAAACCAGTTTCGTGTGCGTATGTTTTCCTTCACATGATGGCTCGTTGACAATGACGATGTAATGTTTTCGTGTGGGGCCGGCCGGGGACGTGTGCTTCGCTCGCAACGCGTTCATTATTTGCTGCGCCCCGGCACGAATGCTAACAGCGAATTAACCGAGATTTCCCATTCGCTGATTTGCCGCTAGCTCATCGCCGTCCACTTAATTCCTAACTGGCTGACATTATTATGTTTTCCTAGGACTAACCCATCGTTAATAGAGACTAATAGTCATCCTGTGGTTTGAGGCACAGAGATCTTCCTCATGTTGAGGGAAAGAGAGGGACCATCACAAACAAGAGAAACATAACTGATAGGGGCAGGCTCAATTGCGATGATGCCCGACAGGTTGAAGAGAACCGAGGCGTATTTTTGCCTCCATACTCTTCCAAACAGCTTCACAATGAAGAACCCCAAACTGTACATTCTTAAAAATGACACATGACATTTTGCAGTAATCTGATTATATCCAAACAAATTAATCAAACAAATATACAAACAAATTTTCACTTATCGTCAATAATTATTGTTCGCCGAAATGGGTTTCCATAGCAGGTTTGATTTCAACTACTACAGGTAACTGGAACCGTTGGCCTCGTTAGTGTATGGAGGAAGGACATCCTCCATGGTTAGAGTGTGCCCTTCAAATTTAATGATCAATCTCAACCTATAGACCAATACGGAGTTTCATATTTGCACGGTGGCAAAAAACTCGGACCTCTACATTTCAATTGCTCTTGTTGCCATGGCAAAGTGATACGCAGTGTCTTAAAGATCATTGTCTTTAGCTGTAGGGAATACTGCGTTCCAATTCTTGAAGATTTCTCTTAATATTACACCCAACTGTTACAGTTTCTCCCCACGAGTGTTAATCATTCACGCTAGATCGCAACATGGACGCAGTTTGTTTGCAGAGCGCACGGCTTTATGGTTTTCAGGAGGGTTCCCATGTCAATTACCAGCGCCTGCTTTTCTGATGATGCCGCTTGGTTGCTCTCAAGATGCCTTCTGTCTCATCACCGCGTTTTGTTAAGCCGGTGTGGTGTATAAGGAGTGGTCCAAAACTAAGTGGTTAAAATTGGACAGATTCCATAAATCTCCTGTCATTTAACTCTTTGACAACCCTTTCCAAAGATAAATTCAAGTCAACCCTAACCCCCCCTAGGGTGTATGTATAGAATCATATTAAAATCAAAGGAATCGGGACTGTTTGCTGGCAACTGATGTAATATCTAAGAGTTCCAACTCCCACGAGCGGCCTTTGCGTGGGTTCTTTGCTTGGATACTCAAATCAGTTTTAAGTAAAAATACCAAGAACCCACGTTCCGAGAATTTTTTGGGGAAAGTAAGGCCATACACTGTTTCCAAGAACAACCACCGATTGTACCTTCTGGTTCATTCTTCAGCGGCAAAGGTCACGTCTTATTTACTTGGCTACGCTGGGGAACAACACGTGTGGCTATGGAAGCGGCTACAGCCATTTACCATGGACTTGAGTATTGTAGCCAGTCACAACCACGTAGTTCGGAAGCAGCCACAATTTTTCACATATCTCCTTTATTGGCCATCAGAGGTGGTCAACAATTTGGTAAGCGTCTTGTCTGGCTGAATTGGTTTTGCTCCTGTACAAAAGCTACTGAAACAACAACAAAATGATATTTCTGTTTACTGCTGTGTGTCCTAAATGAGAAAACCCTAAGTGTTTTACGTTTTAGAAATAATTAACGATCCAGAAAGTGGGACTGACCAAAAGGAAAGGAGAGACAGGCAGATCTTCCTTGAAGGAAGTTGTTCCTTGTCTAGGAACGGAATGTTAATGTCATGAAGAATGCGCGAAGTTGACGACACGCCACAAGAACGCAGTGATCAAAGTTGACAAGAAAAACAAATTGAAGTGTTTGGATGGAAGTGGTTTGGAGCGCTTGACGCACTTTGCAACAATTTCAATCTGATCAGGAAGGATTGGGGGTCTGAGAGGGATAAATGCCAACTACTGAGGTAGGCCAACACGTCCATAGGTACAGACTCCGAAGGTCGAGGACCCGCTGCTTAGGCAATCAGCTGGACCGGCTTGAGCGCGATAATTGCCCGCGTCCCTCTGCTCCGCGACTCGCTGAGAGCCCTGGCCACGTTATCGTTTACCCCATCTTCATCGAAACAATACTTTTCTCTCGCAGATGCTCAAAATTGCCTCTCATTTATAACTGTTTGGATAGCATTTGTTTTCCTTGGCGGGTCATTAGTGACGATGTTGAAGTTGAACCTCTCTGTGTCAAAAGTACAAACGCTGCCACCATCTCCTCTTCGGAACTCTTGGCTGAAATCTTGCTTTGAAGTGTGTGTTAAAAAGGCTTTCACTGGCTACACTTCCGGTCATAACTTCATTGCATCAGTTAAGCTCAACTATGCAAATTTGAGTACCAAATTAAAAAATACAACGGACAGTTTCATTCACGTCCAATTTTACCATAGGATTTTATTTGCATGGTTTTACGATTGAGGGGAGTTAAACTTGACGGACGTTGGTTCATGATTCAGGAAATGTATCTAATTTCAAGCCTGATATTTTCAGAAATTAATTTAATCACAAAATTTTGCAACGCATCCTTTACTTGACAGATAACACCCTTCATCGCCTTGACAAAGATGGTAGTTACATTTAATCTTCAAAGTTTTTAGTCTCTGTGACAACAATCTCAAAGATCGGCCGTTTCCTGCCTGGTGCATCTCGTCTTGATTGGACCATTTGTCACCAATTTTGGGTGATGGTTTTGGTCGTCAACATTATCAAGCGGATTTACACTATGATCATTAGCGGCCACGGTAGCTCAAAGTTCAAGCACCAAAAAGTACAAAAATAAATAGAATAAAAAGAAAAGTAAAAAGCAGAGAGTGTGAGAAAACCTTCCCCCATCACCGGGAGCTGACAGGCGGCACTGCCATGTTTACTCTTCCACTCGACTGCGTCAAGTCTCTCCCCCTGCCCACTCAGTTATCAAGCTCTGTGCATGCCAACGATCATGATTTTCTTGGTAACCCAAAACGCAAAACTAAAGAAAAGAACTTTCTGGCGTTGACTGACTGGTGTTTCTCAACCCGATTCGATATGGTGATGTAGATTAATGTGCTTTTAACGGGCACATTTTCGTATTCTATTTCCTGATAATGTTGGAAATTAGATCCATTAGGATCCTCACTTTCATATGAAAAGCTTTCACAAAAAAAAATTCGGGACGACTTAAAGAAATGAAAAGAAACCGCATATTAATACTCTCTTCGAAGATTCGTCGTGTTGGAACTCAAGCGACGTAACCTTGTACAGCACTTGAAGAGCTATAGGTTTTGTAATCTAAACATATTCGGTTAGAATCAATTCAAGTAGCCCAAGGTTGCCAGTCCAGCCTCTGTTTCAGCTCGACCATGCAAAGCAGCCATTTTACTGAAGAGCCGACTTATCCAATCACAAACTTAAGTCATGCATCGGTTTCGGTTGATTTCTTCACGTCGTTCCCTCTACCAGGCCGTGTCGTACGTTCTTGCCTCCTTCAACAACGTGCGTCTCCCTGTTGCCCGGCAACCGTGAAGTTTCTGATTATGTCACAGGGCACCCGTAGGGTGAGTTCGTGCGGCTCACTGGCTTGCTTGCTTGCTCTACCCCCACCCCATCATGCATCATGTCAATTAATGAGAAACTGACATGACCCGATGGTCCAGGCTGTCGTGTGCGCATGGTCTTTCCACAGGCAAGGTACAATAACATAGAATTCCGCAGCTCTCAAGCTGCGGTTCATGACGTCAACTGCCTGCACACCGCATCATGAAGGACCACCGAGAAAGGACACAGACTCCCTCGACCTGGTGGTAACATCACCACTCCATTTTTCTCCATCTCTGAGTTCATTTACCCAAAGCCCTGTCTCATTCTCGAGATTAATTGTGTGTATTTCTACCCATCAGCGGGTTCCAGTCAATTCATACACCTCAAAGCCCGGCACAGCTGCAGGGACACGTTTACCGTAAGGAAGCCGACCTAACAACACGGGGCTCTGGTCATTTGCCCCCCCCCCCACGATCTTCTGCTTGATCTCCGGTGGCAACTTTCCACGAATTCGCCGACAAGATCACGGACAACAAATTTGTACAAGTCGCCTGGCTGTTGAACTTGGTGGTCTCCAAAGATTTCTTGAAGGGAAAAGTTGGAAATATTGACAGGAAAGCGCCTTAAAGAGCCATTTTTTAAGCTAAGGATATGGCAACTATGTCAAAGGTGTAACATACATTAATATGCTGATATTGAAACAAAACGAATGAATGGCCAGGATCAACAGATCATATTTAGTTGGCCATTTGAAAAATTATTTGGCCATGTCGTTGAGTCTGACATCAACGATAGCAAACCGGTACGCTGCCCATAGTGCCAATTCATAAACTTACCCGTACGGTTATGTGCACATTACTTGCAATTCACCTGAGTTGGGCTCCTGTGAGGTCACGTGGCACACCATCTTACCGGCAATTGGTCTTCCATATCTGGCATGCTGACATCGCCCCCGTATGTTGATGAAAACTGTAAGTGTTTATAAAAAGACAGGCAGAGCCTTGCGTCCGAGAGTAGCGCAGTGTAGAACAGTGTTTGTGAAGAATGTTTTCAAGAGAGGCAAGTGCCGCTACGGTTCATCTCCCGTCAGATTCGAGTTCACGCTGTTTCGGTAAGGAACCAACACTTCTCCAGTCAGGACCGTGGTATTAGCTGATACCTACTTAGTCAAGGATACCACAGGGTCTGCGACATTCTTGACACTATGTGCTCCTTATCTAGAAATCATCAGTGCTAGCATGGATAGTTTCTGATGATGCAGAAACGGAGTTGCACCCTGATTAGGTCAGCGCGACCATACTGTGTACAAGCCTGAAGCATTTCTGCTCGAGGATCATGGAGGACAATACTTCTAAACTTGATGAGCAGGAATGGGTGTCGACCTTGATATGGGATTGGATAGAGATCTTACGACTGATCTTTGCAATCACAGGTATTATTGGCAACACGCTAGTTATCATTGTCTATGTACACCGGCGTCGGATGCGAAACACTACCAACGCCTTCATTGTCAATCTGGCCGTGGCTGACTTGATCACATCGATATTCATCATTCCAGTCCCAGTCTTGTCTAACATTCCTCCGATCTGGGTCGGCCGGATGTATTGCAAGACCATCTTCAACAGTGTCTTCATGTGGATTTCCATAGTGGCGTCGATACTGACGCTCACCATGGTGTCTCTCGAGCGCTACTTCGCCGTGGTCCACCCAGTTAAGTATCGGGTCATCTTCTCCAAGTGGCGGCCCCGAGCCATCATGGCATGCGCATGGTTGTGTTCAATCATAATTAATACCTTCAATCTTTATGTGGTGGATCTACACAAAGGTGGCTATTGTTACAACAACTGGCCAAGTCTTGGTTTCCGGTACTTGATAGCCACCTCTGTTTTCCTCCTGGAGTATTTCGTACCGATGATCATCATGTTGGTGGCTAACATTGTCACCGTGAGGACTTTGAAGAGCCAGGCCCGGGCGCTACTTCAGCGGGATCAGTCGCGGTTCAGCCCGGCCTACTCGCTCTTGGAGGCCCGCCGTAAAGTCATCGAAACCCTCTTAATCGTGGTCATCACCTTCATCGTTTGCTGGACTCCGGACCAGATCGGGTTTTACATCTATCACTTCGGGGGTGTGCCGGAATCCTACATCAGAGAGCCTCTGTATCGCTTCATGGTACTGTTGGCCTTCGCCAATTCTTGCGCTAATCCGATTATCTACGCCTTCAAAAACAAGCATTTCAGACATGGGTTCATGAATATGATTCGAAGGAAAGGCAACAGGATTGGAAGCAACGCCGACTCCATAGCGGCTGAAGAAGAATTCAACACGGCAAATGTGACTGTCCGGACGGTACGACCTAAGGCCGCGTCAGGTGTGGTCACAGTGCAGTCCTGATCGTACCTAGACGACAAGACGAATCAATCAGCGGTCACAGGCAATCAGATCTATTCACGGACGTCACCTAAAAAAGTGCCTGGACTCGTAACACTCTTAATCAGCCCACATAGTTCATTGAAGCCACTAGTGGCCATCTTACCGCGCCGAATAGAAAGGTCTAGTTATACAAAGACTTGCTCGACATTGTTAACCAAATCATTCGTGGTAACAAAAGCTAAAGTGATAACTTTTGTATTAGGCACGGTAAGATGGCCGCTGGTGGCCTTAGCTGATACAAGCGCATTGCGAATCCAGATTTGTCTTTTACAACGTCCGTAATTCCGAGTCTTGCCCGTGACTATTGGATTCTTTTCCGTTGTCCTCCATTCATATGCATCAATCGAACAAAACCTGATACTGACAGATGTAGGTTGTACCTAAATGTAGTTAAGTACATCTTTTCAGGCATTACAATGATGCAGTCAAAGTAGTTAAGGAAACAATCTACTTGTGTATTGAAACCTATATACGTTGCTGGCGGACTACTGACCTAACTCTTATCTGTATTGTAGCCCCTTATCTGTGTAAGAATCGTGCTTTAATCTACTGTCTCATTACTACCCGCCACTTTTAAAATCGTTCCACCGTCCCTGACCCCATGAGGTATGCAGATTTGACAATGTAACCACTGTACATTCAGGGAGGCCCACGGACGTATATAAGAAAATCTGGACTCAGAAGGCCCTCAATCAGTTTATAGAGATCACTGAATCCACTAGCAGCCATTTTACCAAGCCGACTACAAAGCTTGCCCGGCAATGCCTGCCTTTGTTCTCCCTGGCGTCAATAGAAGCGAGCCAACCCACACATTTGTATTCGGCTCGGTAAAATGGCCGCTGGTTGGCTTCTATTTCATACAACGGCATTGCAAGTCCAGGTTTTTCATACGTCCGTGACCAGGCCCCCCTAAATAATAGCACAAGTCTCGTGCCAGACATTATTCAGGAAAAAAAAACTGCTAAGGGCCGATGCAGCGTGGCGGGTGGCGGGTTGGCGCTCAGCCCCCTGCTCTAACACCAAAAGTAAATACATGAATAATGAAAAGACAATTACAGTAATAATAGTAAGATGACATTCTATAAGTTATTAATTGTCCTGTGTAATGCCTTACTTATGTGTGTGCCTGTCCGCAACAATCGGACCCCCCAAAAAATTCTACGAGCCTGATCCCCTGGATAAACTTCCGAGACCGCTCCTGAAGGCCATGACTGACTACAAAAAGCAATGAGAACGAGATTGCTCATTTCGTGCATTCTCGCATATTGCTTTTTACCATGCAAAGAAACTTGAAATAATTCTTGAGTGTTTATTGCATTAGAAGTGACGTGAAAGTACAGGGAACACTAAATGTCTACTATTAATCGAGTGCAGCCAACTAAAACAGACTGTTGCTAAGAGAACTACAAGCACTTAATTCGACATGGAAATTTATCTCTGCAGATCTCTGCACGTAAAACGTTCACAGCACGATTGAAAACACACCAGAGACTGCTTCCATCGCAAGTATCTTGTGCGTTTTCTGGCACATGCACGTCATTTTGCAGATCAGTATACTCTGGGATCACGATCAAACACGTGTGAAATCGTGATAGGTTTATTCCGAAGGAAATTTACGACGTAAACCGATCCAGTGACTCAGTCATTAATGTAAATGGCTGTTACAGCATAAATTAATGATGGACATTAGTTCTTAGTGGATGGTGTCATCAATTCAAAGTGAACTTTAAAATGCGACATTTCCTCTTGTGAAGAACTAAAAACCAAGATCGACACATTTAAAGCATAATACAGTTGCGGATTCTGCATGTAATAACCTATCGATATTTCTCGTATTTGTAGGACCATCTTATCCCTGACGTGTTGCCTAGACAGTAAACTAGCTGGATGCATCTATGTTTCAGAAATTGTAATTAAGATCATAGATTAATTAGTAATAACAGAAGCAATATGATCAATATGTTGTTGTATGAGATATGTAAAAATCAGTTAAGCCGAAAAGGACGGCTTTGTGGTTTTTTTTTTACTTCAACATCGTCTACAGGTTTCATTGCAATGATGGATGCGAGAAGTAATTTTTACCTCTCAAAACTATCATGTTCAATCATGTGCTGAAACAGAAAGCAAGCGGAAAACTCGTCGTGTCAGGAAGATCAAAAGGTATCTTAATTTAAAAAAATTCCGACAAGACAGAGTGTTTCACTTCACCACAATAATTCACAACTTGCCAGTTTGACACGATGGCCTTTTGTGTTTGGTGTAACGCCAACCAATTACAAACAAACACACGCAAACCACGAGCCCCTTGTTTTTTCCCTAAAAAATCTGTTCTTAAGTTGTTTTCAAAAATCTTCTAACCATGAGCCACTTCGGTATTTTAGATGGCAAGGTCAGTCGATCGAGAGCAGCGATTCAAGCTTACAAGTCAGACCAATGACGCCCGCTGTTGTACCTCGATCGAGCACGCGTATAGAAGATTTTCAGTCACGTGATTTTTGACAATCAGCGTTCCATTGTCACCGATGTGCGTGGAAAGGGCGCGCCTTTGAAGTCCCTCAACATTCTGGCGTACATGAAATTGCCAGTACAATATATTTAATGATTCGACAGAAAAAGTCCTGAAATGACTTTGCCCGTCATGTTACGTACCGTGAATGACCTTGGACGCACGTCATTTTGGGCATGCGCTATTGGAATACCGAACTGGTCTATTGATCAAAACCAAGTTAGTTTACAAGACAGTCTGTTATAAACATTAAGAGTTTCGTGTTGTAATGCTATTTCACTTAATGTTCCAAAAGATAAATGCTATATAGACGCAAGAGGCAATTAGTTGGTAGACAATATTCAACTTTCTCTTGTAATATCGCTGAACTACTGAGTATTCTGTGGGTAGTAGTAAAGCTTTCAATATCATTAAAACAATTACATTTATTTGGTGAACATTGCAAAGGTTTGAACTTATTTTATTACTGAATGGTACCTGACTATTTACAAGTGATGCGCAACTAAAGTTATTGCAATTATTGAAACTAAGCTGATATATGATACTTCGTTAATATAACTAAATGTATAAGTCGTATTACAACAAAATTGATAGTCCGTTATCAATCATGTGAAGTTCAGCATATTGAATATTATTTTGCTATGGTGTGAATATATTAAGTTATTGTGATTAGCATGTATTCTGGCCATTCCCCTTATGTCCCAGAATCAGTACTCGGCTTCCAGCAGAATACCATGGTGACCGCACGTGCTATATTTAGCTAGTATAGAGCCAGACAACAAGTAAAATAAACTCCGGTTGGGGAACTGAAATTCGTTGGGTGCATGTCGACAATCGTCTTAGCTCGCAATAATATACTAGCAATGTGGACCGAAGATGTACACACATCCATTTCGTTTACAAAACTTGGGCAAAGCTTGTTAAGACGACAAAAATGTAGAATTCTCCCAGCTTGACAAATACACTCACTGGGAATATAGTAATATTGCAAAACCTGCGTATATATCAAATCTTTGCTCTGTTGTATAAAATCTGAAGTGCAGAATTGCTTTAAGTTTGTCATGGACTAATAACATGATCAATCTGCAATGACCAATTCAATAAAGAATGTCGAAGAAGGATATGTTGTTTGACTTTCTTTCAGTCGCGAAAATCATGATACTTTGTACTGTTTGTTTTATTTGCAAGCCCGGGATCACCTGATCAGCGTGCCATTTTAGTAGCAAGTTGCTGCTTTCACCCAGGTTTGTATTGGACGTGTAAAGATTTTGGAACTATAGCAGACAGTCGGAAGTCTCAAGCGCATCTCTAAGGATTGTCAGTGATTTAGCTTTGTGAAACATTAAAACTCTGAACATGTTTCTTAAATTTATCCTATAAGAATGGAATGCAAACTCACAGATGGACTCTATACCGCCGCGCCACTGCCCCATAAAATAACTGATTGTCGTGGTCATCTTCGACTCCCGAAGGACGAACAACATGTTTTGCCCTCATTATCTGCTCATTTTTAAAAGACTCAATAATCTCCACACTAGAAATCAAGCAATCAATAAACATGGTGAACCTCGGTTAGTATCCACAATCCACGAGGGCAGTGCCCATAGTGTTAGCAGTGTTCTAACACCTCACAAAATATTTTCGAGAACTTTGTCCTATTATTTTCACATTTATCATCGAGCCAGAGGCAGGTTGGAGTTTTGGCACTCCAGTAAAAGAGCGTTAAGTCACGCCATAAGCTCTCGTGACATATGGGGCTATCATGTCATTGGAAAAGTGGACCGGAAAAGAAGGGGTTCTGATCCACTTTTGTTCGACAGTCCAAGCGACAAGGGTACGCTGATGACCTTATGAGCATTGGATTAGCAGGTGTTGGCGTGAGGCAGTCTGGCGCCTGGCAGGAATGAATTTCACCATGATATGAATTGCATCTTTAATAAAAACCAATGCAGGATCTGGATTTCACAATGAGAACAAATGAACTTTAAAAACCTGAGGAGAAAAAAATGTTCATCTAAAGCAAAACGTGTGTTTAATTCTACACATCGTAAACCATCACATTATACCCAACGTTTCAGGCATTTTGTGGGAGTAGTCTTTACACCCTGATTCATACAAATTTCGATGAAGAAAATATTCATTGCAAGCCCATGATTTCTGTCCAAGGCGTAAATCCTACCACGATTACCAAACATTATAGTTCCACTTCGCGTGCACAAATCGTGACAAGGTGTCAACTGCAAAGAAATGTCACAAATGTCGTATTTAAAAAAAAATCACTTTCTTCAGTGACATTGGCTAATGTCCTCTATCATTGAAACTACTGATAAATTGCAATTAAAACACCGTTACCACTCTGGTAAGGACAGAGAACAAAATAACTTTCAAACTGTAAGTGGTAGTCGGACTGCGCTGTCGTGTATACACACGTCTTTATGGTGGACTATAAATAACGCGTATTTATCTTGTATGTTCTTGGCTGTGCTGTCAAACTATTTGCTTGGGAGGTGTCGTTTTGTACTTCGTGCATTAATATTTAACCTCATCACGCGTCTCTGGGAGGCCGATGTAGACATAAGAGATGGCAAGAAATTTAATGCAAGAGATCGTTGAACAAACACTCAGGCAAAAGCCATGGTTTTTGTTAAAAGCAATGTTTCTACCATGGATTCTTGGCAGGTTCACAAATGTCTGTAAAGAGGGGTTTGTTATTTAGGGAGTACCCGTTGAAAGGTACAAGTTGTTTGGCATTTTTATAAACACGCTTGTTTTTTTTACACAGACCTGACTTTTAAACAATTCAACATCATGGATGTTTAATGTAGAATCGTCTATACGACGCTTGCCAGCGTTCAGCTTTCCTGTATAATTTAAAGCTTGTACCATTCTAACACCCTATGCCATCTCTTTTGTATTATTATTCTCCTTTGTGTTGGCCAAACTGTGCCCACAGTAGTTGTAGCAAAATGACTTTTAACAGGCGCGTTTGTCCACCGGTCACGGCGCAAGAAGAGAGACAGTTCCTTTAAGACAGCAATTATGTCGTGCCTGAAATAAGAGTTCGGATTGTACCTGCTTGCGCATAACGTCACCAACTTGCACTTTCTCGATCTTCGGCTTCGGTCATCTGCCTGATTAAACAACTTATTACATCACATATTTTGCCCGAATTGTGGAGTACATATTGTCTTGAGTGTCTTGAAGAGTTTTTGTCATTAATCACCGACGAACGGGTCCATTCTGCATTTGTGAACAAAAATGCTGTGAGTCTTGAAGTACAAGAAGACTTTATACCTTTGTCTCGAAAGCAGAGCCGGCGAGCGGTCAAGCCTGGTCCTGCTGCTAGTGTATTTGATCGGCGGACGCTGATTCTACAGCTACCTGGGAAGGAAATTAAAAAGAAGGCTTTAGCTTGACTTTTTCAACTGTGCAAATTGAAACAGGACATTTTATCAACAAAACTTATTCAGGATGGAAAAAAAAAATGCCAGCCCCGTCTGTGATGGTGGCACAGATCAATTTGTTTTTTTTTGCGAGGGGGGGGGCTGTGCCACACGCCCCCTGGATCCGCCCCTGACGTGAGTTATATTAGTGCCTGTGGTCGAGGTGCGAAGTAGCTTTTTGATTATGTGCCTCTTTTAGTAGTCTGGGCTCAAATTTATGACAAGTTCCTTGGTGTTTTTTCGTATATAATCGCTAATGTGATGAATGGGCAAGATTCGCCCCAGTTTGGTCTCGCTGGGGGACAGCTGCCAAAAAGGGTGAAAAATGACGAGGGTACGATATTCACTTTGCTCTCCAAACAAACGGACAGATCAAAACGTCTTGTGTGATCGCGTCAACAGGGCTATTGATGGATGACTTCAACGCATCAGCCTTAGTGATGCCACCCCTCTGGTCGTGAAATTTACTCTGGATAAACAGGGAGTTTTATGCAACAACGCGGATCAAGGCGTTTATATTTGACCTTGTTCACATTAGGTGTCTCTTAAAACAGAGCCACATTGTACTCTTGGGTGGAAGGACAACGAAGAGTAAACAATATTAAAATAATGGTCGACTGTTAAATTGGCAATTTTTTGTCTCTCGTGTGTGGAGCGGTTCTGCAGTGCTCCGGAAATGGTAATAAAGTCACGTAAACTGGGCAAATGGGGTAAAATTATAGCAAACCTTGCGTGAACTTTGAGTTGTTTTCATGAGGTGGTATTTTGACGTTCTACATAAAAAATTAGAACTGCAACCTGCATCTTGAATTTCGTTGTGACACGGCAAAGACCGCAAAATGTCGCAAATACTCTCTTCCAAAGCTGGAAACTTCAGGTGATGGTGGGCCTTTCTATTTTAATACAGATTAAACCCCCAATTATCGATGTTATGAACCCATGGGGGAGAGAAATTCTACCCCATCCCGGTCAGAAGTTAGGGCAAACCCACTGCCTATGACCGGTAATTTGCTTATAACTTGAGGTACTCTCCATGAGCTAATTACATTGTACATACTTCCACATTGCCATGCAGTTGATTGGCTTCCAGCAACTTGTGACGTAAGCTATCTAAAACCGATTAATAATTTTCAAATCAAATGAGGAGATGTTTGCCAAACTCTCCAGTCCTAGTCATTATGTATTGATAGTTCTCTTTTTTGACAGGTTTGCGGAGTGGAACCTTTTAACGCAAAACTGACATTACAGCCTTTAATTCAGAAATGGAACAGGAGGGAACAGAGTCTGAAGTTCAGTTTTAATCACTATTTTGGTCTAAATGCATGCTCTTAGTTAATTACATCAATTATTCACCAACAATGGTGTATCTGTGTTTCAAGTCAAGACGCAAAATAGAGTGGTTATTTTACCAAAATGATATGTTCGTTTATTAAAAAATATTAAAGGGAGTGTTCTCAAAGACAATGCATTTAGCAACAATCGGCAGTCAGCAAGTTTTGAGCCCTTCCCTAATGATATTATTAATCTGGTAAATAATATGTGATAGTAGACTTAAACACTGTACAGCATAGAATCTTTTCGACACATGCGCGTTTTTCGAATACATGACGATTACGGGTCAGTCGATATGCGACGTTGCCCCATCCCATTTGTGGCTGTTGGGCTCTAACTTGACTAGTTTGATACACATTGATGCATTGAATCATTTTAACATTCCTTCCTCACTTGGAGATACGAATCGTCTTTATTGCATGTGCACTCCGTCAAGTACATGACAAACTCGAGCTCCACGCTACGGTTCCATCGGGAAAAATGATGAGTGAAAATATTGCTGTGCGCCATTGATGATGTTATCTTACACGTGTATTTGCTGTGCGCTTAAGAAACGTGGTACGTCGGGCTGCTGGCGAGATTGACGGGATATGCTGCGTCCATGAATGACTTGAGCCTGACATTTTGTTTTGTGATATCAGGTGACTGGTTTCTGTGAAGTGATATCGAAATGAAGCATTGGTTGGAAACTGCAGTTCCATTGTACAGAAATTAAAGTCGGAATGGTGATGAGTAAGTTTTTCATGTGTAGGCCTACGACTGTTTGCTGTTGTTTAATAAAATGGAACAGTGAGCAGTGGAGTGTAAGTCTCTGGGAACGGCTTTTCCTTGTGGAATTCGTGAAGTTGATTTCTCTTTCAATTCATCTTTTGGTTCAGTTAATACTGACGCATTCCTTTCATTTACTGAGAAAATTGTTTAACTTACATTTTTACTGCTATTTCGTCACGCCACTTGATATCCATAAATAATAATACTATGCATTATGTTGTACATGATGTTGAAATGTCGAAAAAGGGAAGAAATCCGAAGTTTTTGTACAGCTGAAGAAAAACAGCAGAGGTCAAAACATCTGGGCGAAAACCTTTGTCCGTTATTTGACATGAAGGGTTTTTTAGTGGCAACACTTTAAAGTATAAAACCCGGTTAACACACTGCTACCTGAAGTCGACGTGAATGGCAGACGGTAGCACACAGCATATGGCTTGGGGAAGGTCACGTGCTTGGAGATCAACCTCTCTCACGTCACACAAGTGTTGTTATTCGTTTCTCCACTTGAAGCAGTCTAGTCCCGGGGTTGAGGAAACGTAAACAACGTGTCACTTGTATTCCAGATACGAATGCCAAGCTCACACTAGTGCCGGTAGCATTTTCAGATTGAAAAGTTCATCCCAAAATCGGTGAAGGAATGAGGAACCAGCATGTACTGGAAAGGATGGCTTTAATTTAATTACGGAGGTCATTAGAGGCGCCCCACTTGAGTTCATAATGTGCTGATCCGCAGAGGAAAACAAATACATTTCTCTTGTTCTGCCTTACCCTGGCAATTATTACCAGTGAAAATGGTGTCCTTGTTTGCTGTAAAGGTGGTCTGCTCTACATTTGAATACTACGTTCGAGTCACCCTAGAACTTCCGTCAAGGTAGCAGAAATCTTATATTATGATGTGCGATTAAATCTCAGCGGAGATAACAGTTTCAATTATTGGAAGTCTTGGTATTGATGACTTGTCAGCTGTTTTTTCTCACATCATTTACGCTCAAGTCATTTCGATATAGCTAATAATTGAAGCGACACTTCATCTTTGGTCGGAGATGAAAAATCATGAAATCTTTGGAACACACGTCCTAACGCTGAACCCTGAAATTATTAGTTCATGTAATTGAATTCTGCCAGCCAGACAGTGTTGACACAAAGCTCTATGGCCAGTGGTTATGCCTAATGAAAAACAAAACTGGACGTGTTACTTGTTAAAGAAGGAAAGTGGAGCCTGCCATGGCTCTGTTTGAGTTTAACAGCAGCAAATTATTTTCTCCCGGCGTTATGTAGGGAACATCACTTTTTGAAAGTCGTCGGTGGACCGAGAACATTTATCGAGGCGTTGGACAGACACGTTATTGCTTTTTCATTCTTAATAACAGTGTAGTTGTGGAACGCTGGGTATACAAGTTGCATATAATGAAAAGGTTACAGAGAACTATGCTCACTGATTGCGTGTCTTTAATGGTACACATCGGTCGTCAGGCAGAGACGTATATGAAGTGGAAAGCGGTTGTGGAGGCGAATGAATATTCTTTGTCATGTATTTCTATTGTCCACCTCCTCACATTTAGATCGTTTTGAACCAGGCACGCCAAAGTCGTGTGCTCGATCATTTAACCCACAACACAGATTCTTTATACATGTAGAAGAATACCCTGACTTACGATCCATCGGTTGACCAGTCCTCTTTTACCGCTGTTGGTCAGAGATTCACAGACCTTTTTCTCCCGTAATGGTTGTTGGGCTAGAGCTGGCCATGTTAGGAAGATCGGTCGGTTTCAAGTCATTCATTAATTCTCTCTTTTCATTCAGGATCACTACTGCAAGTATCCATCTTCACATCTGAACCTGCTGGCGAGGGCAATGCGTCCTGCGCGATGTACTGCCATAATATCGACACATTGTCACACTCTACTAGTTTTATTGCTCACCAAATAATAGAGGCAGGTGGAAGATGCCACCGAGTCCCGCTATGCACAATAACAGATTACATAAGAGTATCTAACTGAATTAAAAGGAAAAAACTCTAATACCCTGAGAGAAAACAAAAACGACAACGTAACGAAAACGCCTAGTTTCATCGGAAGGTTGCAACAACTATTCTTATAGATTCCGCAATATATGAAGGTGTTTCGGGAGCCTTAAAGCCATAAACTTCGCTAATAAGTATGAAATACGATTAGGTTACCAACATAAAACAGTTTAGTTCGCGACAGTCGGTATCGTCGACTTGATCGAGAGACTAACATGACTTAATTACGCGTTGCAGTGACGCCATTATGTGCAAACACAGAAAATGCTGAACGTAAACAAAGCTAGAGTACCTGGACTAAAACGAGCGTGCTTTAGAAGTTTGGTCAAAAGATGTCACAGATTCTGACAGCATCACATTCCTGAAGATACTTTGTTCTCAAATTAAACCCTGAGACCTGGACTCGCATAGACATGCACGACCAGCCTCTGATAAAATCCCCCTTATCACTGAGTAAAAACTTGGCGCCAAAAAGTGGACACTTGGTGCCTGGCAACGTCAGAAACCAGTAACTCCCTCAGGAACCAATGTGAAACGATACCGTAACGACACGACCAGGGAAGATTTGACTCAATGCGTCGCTCTTCCACTTCAATTAATGATAGAGGAGACGTTGATCACGTCCTGTAAATACTCGTTTTTTTCTTCATACAGTAGGTACATCAAAACGCCATCGATACTGATCTCTACCGTCGAGTTCTAGGATATTTACTAAGGATTCAAGTCGGTGGTTTTACTTTGTTCACGAGCTTGTTCACCGCTGTTTACTCACGGCTGTATGGACGGGTGAACTGGCACAAAATTGAACACACGCTGCCAACACAGATACGAGTGGCAAAGCAAAAGACATCGTAGATGGTGAGTCTGTCGTTAACAGTCAGAGCCCGGAACTATGCCGGAAAAGTCCTCGAAAAGCTCATTAAAAACGGCTCCTCGTGGCTGCCAGCCCTGGAGAATCAGACAGTTATAAATTGGTAGAAAACAGAATTACTCAGAAAGCAGAACATTAAAAATTAAATGTGGACTTCAACCTTGTTTAAGATGCAATAAACACGGAGAATGACAAACCACGACTTCTGGAACAACTTAATGCTGTCAACTTTAGCATTTATTAAACCTCAGCGCTATGATAGGAACAAAACCAAGGTTGTAGAGATGAAGCACATTCAGCACGTTGGAAACTTTTGTCTAGCATGCGCATTTCCTTGTCTATCACAGATAACAAAACCCTTAAAGCTTTAGGAGGGCAAATCAATGTCCACTCTCTTTTATGCGACAAACCACCTGCGCATTTCATGACGTCATATCATGGGCACGCATTCATCATAAGATACTTCGAGCCGCTTGGTGGCAGTAGACGAGCCAGCTTTACCATACAATAAGCGTTAGGCCCCGTCCGAATCACTTGGCTGCAGCTTGACATTATACACGACTCGATGGGAAGTGGCTGCGGCTCAAAACCATAGACTCATGCGTAATTGCAAGCCACAGCCAGGTAATTCGGACACGGCTTCAATCTAATTAATAACAGGATTTCATACTTACACATAATTATGGCTTAAACTTTGGGGAAGCATCTTAATCCATCGCATAAGTTGAATAACCTCGATGTATATTGAAATAAATTGAAATTCCACAAGTCAATAAAGCTTAACAAGATGTTGTGAAATCGACAAAATTAATCGGTCAAAATTCCCCAAAAGTTAATTTACTAAAGCATTTGCAACCTTATCCGTTCTGCATGAGTAGCACTTGTCAACATTGCAGTAGCCAAGCTACATTTCATGGACATTTCATGTTTTCACCCTTTAAAGCCTTCCCTTGTCTCCCTTAGATTTTTTCTTCTTATTTTTTCGAGGTTGAAGATTTCCTTTGACTCGACCCTTGAATGGCAGTTCAGGGGCCATCTCAGTCGGTTCTGCGGCCGTTATCTCTTCCGGTTCCTCCTCAACGGATGATGAGGATACCGAAGAAGACGTGTCTTCACCTTCTACCACTTCACCTGTGTCCCCCTCCGCCTCTCCGTCTACTTCACCGGCTTTTCCTCCGGTCTCTTGGGGCGTCGTCGGCGGCTGACGATCACTTGCCACCATGGGGCGGAACTTGAGCTCAGTGCGGCGCAGGGAGTAAGTCAGACCCCGCCAGGTGTGCCACATGACCCCTTCGCCAAACTCCGTGTGCACACCGGCCAGGTAGCGTCCATTCAGATTGCTGTCACCACAGAGGCGTGGGTACCACCAGGCCCCGCCTCGAAAGGAGGAGCACTGACCCCCGGAGAGGTCACTGTCACTGGTTGAGAAGGAACTGCCACGATGTGCGCTGAGGGAGTCACCTACAGCAGAAACAAAAAAACAGAAAATATATGGTTTTAGTTGGGAAAACAAAAATTCGCCTCGCCATACAGTTTTCGTAGGTCATAAGATTCATTGTTTCTTTATTTGAAGGTGCTACCACGTGTCCGCTGTTGGTCATGTCTCCATTTATTTTATGCAAATTTTCAGACGGACTTTTGGAAGGAACCAATTTATGAGATCAGCTTTCCCAGTTAGGTTCCACCAGCACGGCCCTTCCATACAGAGCTATGACACTGCTGAGCTTACCAGCATCGCCGCCGGTGTAGTTACCGATGTACAGCCGATAGTTGTCAGTCTCGCTTCCGATCCGGAACTCAGCGTAAGTCGCCCAGCTCTTCCCGCCATCGAAATCCTCCAGGTCCACCCTAAGCAGGTAGTCGTCCTGCGGTGTGATGTGGTACAGGTGCTCATTGCCTAACCAAAATTCTGCTCCAAGGCTGCCGAAGCCCAGACGGTAGTCCAACCAGCGAAGAAAGAAGTTCTGCCGGTTGTCGTACCGCCGCTGGAACACCTGAGTTTGTTTTTCAGATAAAAATAATGGGGCATTGGATGAAAGAGACTACAAGAAGGGACGTTACGTAGCAAACTGTCCGTCCCTGAGAGGTTTCGGTGGTGTGTTATATTCAGTGTTTCGTGGGTGAACAGGCACGAATTCAATTACCTTCTGTTTAATCCGCTCCGAGCGTAAAACAAAAGAGGGCGTGTTATTTTGGTACTCANTATGCGTGTTTGACGAGGAGCACAATGAGTACGCGTAACTAATTTATTCAGGAATGTATGGTCTTTGCGTAGACGCAGAACGCGTGCAAGAACCCGCTTGTAGCCACCTGTCTTTCTTTCGCCGATAGGGGGTGCACTTCAGCTTGGGGCGGATAACGTAACTTTAATACTAAGGCTGCATCCAAATCTGTTGTCTAGAGCTAGGTGTAGGTCTTCGCTCCATTGGAAATGTGTGGAGATGCGTAGACAATAGACGTAACCGTAGCTCTAGAAGCCCGTTTTAGACACGGCCCAAATATTGCAACGTCACTAAAATTTATCTTGTTGCAGTATCAAACATTGACAGACAGTATATAATAACTAAAACAGAGGTCAAAGGTGAGTTTACCGTCCATCCCCCGCCATCCGTTTCCATGTCGCAATATACGCGGAGTGATACACACAGGTACACGTCCTGTGGGAAGATCGTGTACACACCACTTTTTGTCAAGCCTCTGTCCTGGATATCTTTACAGTCTTTGGGCAAGGGCTCTGTAAAAAATAGTTCGTCAGAATAAAGTAATTGAAAACATTCTGTGAGTTTGTCCTTGTTTAAATGCAGATTCTGGAAGAGCCAAACAAAACAGAAATCTCAATATGTGTTTCTGGGGATTGTAAAAAGATCTGGCAGCGGTGGGATTCGAACCCACGCCATCGAAATGACTGGTGCCTTAAACCAGCGCCTTAGACCGCTCGGCCACGCTACCACCTTGCCAATGTCTTCGTATTCGTTTAATTTGCACTGTGCTTGAATGATTTATTAAAAGTGTGCTTTTTAAGCGAAACTACGATTAAGTCAATCTGTTTTCAACTGAAACAGATCTCACAAACAGTCTACTATTGTCCCTGTTAGAACAATGATAAATAAGATACCTGCAGGAAACAGTGGCGTGGGTAGCGTGGCCGAGCGGTCTAAGGCGCTGGTTTTAGGCACCAGTCATTTCGATGGCGTGGGTTCGAATCCCACCGCTGCCATAAATGTTTTGGCTCAAATTAACGTGCTTATGACCAAATCCATCAATAATTTTGTTGAAAATAAAATGCTGGTTTCTTTTCATTTGAATATCATATCAAAATTCTAAAAAGACAAAATACTTGGCAGCAGTGGGATTCGAAAAGCGACTTAGACTGCTCGGCTACGCTACCAACATTACATGATATCTTGCGAGAAGCATTTCAGTAGTACCATACAAAGGTAATACGATTTGTTCCGTCCGTATAAGACCTTTGCTTTTATAGCATTACCCACGCGTATTCTTGCATGTTTAAGTCATCGAGGGTACAATACACTTAAGCATAGAAGGCGCTGTGAAACTTAGAACATAACACAAACATAGGCCAACTGTTATATCTTAATAGTCGTTGATTCGTTTAAGTTACCAAGTGTGATTATTTAGCGAAACTATGGTTAAGTCAATCTGTTCTCAACCGAAACAGATCTCACAAACAACCAGTCTATCAATGTCCCTGTTAGAGCAATCATAATTGAATACTTATAGGTAAAACGACATAGGTATTGTGGCCGAGCGGCGCTAAGTAGGGGGGGGGGCACCAGTCATTTCGATGGCGTGGGTTCGAATCCTACCACTGCCCATGTATATTTTGGTCCAATTATTTTTTAAGGTAAAACAGTGCTGGTTTCTTTTTATTTGAATATTATACCAAAATTCTAACCGTTAAGACAAAACATCTGGCAGCTGTGGGATTCGAACTAGCGACATAGACCGCCTGGCAACGCTGCTTACATCACATACTAATCTTTCAAGAAACATTTCAGAGATACCAAAGGTAGTAAAATTTGTTCCGTTCATATCAGACCCTCATTAAAAAACTATTCAAAGCATTGTCCACGCGTATTCTTGCGTGATTATTGCTACTGTGGGTATAACATTGATAAGAAAAGAAGGCGGAGCGAAACCTATAGAAAACTTCGAATATAACACAAGCGTTTTGAGAGGTATTCATTTCACGTTGTTCCTGGCCTCCCAGCTACCGATGCCATGACCATGGTTTCCCATACAGGCTGTATGTCCACATGACGAAGATTTCTTTTTACTTACCTTGCCCAAGAGTGTAGGCACCAGTCCCCTCGCACGGCCCTTCACATTGTGCCTGGGACACCTGAGCGCACCGTAGCAGCCAAAAGATCACCAGGAACACTTGAAACTTAGTGGAAAACTTTCCCAACGAAGCCGAGGCACCCATCTTCAACCCAGACAAACACGTCGACAGTCACCAGCCAGGTTATCGAATTCACCCCGACCCCAACGGAACCCAGAGGAGACGGGCCGGGTCAGCCTCGAAGGTCGCCCACTGCTTGCACTGAGGAATCATCCTAGGTAGCTCCAGGCATGACTTCTCAGATTTCACATGATGACCTTTTCAGCACAGCTGAGTTCGCCTAAACTGAGGGTCGTGCTAGGTGTTGACGGGGGGGGGGTTTGTTGTTACCAAAGATGGCATTACTTGTCTTGGCGTGAGATTAATACATCGCATTGGCGATTCGAAATGACACAATGTAAGTTCTGTGTTGTCTACGATTGTTGTTTTTTCCCAACTGTGTAGTTTTATCGCCTTATGAGGCTGTGTGTGTCAACAAAGGAATGAAAAATATAGGACAATGGCAAAAACTGACATCAATGGCATATGTGAGCATGAGTAATCGGTTGTAAACCTTGTAGTTCATATCTTGCCACCAAATTTCAGTCTCTAAGATTAAAATGGATGGTTTCCAGATATGACTCAACACCGACTCGTGAAGCCTTTCATCGATGAATGAATGAGGGAACAATAAGTTGAAAGTTGTGCAAAGTCGCCCACAGAGTTTCAATAATTGCTCTAAACAAGAGGCCTAACTGTCTCGGCGGACATCTCGGCCCGAGAGGTTTTGGCAGACATCTCAGCCTGAGAAAAGATAACTTGAATATACCATTTGAGGGCGCTGTGTAAGTCTATCAACGACACGGGTGATCTTGGCTTGCGTGCAGTGCATTGTAACTACATGTACATGTATACATGTCCATGTTCTACATGTAGCCTCGATCGATCTACTAGTTACGATTTAGAACGATGTACCCTTCGTATTAACTTTTTATTCGGCATAGTAAAATGGCCGCCGGTTGCTTCAATGACCTATGTGGGCTGATTTAGGGCATTGCGAATCCATTTCTTCAAATATGGCGTCCGCGATTTAACGAGGAAATTATATTCTCGATATAATGCCCGCTGTTTACTTTTTATGAAACAAGTTCAAACAATCAAAATCAATAATATAATCTATTTTTATCTCCTCCTTTTTCCACAATCTAGCATGACTATTGTTCTTCGCTCATTTCAGTCACTTTGATTTTTTAGTCCATTTTTTTTGTTCTGCCGATGGAAGGCTACTAAATGACATGAAAAGAGAACGTTTCCAGCTCGTAGTTTGGATTTCAAAGTTATTGACCGAAAGAATAGACTCCTCTTTCTGCATGTTATAATGCCTACATCCAGGACATCTTAATGTTATATTAACCAAGGTAATTGACAAGCATTCTCTATTGATTGGCATGCAGGAAGGAACGAATTTTCGGTCAGGCTCTAATGGAGTTACTATTGTTTCCATTGGCCGTTACATAGCCTCAATAGGTAAGGAAATGAGATTATATTCGTGGAGTTGAGCATCATGAAGGCAGGCCCCTGAGATCGGTTGCTTCAGGTGGATTGTATCCAATACGTAGGATAATTATGAGGCCCCGTAAGACAAGCTATAGCTGCGTCATTACTACGCTGTTTGGGCACGGCGGTTGCACGATACTATGTATATACACGTCAAGGAAACGAAACATGACAAAGTAGACCGGTATATACGGGTTTGTCAGTATTTGAAGGGGAACACTCCCATATCAAAATGTTGTCACTGCTGAGTAAAAGGCCAAGTGAGAGCACTCATGATATTCAAAGACGAATATGCGCCGTCGGGTGTTTGCAGGAGGAGGCTATAGGTAGCTGACCGTAAGAGGCACAGTAGAATTCTACGCCCACGTAATTATGCCTTAGTCTGAATCTTGAGGCTTGGGCTAGGTCTTCGCCAGTCACAAATAACTTGAGCAAATGTTGAGAATGAAACCCAGCCATGTCCCTTGAAGCGCTGCTCACGCCCACACAGTTGGCAGATACAAGAATAAGATTTAGAAGATATCTAGAAAGGAATCACGGCTGAATACGAAAGCAAAACCTTTTTGTAATCGGGGAATGCCTCTGACTAGACGGTTGAGGCAAGTACCGTTTCCTTGTGATTTCATGTAGGCCTAAGGCCATTTTTCAAATTATCTTCCTTAACAAAAGCATAAAAAAATAACAGGATTCCTCCAAACAATCTATTTCCTCTGGTTAGCTTCGAGACTGACTCTGACCCTGAAAAGGCTTCATCTAAAAGACCTTTTAATGGACAACAACAGCGTAAAATGAGTGCTTGATGTTTTTGGACTCCTGCTGGTATTGGGGATAAATTAATATGCATGTGTCACGCATGCCGTCCGCTGGGAAGGATCTTAATACTTTGCATCCGGATTTGCAGTCGTGTCAGGAGGTGCCGAGATATCATTTATTCGTCTTTTAAAGGGAACTGCTCACTGAAGGCCTAATCAAAGTCAAATAACTGTCTCGCTGTTGCAACGAAAGAATCGAAAATGTCTAGATAAAAAGTCGAAAACATGGCACTAGGAAGCCTGGAGAAAATATCAGAATTTGTTTCCTTGTAAATCTACAAAATACTAACTTGCTTAATTTTCTACAAGTCGAAAGAAAAGACGAAACAATTTGAATTGGAGATTTTGATTTTTTGAAAGTTTGGCATCCCCGGTTTCATAAGTTGAGTGTACTTCCGGTGCGTCAGCTAGTGAGTCACGGGAACACGTTTGTTTTATTGCTGCTGGCCTCCTAGGCGCGTGTTACGAGGGACAGCCTTGCCTCTTTCTCTGTCACGTTACAAGCCCTGTCTCAGCTACCTCGATTCGGTTCTGTCAGACAGATCTCCAGCGTAACAAAGCAGAGTCTTACGTTCAAACTTGCAGTCAAGGTCCTGTCGAAAGAGCAAGATGGGAGGGCTTGCCGCAGCCATGTTCATGCTGCTTGGCCTGGTGGCGTTAACAAGAGGCAAATTTAGCGATGTATCTGACCCTTGCTGCCCGGATAAATGCTGCAATGGAATATTATTCGGTGGAGTTACGGGAAACGGTAAGTCAGCAGATAACTATTATCTATACACCTTAATTGAAGGGGCGCTAGTTCTGGTTGCTAAAAAAAAACCAAGGGGAGTCGAAAATTTGACCATTACAATTTTGAATTCACCTATAGCCTTGAATTTGTCGAACACAATAATGCTGAATGCCTTCCTGAGAAATTTTCAGGAAGCAGAACAATTAAGTAAAAGAATATAGAAAAGAACTTGTTTTCTACTTCTGCCGGAACCAGGGATCGAACCAGGGACCTTTAGATCTTCAGTCTAATGCTCTCCCAACTGAGCCATTTCGGCTCATGCTAAAGTGATTGCTCTTGAAAAAGAAAAGCCTATCCCTATTGGAATTTTCCTTAGTCATGCATGATCCTGCAATTTAGAGTGTTTCAAATGCAACGTTAGATAAATTCACGAATTGAATTTAAACCTTATAAGACAATTTAAACCTGACTTTGTAAACGACTTTGAAAATAAAAGGAATATCACAGATGATATAACAATTTACAACAAGACTGATTAGAAAAAATAAAGAAATAAAATTATGCCAAACACAAACTAAACATTTGACGCAAGTTGGAATCGAACCAGAGACCTTTAGATCTTCAGCCCAACGTTCCAACTGGGAATATTTGCAGTAGCTTTCATGGGACGTGAACACGTCTCCGTTCTCTTCTGTTGGGCCACAACAATTTAGTATCATTGTATCAGTGTTGACTCAAAAATAAAAACAACAGAATCATTCATTCAAGTTGTAATGATTTCAGCACCATTTCTTTCTTTGATTGTTTTACATCAGCTCCAGAGATGCTCCCCAAAGACTGTAATGACATCCGAGAGTTGGGCGGAGGTAAAGATGGTCTGTACACCGTCTACCCATCCTACGTTGAAAGCTGTGATGGAATCAGAGTATACTGTGATCAACAAACAGAAGGTGGTGGATGGACAGTACGTTACTATTGATTCGATATACTTATGTAAATAATTACTGTGGGAGGGATGATTGAATGGCTTATATATAAAGAATAAAAACCGAAACAAAGTAATTGGAGTGAATCCGGCCAGGCTACTCTGACACTGTTTAAGTTATTCCTACTGAAGTTTAATCTGAATAATTAAATCTTAAAAGAAGTTTCTGCGTGAGGTTAAGCGCTCTCTTTAGAATCAAGTATACTACAGGCTAGGTGGAGTTCAAAATAGATCGCACCATATCACACGAACTTCGAGAAAGGACTCGGATTCTGGCAAAAAATTGCAGAGAATTGTAATTATGATTCATAACATTAAAAACTGCGAATCCACAGGTGATTCAGCGACGTATGAACGGTTGGTTAGATTTCCAGCGGGGATGGAATGAATACCGTAACGGCTTCGGATTCCTGACGGGTGAATTCTGGCTGGGACTTGACCATATCCATCACATGAGCATCCAGGCACCCACTGAGCTGATTATATACATGGAGGATTGGCTCAATACCATTGTCAGGGTCCATTACTGGAACTTCTGGTTGGGGGATGAGGCTTCCAATTACACACTCAGCGTAAAGAACTTTGACCCCGGAAGTGACGTTGGTAAGTACGCAACGGATTTGATAGCCCACAGTGTGTTTAAACTTTGTTTTGTTCTTGGCAAGACTTACTTTTCTGGACCTTGGTGAAGACAGGTGGTGGTAGACGCATCATGTTATTTCATCCATTGACAAGGCCGCGAATAATTGTTTAATCTGGTGCTTGGTCAGAATCTTTTCCCGTTGAAAATGAATGGGCATATTCTGACTAGATGTAACCGGTGCCACAGATGACCTTTTCAGACTTAGCCTATCTCAAAGACAGGCAGTGGGGGCGCACTTATTCAATATCTCGCAGGATCCTTCAGAAAGAGATGACATATTTGCAGTTAGCTGCCCGCATCACATGAGAGTCAAGTGGTCCAAATAAGAATCGGAAAGGCTGTCAACACGTTCATAATGATGGCTGACGTTCACGGAGAACAGCGATGCGCATGACCAGATTCCCTCCTCAGCTTCTGCAATTCCTTTTGTCCAAATCTCAAAGCAAACTGACACACTTCGTTTATCGGTATCCTTTCCCCTCAGGTGATGGTCTGTCCATCCACAACGGCATGAAGTTTACCACGTACGACCGTGACAACGACCGTAGCATCCGTAACTGCGCCCAAGAGCACACGGGCGCCTGGTGGTACAATAACTGCATGCTGTCTAATCTAAATGGACGGTACCTGCGAGGGAACAACCCGGCGCTCGTCGGTCAAGGGGTGGTCTGGACTCCGTGGACCGGGAACTCTTACTCGTTGAAGACGGTAGTCATGATGATGAGGCCTATTGTTTAAATGATGGTTAGCTACTGCTTCTGCTTTGAAGCCAGTATACCCTTGCAACTTAAAGGGAATTTAATTAATGAAGTAAAGAAACATTTCAAATTCCCATTTGAAAAAAAAAAATGAGGCCCGATATACGAAGAGGCCACTATTGGAAGCGAGAAAGCAATGTTAAGTGTTTAAGAGTCGGTTTGGCTGATTTATTTGATGTTAAAGTCACTTTTTCCTGTGGGTGTTCAAAATGAGAGTAAAATACTGATAAAGGACATTAGACTAAACTTTGTAAAGTCAGCGTTACATTTTTGACTTTCTATTTTGAGAGTTGTCGACCTTTTACAGAAAATCAGCTGTATATAGGGTTTTACACGATGGTCGAATGGTAAAAAGTGGCTGTCAGATATTAAATTTTTTCATATCGACCCAAAGAAAATGTTTCCGTTCCAAAAATGGATCATTTTAGACTTATTATGTCGTATCACTTCAAACTTCATACTTGGTATGAAACTGTATCATTTAAGTTATAGTGTTTCAATGTAACTTGATGCAGAACTGAAACTAATATATGTGTGAAGTGATTTCGATTTCAAATCAAACATAGACAATAGTGTAAAACATTAACTCTACAACTTTCTTGGACGATTTATATGTGCAATAGGTTTGAGCATTGAAATAAACACTTCTATCTGCAAATAGAAGATTATGAATGAATTTTGTACCACTGAATTCGGGACCACTTTTGTTTATTTCTGCTACATTTCTGAATTTTTATCATTAACAACATTCTCACGTCTTCTCCTTTTACTAAGGAAAAAAAGATGTTGTTGAAGTCAGAATATAAAAAGCTTATTTATCAAAGGACATGTAGCTTGTATAGTCCAAGCTACCCAATTGTTCTGCCCTTAAGGTAATTTATATCTTTCAGGCAAGAGATGGCGCTATTTCGGGACAACTTGTAATCGCGAGGATGACCTTTGACATGTACATGATCATGTGCAAGATATTTTAATATTCTACAAGTAGGCCTCAATGTCTGATTCCGAAATGTTTCATTCTGAGAAAGGATGTGATTTAAGACTGCATGACTTTAACGCCCCATTTTAAAAATAGACCAGGCCGTTCGACGTCAGCGGACTCACTGACTCACGTCAAATAACCGGTCTTAACCTCTCTCGCTAATTGATATGCGCGTCTACCGGCGTTCAGCCTTTGTGAAAGGCTCTCCCCTTTGTACACACTGTTGTTGACTGTTTGTTACATGAGTGAACATATCAAAGTCTGAACTGGTTTTTGAGTCAGTGTATGTGTCTTGAGACTTTTTTGTGATCTAAGGCAAGATGGAAGTTTTTACCCAGACTGTGCTCCTGCTTGCGTGCGTAATAGGTTCGACCCGCGCTATCTTTACCAGGAACACTACGGATCGTTGCTGTCCCGACGCTTGCTGTAATGGAATCTTCTTTGGTGGCTTGACTGGAAGTGGTAAGTTGGAAATCCAAAAGTTGACCACTAACTATCGGTTTGGTTCGCTACAAACTAGGAGAAACTGAGAGGTGTATGGGGGTATATCGTCGTAATTTTGAAAGGGTTTTTGGAGTCACTGCTTGTATGGTGAATCTTCTTTGCATATTGGTGAAGTTTAGAGAAATGAACAAACAGTGAATTTTATTTATTTATTATTTATACTGGGTAACTCATTCAGTTCTTAAAAAACCGTGTTCTCCCACGAGTCCAAGTGAGCAATCATAAGACAAGAAATAAAAAGAGAGCTAAAATTGAACCAGATGAAACTACATATCTATAGATAAAAATACCAAGAATAATCAAATGATGCATGAAACCTGTTTCAAGGTACTGTCAGCAAGAACAATATCAGTATTAAGACTTAGACTCCTGGCCAACTTTTGTGAAGATCCAAACAACATGCTTTTACCTTTAGCTATATTGAGGCACAACCTGTTGTTTGCTAACCAAGTCGTTATTCTATCCATGTCATCATTTAAACGATACTCGATATCCCTAATGTCCTTACTTGAATAAAAAATAGTTGTATCATCTGCATAAAGGACAACCTTGGAGTGCTGGATCACAGCAGGTAAATCGTTAATACAAATAAGAAAAAGTAACGGACCTAAAATAGTACCTTGGGGAACTCCAATCGAACAAGTTGTGTATCAGAAGTGACATCACCAATTTTTGTGGCCTGTTTTCTCACAGAAAGGTAGGAGTTGAACCAATGAACTTCCATATAAGTCAAATATAAGTCAAGAGTTCAGCTAAAACTATTGCCCCAGCTTTCAAAAAGTGGCCATTGATACCATCCAAACCATAAGCTTTTCCAATAGGAATTTTTGCAATAACTTGAGTACTTCATATGAAGATACTGTGCTAAACACAAACCTTTGATCAATCGTATTACGACTATCTACAGTGAAATCACATCCCGATGTAAACAAGTTATCCGGAGCTATTCCCACATCAGGAAAGTGTTTATGAAAACGGTTAGCCAAATCGATTTTCTGTTCTTGTTTTTACTAACAAAATAATTATTTATAAATGTTTAGTCAAGAACCCGAGACTACGACAAATTTTCCTACCGTATATGCAAATTATGCTGTGAATTAGTTGCGATTCTCCAGTTATGATTGACAGGTCTTCTCGCGCAGGCGCGGTGCAAAACCTGCTTGCGTTACTTAACATTAATATTGAAGACTTAGGTGACGTTCTATGATTAACTGTCCGGTTTCAGATTTATTTTGGGCCAGGGACAAGACGCAAAATCGCAAGGAAAGAATGATTCAAATTGTGATTTAAAGACAAATTTAATTGATTGATTAATTATTTTTTAATAATGATTAATCCTCATGAAGAAGTTACACTAAACAAGAACGCTGATTAAGTCTGACAAATATTCTGGCTGTCTTCAGTTGTAAAAGTCTGTTGTTGGAATCCCTGTAAGTCAAGACGAAGGGGTTTCAAAAACAATATTGAAACGACATAAACGTTTCAGACTGACAACTACGGTAGCTAACACGTTTTTGTCTTTAACAATGCAAATACATGTATGCATAAACAGTAACAGATATTTAGTGCAGAAATGTTAAGAGCTTTTTCTGTCTGTTTCCAATGTCTACAGCTCCCGAGTTTCTAGCCAAAGACTGCCAAGACATGCGGGAACTCGGTGGTGGCAAAAATGGTCTGTACACCATTTATCCTACCCATATCGGAAGCTGTGATGGAGTTAGGGTGTACTGTGACCAGGCAACAGACGGTGGCGGCTGGACAGTAAGCACTGGATCGATATCCTCATATCTACATTATTTTGAAAACAGAAGACTCGAAATAACTGACACTAAGAACTAAGCCGACATTCGTGTTCTTGTGCAAGACAATTTACCCCTGCTTTCTTTCTCATTAAGGGATATTATGAAGGTCTTATGTTAACTTAACTAGGGTGGCAACTTCACGATCCTTTTTTCAATTCTCAGGTAATTCAGAGGCGCACGAACGGCTGGTTAGATTTCCAGCGGGGATGGGATGAATACCGTAATGGCTTCGGATTCCTGACGGGCGAATTCTGGCTTGGACTTGACCACATCCATCATATTTCCACCCAGACGAGGACTGAACTAACAATCTACATGGAGGACTGGCTCAACACCATTGTCAGGGTCCATTATTGGGATTTCTGGGTGGGAGATGAGGCTTCCAATTACACGCTCAGTGTAAAGAACTTTGACATTGGAAGCGATGTCCGTGAGTATCTTCATCGTCAAAAGTTACCAATCTATCAATTATTCAAGGAACAGGTGGATAATATGCCTGTAAAGGTGTACACGCTAAACTCATACAATTTTGCTTATTTAATTTGAACTGTCTCCTTACCCTTTGTGCTTAAATACGGCAGGCCAAAATCCTCCTTCTTTTCACCATCTGCTCTCATCTCTTTTCAGCTGACGGTTTGAAAATTCATCACGGGATGAAGTTTACCACCTTCGATCGGGACAACGACCGGTTTCTCGGTAACTGCGCCGTGGACTACACCGGGGCTTGGTGGTATAATGCCTGCCTGGAGTCGAACCTGAACGGCCAATATCTGAGGGGGAACAACCCGTCGGCTTACGGGCAAGGTGTCGTCTGGACTCCATGGACGGGCTACACGTACTCACTAAAGACTGTAGTCATGATGATCAGGCCCGTGGTATAAATGAAACTTTTTACTATCTTCGTCAACACGCCCTGGGTTTACCGTTGAATAAAACGTGCATGCTCTCACATTATTAGGAAATTCTTTCTGAACACGCACACTTTGCATAACAACAATGCAAACCTTTGTCAATAGTTGCAATATTGATTTATACCCATGATTTAGTAGATAAAGTAAATACTGACGTCAGTAAAGAAAGATAAAAACGTTTGTACAAATGAAAACTAACGCTTTCGTAGAACATATTTTTCGTTTGCTCTAAACTGAGTTTTATCTGTGTTTTAAGTTCTTCTTAAGTGTCATATAACTATGTCAAGGGAATTGACGATATCCAAGTTAAGTCTGACTGAGACTGGATTTACGAATCGTTCATTTGGTCGGCATATACCCTTGGTCGTTCAGATATTTTACTGCAAGCATAATTATTTGACATCTTAAAGTAATCACAACATTCGCCTTTATGGTTTTCGTATTGAAATATTTAGAGTTCTGCTTATTACAGACATCGAGGTTAGATCTTACTGGTAAACAACAAATTGGTTGGGGTTTGATAAATTCGATCGACATAGATCCAACACAACAAAAATAGTGGTTTCTGTTGCATGTTATAGCATAATCGTAGGGAAGGGATAGGTAGAAAAACATTCAATTTTTATTTCAATTTTTTTTTGTCTTGACAAACGAGATGTAGAGAAATTAAACTGGAAGAAGAGAGTAAAACTCCTTTGCTTTTCTGTTGGTGTTAATTCTTCAAGGTTCAATTATTGCTTCAAAAAGCCCAATATATTGCACACCCCAAAGTTCTCTGCTAAAAGCTGAAAGGAGTAAAAAAATGATCCTATTTCTCCTTGTATTACAGTCGTTTGGGGTTTTGGTTAGCGAACAGAATTTCTAAAAAGAAATTGACGTTTTACACCACAAGGAGACAGTTCAATATAGCTGGTGAAGAAATTCAGTTGAGATATACACTGATTTCTCATTCTCGAACTCACTTGTTAAGACGCGTACGACTTCATAGAATTCAACTCTTAAGTTTCTTAGGTCATTCAGTAAAAACTATTTATGGCAAGTCCTTACTGACAAACAACGCCCCAATTTTCTTTGAGCAGAGGTAAAGGAAGCATCAATCATTGGGCGGAAAAATGTTGAGGGTGGGTTAATGAAAGGGCTGGGGTTAAAGTAGGAACGATCTGGAAACAGTTTTGGCCCTGTGGATGCATCCATCCAAAAGTATGATGGTCTTACTCCTTGGCCCTCTATTGACCTTGACGTCATCGCTGAGTAAAAACAATCAAAAGGTCATGTATATACAGGAATAGTGCAATGTAAACATGAGATCGAACACAAAGAGACAGAGTGACGAAGCTAAAACCAAATCACATTTACTATGAAAAAACCAAAGCATTTTCTAGGTTGTTCATTTCCAGGAAAGAGACTAATTTTACTCAACAAGAGACAAGTTGGTAATCACAAGACCTGATTAACCTCTAAATAAATGATATTGAAAAGTTAGAAAGCGTCACTCTGTGTCTTGCCAGGTTCAATCAGTGACAGGAATTCTTAAGAACTTGTCTTTCCCTGAGTTCATATGACTGCGATCAGTCCCACAAACACAAAATAAGTGTGGATTTTTTTTACTGAAACTTGTGAGGCTCTCATTAGAGTGCTTTATAGCAGCAGGAGTTCACTTCTTTCCATGAATTACAGGACCTACATTGTTTGCTTATTTTACGACTCAAAGCAGCAGGTCCAAACATCCATTTTCAAAAGCATTTATACGTGAAAACCATTATACAGGGTGTCCACGTAAAAAGTATACCAAGATAAATATATTACGAAGATGTCAGATGTGCATTGACAGGAATGGTGGCCGGGGGAGGCACAGCACATTAAACTTATGAGGTGAGTAGCGAAACTAAAGCAGATTAGATTGATTTAGATACATTCCTTGTTTTCAACAACGTGTTCTTAAAGCAAAGGCATTTGGTATTCTGCACTCTTGCATGGTCGAGCCTTGCTAATCAAATACGCAAACTTGTCACAGTGCGGATTTCAGTGTCCTTATCATCGATGTAGTTTGTTCACTCATCTGTGTTAATAACATTGCAAGCTGCATGTATACCATTACAAAGAGGTCATTCTGCCCTTTCTGGAGATATATTTCTCTCTTATATTATAAAGTAGTTTTGCCATTACAGTCATTTTCATCTCGGTGCACTTTTTTATGGACATCTTGTATTTAAATAAAAAAGGCCTTTTACCAAAATTGGCATGAAATCATTGTTTATCATGACCACAATGATTAAGCCCTTTTTGAACATTCACTTTTACAATGAAAGCTTACCATCTGTTTAGCATAAAAGAGAATTTTAACTTGACACCCATATTCAATACATTCTGTACTTTCAAACTCAAACTCGGCACCACGAAGCCTCCGAACTATCAACCTTATGTAAACCTACCGGCGTGTTATAAATAGACACCACATGATACTATGCGTCATCAGTGCGTTTCCTCCAAAGTTAAAATCAATTACCGGTGACCCTTTACATAAATCTCGGCAAATTTTAAAGGGACTCTTCAAAGCGCTTAAAGTAGCACGTATCTGTCTGTTGAAATCCGACCACTCTCGAAAAGTTGTAAAAGGTAACGCATTTAAGTCAAGTTGTACAAACTGCGCAACAGAAGTTGGTATGTTGACAAGAGTGTTAACGACCTTCTTTGGAAAGTGAAAATCCAACTTGGCGTTGAGGTGGAGGCTGAGATTGCAATGTTCTCATTTTCTGACCACCCTTTGTCTTGAATGAGTTGGTCCCGTCTCTGGGTGACTCACCCCGTGTGACGTGGGTACTGTACGGCCTCCACTCAGGCACCAAAGACGACCGAACTTAACCGTCTCTCCCGTCTGTCCAGCCAACACGGGCGGTTCTTAGACCCACAAGTATTCGCCATTTTTCTTGATTCCATTTATTTCCAAGGCACAAGAAATCATCAAAACTTCAATCTAGCGAGGAGGTTGGTGCCGGTATTTTTTAAAAGGACCTACAGAGGAGGAACAATGATGAAGCTGGTTTGTCTAGTCGTGGCGATACTGTGTGTGTTGGAGACGGTGGGACAGCAAATAGCGCAGAAACCACCCCCGGCTATCCCACCACCTGATAAAACCTGCTGTGGAGGTATATACAACGGTGCAGCGGGCGGAGGTAAGTGGTACATCACGGAATCTAAAGTGAATGTTTCAGTCACACCAAATGGTTGTTAGTAAAGAATTTGAGTCTATTTGTCCCACCAAGCTCTTGGGTACATGGCCATTCGTTAAACCTAGCTATGTTTCAAATGAGAAACAGACAATATGACCTAAAAAAGAAAAGCTTACATAACATTTACCTGTGAACCAAAACGTGTTAATGTAAGTCGCTGATGTTTGGTGGTTTATTATCAAGACGTGAAGTGGTGTTTCTTGATCTTTGAATCTGCACAGAACTTTATTTGACTTGGTATTTTCCAAAAAAAATAAAGTCGAAAGGAAACAGGGATTTTATTTTAAAATAGATGCATTAATGCTGTAATATGTAAATTTATCATCGCCCTCTAGCTGCCAGGGTAGTCAGGGAAATCGTCGCGTGTATAAACGTATGATTCACTCCTATGACGTCAGAATTGTTCAACTAAAAATAAGCCTACGAACGTTAATGAAACGGCTAACCTTTAGCGTTTCGATTAAGTCTAAAAGAAAACGGCTAGGGAAGAAAAATAACGCCAAGGGCGAGCTGAATTGTAACTGTAACAGGTTATTTAAAAGTCATCTTTGATTAAGTCTTTCCTTCCCAATGTCTTCACAGCCCCTGTACACATGCCAACCAACTGCCAGGACATCCGGGAACTCGGCGGTGGCCGCGATGGCGTGTACACCATCTTCCCAGCGTTCTCTGACTTGTGTCGGCCAGTAAGAGTCTTCTGTGATCAGTCGATCCAAGGTGGTGGCTGGACGGTAAGACTACGGAAACTCAAATTGACAGCTTGGGCTTAAAACCTCCCACATGACACAGTTATGTAATGGCCGATGTATGCCGATTTAACGAAAGGTATTTCGTGGTACAAAACCTGAAACAGGCTTTTTGTTAACATATCATGACGTGTGCACGCGGATTGCATCGACGATTTTCACTCATACTCGTAATTTTAACACGGTCTCGACAACAGAATGGAAAACTGCAAGTTGCTACAGGAGGTTAAATGTGATCATTGACATTACACGAAACAAAGAGGGACATGTAAGGTCCAAATGAGATACTATTGGACAGAAAGTTCTCGGTAAGCAATCCTTTTCGGCGCACAGTGTTTGTTAGGCTGTGATGTACGACAAAACACGTTGTGGTTACATTACAATCTGTCTAGCGTTTTTCAAACGAGACACAAAAGAGGTATTGGGGAAACGCATACTTACCCATGTGGGTTTTTTCTTTCTTTGCTGACTCGAATCGTATTATTTCGGCCTGCCTCGCTCAGGTGATCCAAAGACGAATGGACGGCCGACTGAATTTCAACCGTGACTGGGCATCTTATCGGGACGGTTTCGGCTACAACTCAGGCGAACTTTGGCTAGGCAACGAGGTGATCCACGCCATATCGGCGCAAGCTCGCTACGAGCTTCTGGTTGTGCTGGAGGATTGGCAATTCACTACCGTCGAGTCACACTACCGTAACTTCTACGTGGGTAGCGAGGCCACCAACTACACGCTGCGGGTGGCTGGGTTCACTGGAGGGCCTGCAGGTAATGTCTACCTGGGCCGTTTTCCAATACTCAACTTCGGCTCCGTCTCAGGCTTCAACTGTTTTTTAAATAGCTGACTTTGAAGCTGTAAGCACAGTAATTAGTTTAATAGTGCCACAAAACATCAAATAAGATGCAAGAGAGCCAGAAATTACAGTAATCCAATTTGATTTGATCGCTTCAGGCCCACAATCGGGGATTGGTTTGGGGAACGAAGCCTCCGACGGAGCCCAAGTCGAATATTGGAAAAGGGCCCTGATTCATGTTCAGTGAAGACAGTCAACCGAGCTTCCTCTATTGAATGTATTATGTAACGTTGACTTGGGTTGGATGGGGAAATCGTTCAGGTCTGAGGGACATTTGAATTACTAGCATGGATAGACCTTAAATCAACGTTTTATTTAATTCGGAAGATTTTCAAGGATGATGGTCTATACGTCAATCTTAAACTTCTTATTTAAGCCAATACTGAGGACTCAAGATTTGTATTCCAGGCTAGCTTTGAGGACCACAGCCATCTATTAATCATGATCTTTGACCTATAGGTGACGCTCTATCCGCCCATAACGGCAACCAGTTCTCAACCTATGACCGAGACAACGATCGCTGGGCGGGAAACTGTGCTGTGGAGTACACGGGGGCGTGGTGGTACTCGACCTGTCATAATTCCAACCTCAACGGCCAGTACCTGCGTGGCATCGTGGGAGCTGGACAGAACGCCAAGGGTGTAGTCTGGTTTACTTTCCACGGCTACGGCTACTCTCTCAAGACGTCTATCATGATGATACGACCAAGATTCTGAGCAACTCTTATTGCATACATTTGGCGTGTATCATTGGGGCGTTGGGTTTAGACACTTGGCACGACAGCCATCTCCGTCTGGAGTCCCGTCTCCATACATGGCTGAGTTTTGCAGCTTGATGCGAGAGATTGAGATGAATGTCGTGCACATATGAAACGCCTTGCCATACGTTCGTATTTTTCAAAAGTTAGCTTCGAGGCAAGCACTTACAATTATCAGGTCGGTTATGAGATATTATCAGAAGTATTATTAATGTTATATTCTCCAAAATAGTATCGTTAATAACCAATGCAAATGTAGACATTTACAAGACATTAGCAAACATTACAAATTTTACGGCAAAGCTAGCTTGAGTCACTCTCTCAATGTAACATCAGTCTCAGATAATGAAAGATGAATAATTAGAATTCATTCATTTCCTTAGGTACAATTAAGTTTGATTTATTCCTAGAGCTGTGGACAAATGTCAAGATGTAGAGATTATGACCCGCCAACTTTAAAGTAAAAAAGATCACTTTTCGGAGACATTGAGGAAGTTAAATTACTTGGTTTTCGATTGTAGTCTTGTTGATGTGTTTGTTGTACATTGACAATGACTGTATCTTAACTGTGATATCGTACATCATCCCCTTGAAGCAGGCACTCTTCGACCTCTTCGAGACATCTGATGTATTCGAAGAATCTGGGTCTTTCATCTTGACTAATGCGTAATTTGATGTGCTCCTCTATGCTGTGACTAAAGTCTCAACGGACTTTCCTTCTCTTAAAGTAGCGTGGATTAGATCTCCATCCAGCACGGTGACTTGCAATTGTGTGATAACAAATGTTAATTTTTTTGATAGTTTCTCAACAAACGTCACGGATTAAAAGCAATTATTCCTTTGAGATAGTCCGACCCGTGCACCTTTTCATTCCCGTTAAAATAAAAAAAAAACGCTTATACTTATACTTTTAATGAGTCACAAAAAATATTTGTATGAAACTATTCGTAGCTCGGAAGCAGTAATCCTAATGTTCTGAGTAATATTTACAAATCAAATAAATCTTTACTTTTTGTTACGCGAGTTTCCTCCTAGGATAGCAATATGCAGGGGATCATCAAGACCGGCTAAGGAATTATGACAACTATTGTTTATAATGTAACTATAAGACCTCTTCACCATAGCTCTACTGTTCGCTGAAAGAAAAGTCAGTTCGTAAAGAAAGAAGCGCTTTGTGTAAATTTAGTTGAAAGCTATGTCAGTTTATAACAGTAAAAATGGCTTTAGCCGCATAAGCGTTCGTGTTAGGCCAATTTTCACGATTAATTAATAATTTTCAAAATTGATATACCTTATTTTCAACTGTGTAAATTTTAAAAGCATCACCACAAACATGGATTCTAAGGTATAATTATAGTTGGGCTATAACTCAGTCAGTTGAAATATTCAAATTAATATAACTACACTTCAAATACAACAAAGTCGCACTCATCGTCCCTTATTCTGTGGACTCGGAGACTTCTTTTGTTTCGCCCAACTCGTGAATATTCACACTGACGTCACAACATCTAACAAAAATACAATCAGAGACAGGAAGGCGACAGACTTGCCAACAGAGGGAGCCCCATTGCCTGGCCCTGTCCCAACATCAGTTTCCTCGTATCTGAATTCGACGTGATCCCCGTCGGTTACAGCCGTCATGGATAGATCTGTTAGTGTGGAAAAGGATATAGTACATTACAAATGGGAATGAATAAGCCAGAAAGAAGTGGTAACCACTAAAATTAAAAACAAGGAGACCCTGGTCCCAAATCAAGTGAATGATTACCATTAGGAAGGGCCTGGTTGGTACCCGCACGGAAGGCAATCCATTTGTTGTTCTCGCTGTTTACCACCCCATTGAGTGACGTCACGGCGTAGTCTGTCATAGTCAGCAAGGCCCTTGAACAAGGTGAATATCAAAGAAATGCTGAGATGCTTCAATGTGGTTTGGAGGAAAGTTGGTATAAACGGCTGCAGCAGAATCGTATGGGTTCAAAGGGTTTGTGTGCGTAATTTTGCTCTGAACTCGGGAGTGTTGCTCCCATGGGTAAGATGTTGTTTATTGTTTGCTCTAGACCTTGGCAGTTTTAGTTGTGACACAACAAGGCTCATTAACTATTGGGTTATATTTTCGGGAAACTAGGTTATTGATATTAATTCCATACCACAGGACCTGAGAGCCAAACCAAAGTCCATGGGCTCAAGGTGGGTTACCAATTCTGAGAAGCTGGGTCTAAGTCCTGGGGCGTCTTCGTAGGCTAGGAGTTTCAAGCTTCCATTACACACCACATAACAAATCCCTGCTTCACAAAAAGCGCTAATATAAATTGTTCCAACTTACTTCACCGATAGGGGTATTTGGCTGTTTGCGATGTCCAGGAGAGAAAACGCTGTTGTTGAATCCGAAGGAATCAAAACTAACTGCTTACAGACACGCTTGAAATTGGAGTTAGGGGGAACATTGGCACCCGAGATTGTCAGATAAGCAATCTTGTAGGTAAGAGACATGGTCGGGTAAATAATGGACGGGCCGCTGCATGGTCCTGCCATGGGGTCAATGAAGAAAAGTCAATTAAACGGTCATGTAAAAGTTTACTTTTCGATTTCCACAACAATCTTGTGAGCACTTTGTCCAATACATATGTAGTATTTATTTTATATCCTGCATCTGTTTAGTGTTTAGTAAAATGGCTGGCATTTGAAGTTGCGTGCATCAAAGTAATCCTCATATGTGAAACTTAAACAAATTTTTTATGAAACACGGATTTCATTTTAACAATGAAGCTTTTGGGAACAGGACATTTTATCACTGCTATTGTAATATGTCGCAGTTTAGTCAAACTTCAATTCTTTACGCTTTGTTCCATTTACTCATTGCAGCTATCCACGACTGCCGGTACCGCAGAACAAAACTTTATCAAACATGAAGTAATTTAGAGGGGGTTCCTGGTTCCGCACAAGAACGGATGTTTTGGAGGGGTGGCCCCAAATCTGGACATTTTCCATGTAACCCTTTAGAGCCTTTCTGGGGGATGCAGCTACATTCAGGTGCTCTTTATAAGCCTTTGGAAAGAAGAAGGTAATGAACGAAAATGGCTTTTCTCTTATCTGAAAACAAAACTGTCTCGTGGTGGTGGTGGGCCAGGGTGGGGGGCTGGCCCCTTTGGTCCCTTGGGGGTCTATCCTTGTATCTGCAAACTAACCTGTGTAGGTCTGATTATGAGAAGTACTGTTGTTAAACTGCCAAATGTAGGAACTGCTGTCGGTAATATGAAGAAAGTCCACACCTGAAATACACAAAAACATGTTTTCTTTCTCATTTTGATAATTCAGTGACTGTTTGACAAACAATTGCTTTGCGGGGTTTATGGAATGCCTTTCTCGTTTTAGCGGTAGGGCACAGACAGAAATAAGAAAAGTTCAATTTTTTGTGTACAAATCGTTTACTTTTCCTTGAAGTCTGTTGAAGTCCAACTGTTTAAAATTTTAAAGAACTTCGTCAGGGCTGACAGGACCGTTTTCCCTCTTCTTTCGCGATGTTGCATACTTTGTGGCTAAAGCAAAAAGCAAGGCAAATGGAAAACTACGACTGTATCTTACCGACAGGTGTGAGCATCTGAGTAGCATTGTCGAAAATGAACCAGAAGGTGGTGTTAGTGTTCGAAATTCCGTTGATTATATTGATGAAGTGTCCATACATTGCGAACAAAGTTGAATTAAATCTATATCAAAAATGAAATATAAAATGCATGAGTTGTTTGTCAACTTATTTTATGCTGCAATTGTGATGTTTTAATCTTTTCAATTCTCATGACATTTTCTCCGGATAATGTGCTTTAAAATCCCTTCGATATCTAACTCATAGGGATAGTCCAATGTTTTCCTTTTGTTTGGTGGTCTCCAAAAGGAGGTACCTACTGAAACTGGCTGCCATGTTGTTGCTGAGCGGCAAGCATTCCTTGATACACCGTGGCGTTGTCTGGTACCCAGTATTCCATCCCGCACAGAGCCATGCCGGGCCCGTCAACTGACTGGTAGGAAGTTACCAGTGTTGCGTTGATTGGCGGACCTGACGTCATATCTGCCGCGGGACAAGGGTCGTAGCCTGCAAGTTTAAGGCAGTTCGGGAAAACTTTGCTGGATTAATTGATCAGTTTGCCGAAAGATAAATGTTACCAAACAAAAAAGTGAGGAGTTTCAAATCAGGGACACACGGGCTTATAACGAACATGCTTTGAGTGGTTATCGTATAGGCCAACGTCAAGTTCGACGGACTGATCGAGCTTGTTTTAGTTTCGGCTGGGTTGGATCATTTGAACATGGGGGACAGACAGTGGAGCCGGTCCAAATACTGATTATTAGTAGCGAGGTTTGCATTCTCGTCCGTAACAAGTCGATTACAGGTTCGCTCACGACACAATGGGATGAGATCACCAAGGGACGACTTTATCAAAGTGAACTTGTATGTATCTCATGATTTCAGAGCCTGAATGACTTTAGGTTAATTTGAGAATTTTAATGACCCTACAAATGCATGTGTATTCTCAAAAACAAAATACAGCAATAGGACATAACTATGACAGATGTTATCCACAGTCAACTTGGATCACAAGCAACATTCTCTTGATTATTCTATGGTTTAAAATGTGCCTGGGAAAATTAACAAGGGAAGCATGCAAAAGCAAGAACACACACATAAGTCACCCCAGACAATGAAACTTTTTGTGCAACTGTTTATGAAGGGCTTTGACAAACACGAACTCAACATTTTTCACAAAAGTTTCAGTACTCCTTGATATAAAGTACAAGTTGTGCTTTCATTTATTTTTGGAGGGGGAAATCCCTTTCATTCAATGAAATTGTTTAAACCCGAAACGCTTTTCAGTGGCACATGTTTAGCTTTTTGAAATCCACTTAGCATTTCAACACATTCCCAAACGCACAATGCTAAACATATCGAGGTTAAACATGACAGAATGTGGGTATAAAAATGTGTTTAAACTCAACACGTCGTTTTTACAGCGTGCTTCAAGGTCATGTCCTACGCGATATATTTCCTTTGTAGTGTTTGATCCGGGTTTCTGAGAACGTCAGTTGTTTGTTTTCTCCGGGAAGGTAAAAGATCCGGGAAGCATTTCTGGTTGAAGGGTCATAACAACCAAGGGAAAACAGAATGAAAGTGGCCATTGTACATGAAATAGTCAACACGTTCAATCGCGTTCAAAATCGTGAAGCAAGTCAGTGGTAGAGTTGCGTCAGGTTTAAACGAGAAAATTATGGGAAGGAACAAATCATTCAAACCCCTTCACGATAGAATATTTTATTTTACCATGAACAAAGCAAAGCGATTTTGATTCGATTTATTTCCCTTCACAAGGAAATAAACTAGCATAAATGCACAAGGTTGTGCTTGGAGGATACACAGCAGAAACGAAAGCTCACACGAGGTCGTTCAATCTGTTTTCAACTGAATTCTACTTTTTAAGCTTAAGCTTCGCTTTTCTGACTGCAATGAAAAGACCAATCGGACAAGGACATCTCAGAAATCAGAGTTCCCGTTGAGATGTTTTTTAAAATTCCTAACTTATCTCGAGTAAAGTTACATAAAAATTTCTCGTTTACAAATTCAAATATAATAACTAAATGAAAAAAAATTGAAAACATGGAAAAATAATGCCTGAAGAATCTGCCAAAACTTTGTTGGAAAAGGCGAGCACATTACATGTATTATCCTACTTGGAAGGTTGGAGTGGGACAGACAAACGTTGCCGCGGTTTCTCAAGCGTTATGTTGGTAACTCAACAGAAAACGTAACGGACTTACCAGCTACTACGGTTAGACAGGGTGTCAGCACAGCCAAAACGATGGCTACCATAACTGCAGAATAATTCTTCGGCATTTTGCTCAGTAGAAAAGTTTAGAAGTGAGCGTTGTATCTACGCCAGTTGCACAAGACGAAGCAGACACAGGCAGTGAACACACGACTGCTCTTTATATACCGATATCCGGGGATACACAAAGGACAATTCAATATTCATTTTTGAAGGTGATAACATTTGCTATAAATAGGGAGGGGGAGCTGTTCCACTGTGTAGGTATGTTTTGAGTTGCGTCGAAAGGGAAATCCCTAAAACGCAGTTACCATTGAAAATCACATCCGGCATGCAGTGGAAACCTCACTTCTGGCTTTGAAATCAACACGGGTGTGAGAAAAACAAGGAAGGTAAATAACTCCGGGCGTACTGTCACCAACCATAAAATTATCCATGACAATCACTGGTGAGAACTACATCTACAAATGTTATTGGAATCTATTCAAGGAGAGGAGTATTTGAAATATTCATCGCATGTGTCACTATTTTCACAATCGAATAAAGACGTGGATTTAGATTTTTAATATATTTATCTGAAGGTCATTCCAGTATAGAACCGTTAAGCAAAAACAGTCCACAGTTGAATGCAACGAAAAATGCTAACCTCTTGAAAATATTCGGTGTATTATAAAAAAAAACTCCATTAATTGTCCTGATCTAATATTGTGTGTCTCCCTGTGGCACTATTTTAATGTGAAGCTTTATCTTAACTTAATGTAGGAATATGAGTTTTAGCAGCCGTCTAGTTGAAGTAACAGTAATTCATTAATAGAGGCCATGAATATTCAGTGACTATTTGTCTCAGTGTACTTGCTTTAAACAAATACTGGATTCTTTTTGAATAGTCTCATTCTTAGGCCAGATTACTTTTGTCACTATTATCTGAATAATTTAAAGGATAGATACATTTTAACTGGGTTTTGCGAACAATGAGCGGGAGGCACCCAACACTAGAATAGCACGCACATGGTTTCGCGCTCTCTCGCTACTGTTTTGTTGCTGCCGAGATTGGTGACATAACAGCATTACAAATTACTATCTTTTCCATGATTTAGGGGATACGTCATTCGCATTTCTGCCAATGAGCTTGTCCTGCAAAGTTCACAGAAGACACTGATTTGTGTGGCTTTCAGTCTGATCTATTCTTGCGGCTCAGGGCGAGTGAAATTTGCTGAGTGGTCAGAGTTTGTTTTTGAAGTTTTATGGCCTTTCTGTATGTAGATATGGCACACACAGTGCTGTGTTGCATTAGACAATGGCAGCGTAACGTACATGTACTTGTAAAACATATTTTATTGTCTACAATTGGCAGGGATTTTGATTTTCTTTTCCAGATCTGGAATTCATCAACAAAAATTTCTGGTAGGCAACTATCGTCTGGTGGTACATTTTCATCTTGATATGCTCAACTTCTCTTCACGCGGGTGAACCTGTCTACCCTAAGGTTCACTAGGGTGCCGCCTCGTGTTATCAACTTGCCTCACGATTATATTTCTTATCATGAATGTACTGACAGTTTTTCGTGGCTTCTATGTATCAGAGACAGTGACTTTCTACACCTCGAAGTTGAACTTGTGCGTTCTTTTTAAAGTCAGACAAAGTGCCACTTGAATGTTAACAGGAAATTTACACTGACGTCATCCCTGGCAATACCATGAGGGGCAACAGAAGAACAACAAACTGGCCCACAGAGGGCGCCCCGTTGCCTGGTCCCGTCCCGACCTCCACCTCCTCGTATCTGAATAGGATATGATCCCCGTCAGTTACAGCCGTCATGGATAGATCTGGAATTGATGCAGCAGAAGTAAAGGCTATGGTTAAAAATAACAAGACGGCAAAAACGAGAGGCAAAACAATGAACAAACAGGCAGCAAAGTGTAGTAGAACCTGCTATTATACCGAAAGTTTGACAATTAAATTAGCAAGAAGTAGGACAACAGAAAGAGGAAGACGGCTACGTTTTGCCTGGGATACGAGCAAAAGAATGAACAGAAATCAACCGAGAGCCAAGTAAAGTAACAGCAAAGTAGAAGTACTAAACGAACAGGAGCAAGAAGAGATAACAAACAAAACATGCAATAAGCAAATAAATTGTAGGAATAAGTTAAATCAGTATTGGCTACCGTAAGGGATCGGTCCGTCGGTTCCTGCTTTGTAGCCAGTCCATCGGTAGGTCTCATTATTGGCAATGCCACTGAATGACGTCACAATGCTCTCCTGCCTATTCAACTCAGCTCTTGAAAACGAAAGAATATCAGGTCAGAATTCAACGACTAGAAGCAGAGTCTATTTACTCACTGCCATTTGCCACAAGCAATAAATCTGCAGACAGGTATCAGTAAGTATACTTACTCTACAGACAATGGTATCTGACTATTGGCTATTTCCAGCAGTCGGAAGACGCTACTTGAATCCGATTGAACCAACACCAGTTGCTTGCACACACCCTTGAACTTGTTGTCAGTGGTCTGGATTACATTAGTGCCGGAGACGGTCAGGTACACGACCTTGTAAGTAAGGGGCGCAGATGGAGGAATGATGGACAAACCCACACATGGTCCTATTGAACCAAATTCACATGATATGAACATTGATCAAGAAATATATTGGGGGGGAAATTGTTCTATCTAACACAAATAACAAGCTTTCATAATGTTGAAAGTACTCACCGACATATGTATCATTTGGGTAGGTACCATTGGAATAGTGCCAAATGTAGGAACTGTTAGCACCAAGTTCGATGAAATCAACACCTAAAAAGTAAAACATTCTTTTTAATTCCTTGAAGAGAAAAGCACTCGAAAGAACTTTACGCTCCTTCTGATGGATAAGCTCAGGTAAACTCCCCACCATCAACATTAAAGTAGTAAAGGGTAAAGTAACCATAAATTTCTTTTTTCATTACAAAAGTTCGAACAGTGGTGATGACGCCATCAACTGCAAGCGTCATGTTCAAAGCGCCCTCTCTTGACGAGCAAGAGTACGAGGATTCCGTACCAACAGGGGTGGTCCGCAGTGTAGTTTTGTCGAATTTGTACCAGTAAAAACCGCCCTCAGACCCAACGTTGTTGATGGAGCTGATAAAGTGTCCCCACATCTGGTGTAAAGTGGAGTTAAACCTGAAAACACAGCAGACGATATATTAGAAAATGCACTATTGATTTTTGCTGTGATGTCTTTTAGTCTCTCTCTTTTCTTGTGCCGCTTGTTATACAAGGCAACTTTAATGTGGGTTTTCTCGCAGAGGCCGTTTTTGTCAAGAAGAGATGTATTTTTCTCTTTTATCTCTATACAAACGATAACAGATTTAAGTCTCTTGTCGCACGTCAACTGCACACAAAGGTCTATAATTATCTCGTAGGTACGTCCATCTCAACTGGACACCGTCTATGTCTGCTCTTACTCAAAACCGTCGCCATGTTGTTTATTAGCTGCAAGCATTCCCTGGTACAGCGTTGCTTTGACTGGTACTCTGTATTGCATACCACACTGAACTATGCCAGCACCGTCAACTGACAGTTCTGAAGTCACCAGTGTGTCGGCTATGGGAGGTCCTTTCGTCATTTCCATTAAGGGGCAAAGTGCGTCATGACCCGGATGATCAGCTGTGTGCATTGAAATTTGAAAAAAAGTCAAATCGTAACGTAGAGTTCTTTAGATCTTGAGTTTTTGTTTGAAAAGGCTTTACACATTCGAGAACCTGTGCAAAAGGAATTGGCCACAAGACAGTTTTTGCTTTTACTCATTAAACACTAATAGCTTTGGTCTCATTGGGGAATGGTTTACAAAGGAATAGGCCTACGACAACTAGTCATTTCTGAGTTTTATGTCGAAGTGACATTAAATGTAGGCTAAAACACACGGACATTATGCTCTGTAACATGTCCAGGTGTTCCACACACAAATCCTTTGCCACAAAGACTGCGAAAAAGAATTTGTGCAGGATAGCAAAGTTCAGGTCAGTGCTTTTGTTACGGGGGATATACACAAAAGGTCCACTCATGTATATCCCTCCGTAACAAAAGCAATGGCCGGGAAGATGGCTGCCATGCATAAGTTTGTACAAAACATTTACAGATTCATATGTCACAGTTCATTGTAACTTTAAAGCCTTCAAAGTAGGAGTCGTTGTTGTTACTCTAGGCCTATTGTTATTAAATTGTTCAGCTTGGCTGAGTCAGAAATGGTCTCTGCGTGAGCACTTTAAGTGATTTCATAATACTTATATTTCCTATCTTGGCAGGTGGACAAAGGTTTACTAACAATATTGAAAGCACCCGTTAAGATAAAAGATACAATTACGGTTTTACTTCCTGCTTAAGGCTTTAGGTTTCCAAGAGAAGAAATCCAAGCTGAAAGTAGATGCTTAATAGAGATAAATCAGCCTATATGGCTTACCGTGTGGCTTTGCATGGGGGAAATAAAGAATTGAATTTGTAACACATTACGATGACAATAGTAATACATGGTAATGGCTGCCGGGGCACACACACACAAGTGCCTGAATCTGAACATTTGTGAGGTCGCCTACACACCAACGCTCAGGTATTTTGTCTGGTGGACTTTGGATGTAAAACACAGCAAAGGGAGAAAGACAAATTTAGTTGAACTCACCAGTAACTACAGTCAGACAGTGCACAAACACTGCCACGAACACAGGCAAATGGACAACTGACATTATGAAGACTATAATGGAATACACGTGGCGTCCCGGTACTTAACCGCACAGCAGATGATCCACCACTCAGTTGCGCAAATGAGCCCCCTACCGAAAATGCATTGTGCATACATAAGGCGCCTGGAATAATGGTACATTCTACAATAGACTAAATATGGATCACTGGCTTTCTGTTGAGTTATTGTGAATAAATCAGACGACTTCATTTCGTACGCGCAAGTACTCCCTATACTGCACCAGACTGTCTCTGAATTATTAGGTGGTGGTTGTAAATAACACATGAGCTGTGTGTCATTTGATTACACATGGCAGGCAAAGGCTTAGTCTCCTCGCATCTCGCAAAACAATACCACGCATGCGCAAACGGGTGTCCAATCATGGAATGGTTTTGGACTTTCAAAGAGCCAGGAGACTGGACGCAAAGGCCGAAGAACGTGAAACTGTACTCTTTTGGTTGATTACTCCTTGCTGGGTGATTACAAAGACCAAGTTGCAATATTTGAGCTTGTACTTAATAGTGGTGTAGACGTCGAATATTAACGTACATTTGTATTTAAGTAGCTGCTCGAATAGTTGAGGCTGTATCGTGCAGTGTTGGGTCTTATTATACAAACGATTATCACTCCTACTGCGAATGACGGACTGGAATGAACTGGGCAAGATACACACAATATTTGAGTTGGAGGAACACCGATTTAATCTTCTTCATGTGAGGCTCTGGAAAACCAAGTGCAAGACTAACAGAAAATGCACACGTGGCATTTGTGATACACTGAAAGAAAGTAATACAATATTTTTACGACCATAGTGTCCACAGTCCCAGAAGTAGCCGGGTTAAAAGGTGAAGTTCAAGAGGTTAAGGAACAGAGTTACTTTCCATAATTTGGAATTAGGTCCTTCAGTAGTCGTGATATTACACTGACCATGGATTATTATTAATAACATTATTTCTTTGTAAAACTTTATTTGAATTCTTAGAAGACATGAGCACGGAAATATGGCCCTTTCAACTTCAAACGCCAAACGGTGTAGACTTGCTTTATTTCCGAAGTCAAGTGTTATGTGTAAAGTTTAATTTGATAAAAGGAAAGAAAAGGCAAGAATAATCAACTAATTAAATTAGCAAGCCATCCGGTGGGTCTGCCAGCTGGCCGGCCGACTATAGCTGGCTGGCTGCTTGGCTGCTTGGCTGGCTGGTCGGCTGGTCGGCCAGTCAGCTACCCGCCCGACCTCAGGCAAGTAACACTACTGAAGCTAATTTGTAACTAAATACTTTATCCAGTCAGACCAGTTAAGATGCACATCAACTGTACATATCTATAATAATTCTACGTTTTCAACCTGAAATTATTTTATGAAGACAATATTAAATCTCGTTCAATCTTAGACAAAAACGGTTTATGCAATTAGAAGCAGATAGCATGCAAGCACGTTAACCACAAAAATTCACCAGTAGTCACGTTGTCTCTTAAATGCAGCCCAAGATACAATGATACCCGCAGCCTTTAATACTTTCCTCGGGGTTCAATTGAAAGCATTTTTGACGAGCTTGTATATGACACAGAGAAATTCAGCAACGGTGATGAAAGAAAAGCCGATGTACAGCCCGATAATGCCGCCGATGTCACCCAATAGGGATGATGACTAAATCCAGAAAAACAACAGAAAAAGTATTCTTTATACCAGCTTAGACCACTTTCCCGCATATGTTCAAACCAACTTGGAGGGCTTCAATATTAAGTTAATTCTACAAAAAAAATTGATGAAATCGACAATCTTTGAGCTTAAAAACTTTGCAAAGCTTCACTGCCGCTTGTACTTCTTGTAATTTTTCAACCAAGTCAAAATCTGCAATTTCACTGTGCTAACTCACGCAAAATGCATCGATGTCTACTGACGTAACCAGAGCTTTATCTTCAGATATACTTACCTCGTAGGCAGGTATTTCCTTTGTACTTTCATAGTTCAATTCTTCATAAAAAACTTCAAGCCGAACGATGTTCTCACTGAAAAAAATCAAATTATGGTAAGCGAGTGATGTCACGTCACTGGGTCACAAACGTTTGACGTCAATGGTCACAGCTCAGAAATATTTAGTGAAATTGTGTTTCCGTGTTATACCATGCAATACATTAATCTTGTGTGACGTTTTGAAACTATGTCTACGCTGAATGAAAAAAACCACTTACTTGATGTTATTGCCGTTCAAGTGTTTTGTCTTTTTGTTTAGAGAGTGCAAATTTTTCAAAAGATGTTTCTGTACATGACAAAAAGTACCAATCGACACGCACAGATGTTACATGTATAAACAAGTTCAGATATGAAAAGATATTCACCGTATAGCATTACAATAGCATTACAGTATGGCATCGTCAACACTACTTTCACAAGTAATTAAAATATTTTCCATACTTAAACCATTAACATTACAAAAGAAACTAGGTGTGCTCGCTTCGTATGTGCTTACCATAAAGTTGGCCGACGGCCAAGCGGAGGTTGAACTTGTCTTGGTGTAGTACACCTCACTGGGAGGGAATGATTGTACAAATTGAGGGAAGACGAGCAATAAGATGCTTTAAAAATAAAGACGTTTGTGTTAACAGTAACAGTGGCGAAAATAAAGACGATAACGATAATAAATTTAGCGTGTTCCGACCTTAATTATGCATATTAATCAGCTACTTTTCTTACTCGCATTGCTGCGGGCAATCGCATGTGAGATTTTCACTCTGATGAAGGAAGTACATCAATTTCTTACAGAGATCTGAAAAATAATGCATTTAGAACCCCGTGAATTACCGTCAACTTCTATGAATGATAATTTTGTTGTACTCTGTGACATTAAGAAGCCTTTTATATATGACAAGAATTAAAAGTAGTCGTAAGTATTGTTCTAGTATCTATTGTTTTTTTTCTGCATAAACAAAGGATGGGACTACAGTATCTTTTTGTTTCACACGTATCTGGATCAGTGATCCGATATTGGTACACTGACACCAGAACCCGCCTAATGGATGGAACGAGCCAGCGATAGGATCACTAATCGAAATCCAGATCCAGGCCCCTTAGCAACGATCTCCTGCAGGCCTACAGACAGTGCGCATGTGCATTTGCCAGCCTGCAGGGATAATTTTACCAGGCACAAAATGGGATAGAGGGGTACCCCGACAAGTCCAATCCCTATACACACCCCAGCCTATTGTTACTTAGCATATTCCCCTGGATGTCTGAAAAGAATTCCTGAGATAGCGGTATAACGGTGACCAACAAAAAGGCGGGGGAGGGGATTCTCTCTGTCCCATAGTCTGCATCAAAATGGGATCATGGCGCAACATAACGTGCGATGGACAGCAGGCGGCTTGCTGCGACTGCCATAGCTTTTCTATAGATTTTTTTCCAGTGATGTCACAATCGTACTGGACCTATGTATTGCGATGGTAATGAGTACACAGTGTTGTGATGGTAATCTACCTATTCAAGATAAACTATTCAAGCTGCAGCGTTTGTACGTGCGCTTGCACGTGGTGGAAGCTGCTCGTAGGAATACGTGTTATCGCCGTGGCCAAGGCGGTCCACACATGGTGGTATTGTTTACATTTAGCCACGAGGGTGAAAAAGGTCTATTTTTGGCCGTTGACGGGTACGAGTGGACGGGCGGATAGATGAATAGTTCTGATGGATTCTGTTTACCAACCTTGCTCTGTATTCAGTATTTCGCAGCGTTGTCCATCGAGCTCAAGCGTATCCGAACAACGACACTGTCGCCATATATGGGTATGGACGCAAGTCTTTTTACAGAGCTGGATATTGTAAGATAAAGTTAATCAAACAGAAAGTGAGCTAAAATGTAAACACCTGTTGTTCAGATAACTTAGTTACTTAATCAATTTTTGTTTCATTCATGAATCTCATTTAATTTACATACTCTACCAAATTTGAACAATGAGGAAATTGTGAATTTACGTTGTTACTTTCATAATGAATGGTACAAAGGGTTTGAATTCTTTCGTGCCATCATCAAGCAACGCGGAGAGGTTTATAAAAGGTGCTTGTGTTAGTCTCAGCATGAAGGACTGAAATTCTGGAATAAACTAACCCCTCTATCATACTCTTCCCCTGGTTTGATATGTCGCACGTGGCCATTTTCAAGAATGAAGGAGCTCTCAATCGATGGCTGGCATTTTCCGTAAGGGTCCGACTGACGTTTGATGAAATTCTGTCACGCAGTAAAATCGAAATAATTACCAAGGAAAAAGATTTCAACAATAAATGCAAAGGCAACCAATGGGGATTGCATTGGAACTTTCAAGTCTTTTTGAGGGGGTGCGATGACGTACGTATCTGAGGCCAATGGAGGTGACAGCTCCTGGTTTGACAGTGAATCCATTGTCGGTGGGATTAGGTCGGATGTTGGGTGGAGTGATGGCAACACGGACCCCAGCCTCCTGACCAAAGATACTGATGTACTCAGACTGCTCCAAGAACAATGTCATCCGTAGACCTATAGGATTATTGAAAAATAAAGCTCATTTCTCCCCTCGAAACTGGGTACTTTGGCTAAGCAGTTTTAGTTTTAACCAGGTTTTTTTGTTCAGAGATGGAGATTCTTTTGTAGTCACACCAGCAAATAAACATTTACAAGCACGTAACTCATCATATGCTTCCTATAATTGCCTTCTTGCGGATGAATTCTTATAATATAAAACTTGCATCGTTTCCTGGAAATACTAAGGTTTCTGGAAGTTTTCCTGGACCATGAATCAAGCTATATACCGAATCTCGAGCCAGTTTTGGAGGCTATAAAAGTTCCGTTCGGGTTGAAGGTGAAACAGTTTCCGTACGTATCGTCTTGGAATTCCTTGAAATCCCTGAAACACAATACATTAGGAAAGAAAAGGGTGGAGAATGGATTGTAAGCAAGGTTGCATGAAAGAAAAGTAAAGGTATAAAGAAATGATTGGAATTTACGAATTGAAGTCAAATCAGGGGTGGATTAACCCCCGTATGTCACCTCTGGTGTACGAAAATTGTCACTCTGTGGATACGTTTCGGCTCTGGTCAAACTTGTATAAAGAATTTTGGCACCGAGCACAGCGGTCTCCTAAGAAACACAATTCAACACACAGTGGTTTGCAGAATTTATGCTGGATTTTTTGTACGAAAAGCACGGTAATTACTAGACGCAGTATGACAGAAACACTATAGTTCTGCTCCTTAAGCGCCTGGAAAAGACCTCATATCCTTCATTCCTTGTCTTGTTTTAATTAAGATTTACCTGTTGTCGCATTTGTTCTCATCGTATGAACACTGAATAATAAAGTCAACTTCCTGGTGTCCAAATCGATGCACTTCATCTCTAGATAGCTTAGGTACGTCGACCAGGTCCCTGTAATCGGGAGTGGCGCTGTACGTCACAAAGCCGTTCCAGTCGGGCGGGTATTCACCTTTGACGCGGTAAAAAGGGCTCCTCCCATAACGAGAGCTGAACTCGTCGAAAAGGTAGTGGTGGTTTGCCTTGACTAACGTGGCGTAATCCTCATACCAAAGTGGATCCCTGAAAGGGTTTTGTACCCGTCCGTCTGGGAAATTAAAAATAATAGTGAACAACATTAAAAAAAAGAACGCGCCTCCTCACTTTAGAATATGGTATTGTTGGGGTTATCTCATCAATGGCGACTTTCTATTTAAATCAGGACATTCAAAGTGTGCAGCTTTTGTTTTCGTCATTTGTTAAAACTTTCAAAGACACACTCCACTAAGTTTAATTCTTATGTCAAAACGTAGTCCCCTTAAAACGTAGAAAGTAAAGCAACTGTATTTGGCATCAACATTACTGCTTCCTAGGTGGTATTTTAGTAGAGCGGTGCATATAGTTCCATCGGCGTTTCAAATACTCAGTCAGTGTTCATGATCCCTTTATACCTGTTCCGTTCTTCCACGTACAAGCATACTCGTCATCTTCCTCAGGGTAGCAATCAGGAACTGTATTACAGACGTCGTATATATGAACCATCTTATGACCATTGGCGCAGCGGAAGTAATTGGCCGGTGGTACGTCGCCTGTTTGTGGGTGTGGGACCAAAAACAAGCCTTCTCAACCTGATGCGTTAGTTATTTGAAACAACTCCGTATGCTGAACGCAAAATTTCTGACTTCAAACAAATCCAACTGAAGTAATTAACTCACCTGGAGTTGCGCAGGCCTCTTCATCCGACGATATCAGACCAGGTCCCCCTATATCCGACGAGCAGTGGTTAATGTCATCACACACGTACTTCTTGGGAATGCATTTCGTCGTTCCTTCTGGCGTTTTCTCTCGGCATTCGAACTCATCTATTGCGCATTCTTATGTGAAAAATAGTGAAATAGTGCTTTTAGACAGAAAACTATCCATAATCAAGCCAGGCAAACTGTTATTAAGGTTACATGTATTACTATTGCAACCTTAGAGAGAGGTCCACTCAGCTGGTTAAGGGGTAAGGGGTCAGCCAGTCAGTCTTTTTTACCTGACACAACATCGCCGCAATCTTTGCTCCATTCGTCGCTCCCGTCTTGGCAATCGGGAAACCCGTTACACGTCTGCCAGGCCCGAATCCGTTCGCCACTCAGACATTGGAATTGCAACGACGAGCTGCCATAGATACCTGAAAGTGTGCAACCGAATCACATGAATTACAAACATGCATGATGTGCAGAGAGGTTCGATAACATTTACATCACATCAGACAAGCGACTAGCTGTTGGTTCCACATGCCAATGACACTGAGTCATGCAATGAACCAGGGCCGTGTTTTTGCCCCCCCCCCCTTCGGAGTTTGAAATCTAATACTCCCGTGAAATTTATGAAAAACAATGGTCAGTCTGCACTTACCAGAGGTTGCAGAAAAAACAGGAAACGTACCCGGAACTGACGATGAGGGCTTAGGGTCTGGTGCCACGTTTCGTCGACGTCTAGAGAGTGGTGCTTTAGTAGAAGGTAGGGAGTTCACGTGTAAATAAAAAAGTTAATTCAAGCTGCATGAAATCAGAACAGTGGCGCAGCGATCGTGTCGTGAACTAAATTGTCCATACAATGATAATCAATTCCGAAAACAGCAGCAAATTATAAGTATCCTGATACGCACGAGAATTGGTCACGATTTAATCGATAATAGATCACCAACCGAAGCGCAAAAGCTTAGAAATATTAAAGATTCCTTATATTAGATGATTTATAGATTTCTACGTCATTATTCGAAGAGCAACGTTAAAGCAGTATGGGATGAATAACATGAACCATCAAGAGAAGGCCAATAACATGCTAACACAAAACTCAAAAGCGCACAGACTTACGTATGTGATCTCTGGAACACGTGACACTTGGGGGCCCAACCGTACAGTTGTGGATTGTAAGTCGAGTGAAACCAGGTTCCCCCTCCACCACAAAGCACCAAGGCCCCGCCCCTTCGCCTCCGGGGTTCCTGCAGAACGCGTGGTTCACCGTGGAGCCTGGTTGCACGCCCTCTAGCTCTTGGTAGGCAGCCCCCGTGTAACCCAGCGCAGCTACGCCGTCGTCGGTCCAGGGCAGGCACCGGGCGTCCATAATGGAACCACGGTAATCTTGCCCGTTAGGATTGGTGTAGCATTCCGTATATACTGTACATGCCAAAAAAGGGGGGGGGGATACCTGGACGATAATGGACTGAAGAAGAACCGGCCCCTCTTCTGGGACCTTTACATTTCTGTTACCGTATATCATAATAATATCGTGTATTAATTCATGCACAATACCACCGAAAACAAGCAAGTTAACCTGTAAAATGAGGTTTGAAGATTTCTATCCTATACTGGATATCTCCGGGAAAATACACAGACAAGACAACAATACAAGGTCTGCTCGTAGAGAAAGTTTAAAGTTAAGTCTAAATCTTGCCTAAACCTTCAAATTTCTAACAATCAAACCCTTCAAATCCCAAACGATCTAATCACAGTTCCTTAACTTAAAACACAAAATATATGAATGTATACACTGCTACTTTTGAAAGAGTTATTGAAAAGATTTAAACTCAGTACAGTTTTTGTAACATTAAAAATTTGTCTACAAAATAAACAAAGTACACTGAGTGATGGAAGTTAGAAAGAAAATGCAATATTGCTAACAAGGAGAATGATTCTGACTGCTTAAATACGGTGAACTACCTGTTTTGCACGGTGTCTCTCTGTGAGACACAGGTTCATGGCAGGTAATATGGCCGTCAATGCAGGTGAAGAAAGAACTCCAAACCCAGCCGGTGTTACTGCAATTTAAGTAGTACGTATCTACAAGCAAACATGAAGACTGTGTAACAGAATATGAAAATTAAACAAACAACTACACAAGAAGACAAAAAATACAAGAACTAAGCTATAAAAGAAACGAGGAAAAAAACACTCAGACAAAATAGAAATTCAAATACGGGCGTTTCACAATAGTGCGCCTCCAAGACTTTGTAACGCGTTGACCAATCACGGTGCGCAAAATTTCTCGACCCAATGCGCGTTTGGAAAAGATCCAATTTCGCGCATTGTGACTGTTGCAAACTCTTGGAGGCGCGCTATTGAATCGCCCGTATTACAAAACAAGAACATTAATGCAAGCAACCCCTTCCGAGCCCCAAACATCTAAACCAAAAAAAGGGGAGATTTAACTCGTGCTAAAACAGACACTTACAGTAGAAAGGATTGCTATAGTTCTTCCCAGATATTCCCGAACATAACACATGTTCAATGACGTCAATCCCGGATTCATTTGTCGTGGTACATTCTGTTATATGTCAAGGGCACGAAGCATTAATTAAAATTGTTTGAATAAAATGCAACACCATTCAGTTTCTAATATTTTATGAATTAAACCTACATTCAAATGAACCTAGAAACATATGAAACGAAAGCGTATATTCGATATCAATCTGGATATTTCCAAGAAAAGGCTTTGAGAGATCTTTAAAATTGAAGGTAAGGTCATTTCCTAGATGCGGCTAAAAATAGATTCACCCAGTCATCTTGGCCTGCGCTAGCATCTTAAAGCCGCTGCTACGTTGAGGTTGCATCACGCGGGCGCGCGTGTTAAGCACGCGCTGGATGCTCCTTTGACCAATAGGGTGCTTCCAACCACCACAATGCACGTGGTCTCAAGAATGCGTGAAACGCACATAAGGTAGGCACCTTGATAGATTTTATACATTGCTGAAGGTTTAATCTACAGCATAATTTCGTACGACCAGGCCATATTTTGAGATGAATAACATACAAAGCTTCATCTCGACGAAACAAGCAAACCTGAGTTTTAACTTCTGTGTCCGAACTGCTTTTTAAATTTGACACGGTTGAGAGAGATCTTACCACAGTTGCGCTCGTCGGTACTGTTGAAACAGTCTGATTCCAAATTACACGGGACACCACATCCACCGCCCAAATCGCATGGGACCCGTCCGGAGTCACAGATGGTCTTGCCTATCCGGAAAGAATCCAGCCAAAATTGAGGTAGGTCAAAGCATCCATTGCTAAAATATAGCAAGCAAACATACTTGACAGGATAAGAACGACGTTGTTATACATGGGGCTCTCGAGGCATATCAAAACGAGTCAAACTAGGCACTTGGTTAGACTCAGCATTATTGGTTGTCCTGGTAACATAGATCCTATTTTAGGTTAAAAGATTGGGTAATCGGTAAAGTTAGGGAAACTGCTCAGCGCCTTCAATATAGCGGTACAACAAAGGCGAAAATAACGATCGATTTGGTTCCCTATACGGTAGGATTACCCATATCTATACTGAAATTGGAAGTCACGTCACTGGACGATTCAATTCATTCACGCCAGCACCTGACCGGTTGTCAGAGCTTAGTGGACATCAGATGTGACGCCTTGTTTTACATTTGCTTTATAACAGAATTTGTTCAAATTTAAGTGATATGAATAACAACTGGCTGAAATCGGCAAGACAACATTTCTAGATTACTTTACCACAATATAACTCGCTTTCGTCCATTCCATTGGCACAGTCGGAGTAGGAATCACACATCCAACCAGAGGAAATACACTGACCATCCCCACAGTTGAATTGACCGTAGTAACAAGCTGGTGTTGCCTCAGCTATAAACGAAACACAGCAAATATCAAAAGTGAAAGGGTCTGACCCTCCTACTGGAGAACAATAAACAAGAGAAATAGTGACTGCAATTCTGCTCTTATGCCATTCACAAGATTGGGCACACAGTTGTCTTAAAATGGGATTGAACCTGGTGCAAAACGGTTCGATGTGCATTCAAGTTTAACGCGTTGAAATGATGCAAGCTCCGAGGTTTATAGTTACATGCAGGTAGCTGCAAATGGAAATGCATTTACCAGAACTATCTTATTTACCAGAACTATCTTTTGGTGTGATGTCTGTTGATTTCAACGAGTTATCAGCCTCCCGATACTTAACAGATCAACTTTGCTGAATCATTAAGTTCAAGTGGATCTGTGCAACCTGACCAAGATCACACAGTTATGTTGTGCTTGGCACATTCCGTAATCTACGCGATCTTACTTGTGGTCGAAAGTTGGTTGCAGATGTCTTGGGTCTCGTCAGAACCATCTGGGCAATCCTCGTGATTATCGCATAAATAGGCCTTAGGGATACATACATCCCCCCGGCCACATTTGAAGGATGTCACAGAACACTGGTATGTTCCATCTGGCGCTGTACAGAAGAAAAATTGAATGGGAAACAAAAAGGATGTATGTCTTGTGGCTGTACGTAACTTCATGTCTCAAACAGACACATCTTTGAGTTTGCATTAGAGCCACGGTGGCCACCAACAGCATTTATGTCATCACTGTCTGAATTGATTATAGTCGCTGTCATCGTCAAAGTCCTTATCGTCGTTACCATTGTCGCTGATGCCATCATCGACAAACTTACTGCAGTTCTTTTCGTCACTTTCATCCAGACAGTCAGAGACATCATTGCAGACGGCAGTCTTAGGGATACAACCACCACGTTTCTCACATTTGAACTCCGAACTCTTACATTCTGCAAATTAAAAAGCCAATGTTCGATGTGATTTGCTTCAAGTGGGTTGCAATGTAGCATGAAGTCATACTCTGTAGATCAATAAGTCCACTACATACCAGTTTATTTCCGTTTATCTTCAAGGTAGCAGACATTGATTCGGAAAATTCGGACTGTTAGTCGAATTATTTCAGAAGTCTTGTTCCTACCACAGTTATCTTCATCCTCGCCTTCATAGCAGTCTTTTCTCCGGTTGCATCTCTTCTCCTCAGGAATGCAGAGACCCCAACGACTCCCTGAGTAGACGCAACGGAACTCTTCTTCGGCGCACGAGCCGAAATCTAAAAGAAATATGAAATATTTTCCAATAAATTAAATCTTATCAGGGCATGTATATAATAATGTAATACCGGAAGCATTTCAATTATAACAGGGCATACCGTTCAGCAAAACATCCAAGGCATTTTCCCCAAACAATCATGATGAGTCAAGGGTGGGTAGAATTTCTTATCATATACCTGTGATTTTGAAACATATTAAAATCAAACTAAATAAAAACAAATGCCAAGGAGCCGGAGGTACATGTACATCATGAAGATTTTCAACTGGTTTATAGGAATTACATGTAGATACATTTACTGGTTATTTGCGAATTCGTTTTGCTTTTGTATTCGAATAAAGCATTAGCTATTGATCTTACAACAGAATATCACATGGGTAGAATTGTCACTGACAAGAAGGGGTGAATCCAGCTCATTTGTGGCGTATCCGGGGGGGGGGATTCAAAACCGAATGCGGCTTTGGGCTTATTCAACATGATGTTTGGGGAGAAAAATGTCTAAAGCCTTACGGTCCTGACATTCTTGCTTTGATTTGCTGGTGTTATTTTCTTTGGGTTTGGTGCTAATATTCAATAAATAAATCTACTGACTTCGTTCTTTCCTACTCACCTATAAAGTATCAAAAAAATCGCGGGGGGGGGCTATTACACCCCTTCGCTGGATATGCCACTACTGACAAGGGCTATATGCTTGCACGATACCGCCAGAACAGCGACCATAAGCACAAGATTTTTATTTCATGTGGACATCCTCCTGTTATAGAGATATCTCTATCCTTATAGAAGTGCGCTTAATCAGATGGGGTGAGGGGTTGGAGCCTTGTGCATTTTATATGCAAACAACCTCGAAAGATATCTCCCCCATTGTTAATTTCCATTTCATGTAATAACATTACATGTTTATTAGCTGTAGAATTTGATGTCTTAATGGCCAACTCAGAGAATAGATCTTTAACAAGACGTCATAATTTGTTCACATGTGAGCTTTCCTATGGCAGTGAGGTGGGACGCGACACGTCGATTTCCCACAGGAAAATACATATGTAAACAAAATATAAAGTCATTATGTGCTAGGTAGGTGATGTGCTATGGGTTTTCAAACCATTAGGTGCGTCTAACCTCATAAATTGTTTCATATACAAATTGATGCGTCGATAAAGAGTATCATTGTTAAGCTTCCAGTGAACTTTATATCTTGACAAAACTGTTATTAATAAGTTATAAATGACAAATAATCAGGTGCATGATAATGCAATGGCCCCACTGAAAAAAACCGAACGTAGAAGAGACACACTGGCTATTGAAAATGAAACCGAACTTCTGTTGGCACATAATTGATGATTGGCCAGTATCGATTAGAAACGGTGAATTGATGTCGCATAGCACCTGTCCTTTGCTTTCCTGTTAAGTAAAACACATCATGTGACGACGGCACGCTTGGACATATTGACATCTGTATCAACACGTTGCTCTTTGTTAAACCCAAAAGGAAAGAAAACAAATATTAGACGAATTTGTTTTGATTGTAGGACTGAGTTTATTCGAAAGATTCACTATTCGGATATTGGACTCTCCGTTCGATCGAATATCCGAATATTCGGTCGTACCAACCAGCAGCTTGTCGGTTAACAAACCATATACTAAATAAGTTGCAGTAACGCACACAATTGTACATTATAATCACTATAATAGCGTCTCACGTCTAAGAGTATCTTCAGACACGATTTAGCAAGATTTAGAGACGAACAATACTTCTTGTCCTGTTGAAAATTTCTATTCTCTGAAAATCTTTTAATGAATAATTTATTTTTGAATGGTAAGATTTCTGTCGCTTTTTATTTGAATCTGCTTGAAACAAGCCTCCAAAGTCTTTTCTCATTTAAAACAAAACAAAATTTTCCTTTCGTTTTCAGGAATTTTGCATTTGAATATTCAAATTTGGAAAGTATTATTCGAATAGGCCGCCTATTCGATACTCGATCAAATATCCGGATATTTGGCACAACCCTACTTGATTGCAATTGAAATTATCTCAAATTATTTCATGGCTCTTTTTTATTAATAATCTGAATATAAGGAAAATGCTAACTGAAATAATGGTGTGATATTTAATGGTGTGAAATGGTGACCCTGACAAGGAGCTTTTATATCATTCTGTAAATGATGGTGTGCTGGCTTCATTAATATCACATTTATAAAACGAAAATGTAGCTGGGTATAAAGGTATGATTGATCGCAAGACACTTGACTTCCTCGAAACACAGTCAAACTCTTTCGTTTGTTATTCTAATGATTTAAATGATTACGTAAAGGTCTTAAGGTAAATCTTCTCGTTACTGTTTCGACACGACTGACATCTTATACTACGATTGCTTCTGAACCAAGTTGGTAATGACTGGCTGTAATACGCACTTGTATGGGAAAGAGCCACAGTCGCTTTCATGGATGGAATGTTATTCTCATGGTTGCCCAAGTAATGTACATGAGTGTCAAAATATTATTTCACATCGAAAAGGATGGTGGTAAAATATGGCAATACAAAATCCAACCCACTGAAAATGGGTTCCAAAATGCAAACACGCAGTATATTTTAATGATGAGACAATTCTTGAGTTGTTTCATATGTAGGCTGTACAAAGGCTGTGCCATGTTATGTTTGTATAAAAAAGTGAAACAAATTGGAAAAAAAAAACTTACACTACATTAAATAAACCGGTAGACTTGGGAATCTTTCAATATAGCATACTTTACTGGAAACTAAATACTCCATTGCGAGCATGAGCGACTCATTTAATATAAAAAATGATGTTAAAATGATACTTCGATTTTTCCCATCTTTTACTGAATTTCATTTCAAACCTTGGCAGTCCTGTAAAACATGCCCTTGCTGATAATTACAGACAATTTTTAAAAGGGAATTCACACTTTCCCAGCGATTGCAAATATTCAACATGCCAGTTGATGGATTGAAATTGCACTAATCGGATGCTGAAAGACAAAATTACCGTTATTGATGAGTACGACCCCCCCCCCCCATTGGGGAATTATTAACCCTAATTACGGAAGGAAAGAGGACTGTCCTTGACGTATTACGGATGAAATAATTGCTCATTCTCAATTTATCTTCATCAATATATAACTGGCATCTGTAATGACACCGTAATAAGCAGTGCACGTTTAGTCATCTTTACCCATTAGCAATATCGAAGAGAGATGGCATACGTAGGTCCCCTATCGTTGACAGAAAATACAAGGAAAGTAATTTACTTTGACGCAAAGAAATAATGAAGCCTTGATGTCCAAATGAAGCCATTCGTCTCGCGTTGGTCACCCCTTGTTTACTTTACAGTGTATCTACATGTATACTAGTGGTGTATACGTTATACCAACTGACACTGTATACCAACTGACGATTACGCTGCGGCAAAATTATGAAATGACATTATGCGGGGGTCAGAAATGAAGCAAGGAATTATGTTAATGTTTATTCCTCGCATATTCTCTTTAATCTCACACAGTGTACCGTCCGCGTTTTAACCTAGCACAGTGTTAAGAATATTGTACTACATAAAGCAATGAATGTTCGGGGTTCGGGGGCGGCCTTCTGCTTGGGTGCGCGCGACCCCCTGCCTATACTCTGTTTAGGTTCCATAAGTTTATAAATACAACCTCTATCAATTCAGGCGTTGTAGCGTTGGCTATTTAGTGCCAAAACCATTAACTTGAACTCATCTAAGCCAGGCGAGTTACACTTATTGCACTTGTTGCTGTGCCAGCTTTAAGTTAAAGGCTAATTTACGCCACTGGTAACACAAGTTTCCTTACCGTAATCACAATCCTCTTCGTCGCTGGTGTCCTGCTCTCCACATTGCCTGATGCCATCACAAATAAGAAAGCTTTTAACGCACACGGGCCGGTCCCGGCAGAGAAAATCGTCCCCGACACACGGTGCTGACAACAGATAGAACAGAGTTCATTTTTTTAACTTGTCATAAGTTGGAATCAAAAGGAACAGATCCTGAATTAGTATTTATATACCACCAACACCCTATTTTTCAATTTTGTTTTTCGAAGACCCATCTTGAAAGTGGCCGAATCCTCAATCTTGTTTGCATCGTGAACTGATACTTCTTAAAGGCATAACCTCCGAGAAAGGCTGTAACTTGACTCCGCATAATGCGTTTGATGAATACCCTAAATTTATGTGATAAATAAAAGTCAATACATCTGAAACTAACGCTAGAAAAAGCGGCGGGTTAACCTTTCCTGCAGTGCTGACTATAGTGTACGGTTAATTTGGTTTCATATCGCAAATATAAAAATATATGTGCAGGTTTATGTGCATCTCTAAGGTCAGGAAAAGCACGTGTTTTAGTAAACTAACCGTAGTAAGGTAGAGACGCAACCAGATCGACAACCAACATCTGTCGATGCTTTGACGACTTGATAGCCGATCGACGCAGCTTGTTAGTGTTGCATACAGTGACTGACGGGAATTGCAAGGAATTGTGCGTGATGATTTTTATCTGCAGTGGTTCCGGAAGATATGAAAAAATTCGCAGATCATTGTGAAGATTTTGATGGCAGGGTTGGTTGTGGTGATAGTGGCAGAGGTTATGGTGATGATTATGAAGATTGTGAGGATGGGTGTATTTGTACCAAGCATTCTACTATGTTGTCAAGTAATATGTTACAATAATTTTGCACCAAAGTTTTGGGCAATTATACAAACTGTTCTCGCCAGACGCCCATTCATCCCAGACAGGTCAGCCCAAAATAACTTCCCTAACTAACGTACTCAGTGCAGGTAGGCCGACACGCGCGAGGCCAGGAATTGAATGACCATAGAATAACCTAGATATCAATTTCAATTGAAATTCGCAGTTGTGTTTGTTATGAATGTCACATGACATTATACGCCATGTTTCAAAAAGATCTGGAATAGAATAGTCGCACAGGAATAATGAACTCCTTCCCCGCTCGGCCGTAACATGTTCGGCAAAAGTGGCTCTTTTAAGGTTAAACTAATTCGAGAAGTAGAAAACACTCAACCCTACCTCAGTTGTCACTTGAAACCTGAGGTAGGTTTCAAAAATCAGGGCACCCTGCCAGATGGACAGCACAATCCCGCCCGTGAAAATCAGGGACCAGACAAGCCGTCCAAGTTTTGTTTTGGCGCGAAAGATGTTTGGCAGGCCATGGGCAGACGACACGTTCAGCGCGAAGTCGCTGATGATCTCACAAGGACTGGTCCGCAATCGCCTCTTTTTCTCCGATTGCTTCTCGCCATCAGGATCAGCCACTTGGAATTGTGATAGATTGTCAGCTGACGATCCGAGGTTAGCAGAGAAAGGCAGAGTGTCACCCTGGGCAGCTGGTTTGACTTTAAACTTTGGCATGGCGGTTGAGTTTTCGAAGAAACAGAGTTATCTCGCGTGTCTGACTCGATATCAAATCAATGTTCCCATACACATTCATTAACAAAATACATCTTATCAAAACTGTTTTGAGAAATCAACTAGGCCTATTCGAGATTAATTTGCTTAACTGCAACGACAAAGATTACTAGTATCGAGCGCACACCAGACGAGCTAAGCTACCTTATGGCTAGACGTCAAATGGCGTAATTTACCCACCAGAGCAGAACATGTTTGAAGTAGCGTGTCGCAGTGCCTCATTATCCACTGGCCCCGCCTCTTGAATACTGCATTCGAAATATTTTGTTGCAACACCAGAGCTGAATACAGGTGTCTATATCCCTGTACGACAGACGGCGGGTTGGCTGTCTGTACAATACTGGATATGTACCCCCTGATGGTGGCGCTTAGGCCCACTGATACATCTGTGTGTAAGTATGTCGACGTTGGATTCAGTGTTTGGTATACACGACTGTATACATGTACATGCATACACAAAGCGAAGTGTTACCAGTGTGTCAGTGAAGAACACGTTGTGGTACGGTATAGAATATGTCTCTAGGTTTCTCAAAAGACAATAATGTGAAGCGTTAATGCCGAAATGTAAGGAAATTCAAATAACCCTAATTACCATTTCAATTCATTCGGTTAATCCAAGAGAATTAGCTTTTAAATCGTTGTAAGCCATTGCAATGAGTCAGAGATAATAAACCAGTCATTATATGAGCTGATTTGAAACTATTATACACTACAGTATTGTTTCATATCACACATGCCTAACTGTAGTCGTAGTGACAGGAAGCAGATCAAAATTAAGAAAACAAACCAACCGAGCCGAGCCAGTTGAAAGCAGAAGGAGAAACAAGAAAAAAAGACATCCCTTAAAATAAAAAAAAACCAAACAAAATGAAAGAAAACATAAAACAACGTAAGAGAAAAGCTGTGGGTGGGTCCTCCTGTGGACCTGATTTATACTGTCTTACATGGCAGGCCTGTGAGCGTCTCCAAATTCGTTTCAATGAAACATATTTTCTTCAAGTTCGTAATGATGAGATGTTTTTTCCAAATCCTCAAGTTTGTGTTTATGAAATGACTATAATATTGTTTTCATCCTCTTTTTTTAATTTCCAAGATATCAAATCAATCTCTTTTAAATTGCAAAGACATACGGTGTATTGGTAAATATGAAGAATGTAATTTTAAACGGAATTTTTCTTGTATTACGATTTTACACAGCTTTTTAGAAGAGGGCATAAGGAGTGTCAAACACGGGCATAAGGAGTGTCAAACACACATGGTTCACACAATCCTTTCATCCTCCTGAACTCAATAGGTTCCACTGGAATCGTCAACAATGCAGCTATCTGTTGTACATATAAATGCACCTGTACTGCAAGCGGCCTGGGTGTAGCGTGAATTTGGACTCGTTGGACCCGCTGGACCTGTTGACTGAAAATACGAGATCTGTTGGGCAGACACGTAATAGACTTGATGATAGGTCGTTAGATAGTCGTATTTTTCCATCGAACGTCAGTCGAAATCCGTTAGAGCCGACTTCATTACAAGATAAGTGATATTACTGGACGAGTTCCGATGGCAATTCACCCGCAAGTTAGGGGAAGAGGCAAACAACGTCCCCACGCCAAGTTAAATGCATTTACACCGTGTGGACTCGTTAAGAACAAGACCAAATCAATTACCGACTCGGCACCAAGTCTACTACATGCACAATAAGGGGCGCGTTGAACTGCAAAATACTTTGCATGATCATACATACGAGTGACAAACAACAATAACCTAAACCAGCATACTATTGTGCTATTAATCCTAGGGCTGTATTGCAACTATATAAATAAGTCCAACGAGCCTAGTAGCATTAACAAAGCTACACGTCGCTGATGCGCTCAGAAGCTGTTCAAGGCTTCCACGTAACTAGTTTGGTATCGTCTGTCTGTTCATTTGAAGCATATTTGGGGATTTGCAACTGTAATCCAGACGTATTTGTTGACTGCTGCTCGTTTACGACAGAGAGATAACAATCGTGTGTAAACCTTGTACAAGACAACAAAAGACCCTTTCAAGAACAAGCCTTCGTAAACTGTGACATTGGCCACAGCTTTCAACAAGAGTGAGCTCGCCATCTAGCAAATATCACTACAAAGCCAGCCACTGTGAATTCGGAGTCGATCACTGCGTAGCGACAAACTCCACCGCTGTACGATCGGTCACTGATATTTAAGTCACCAACTTTTTCACCATGAGCGAAGAGTTCATCACCGGAGTGAAGTATGCCTTGACAATTTGCGCTGCATTGGCGGCCATGTTGAATCTCTTGGTGTTAGCTGTGTTTGTTCGCACCAGAAGCCTGAGAATGAAGCACTATGGGTTCCTCATCAACCTGACACTTGCCGACTTGTTCTATGCCGTCATGGCGATTGCCTACACCTGGGCAGAATCTGAAGTTGTCTTCGTCATCTTCTTCTCGGGTTACTTTGTGGGTGTTTGGACCATCCTGGCTGAGGCAATCAACCGCTACCTGGCGGTATCCTTGTGGACACGACAGGCAAGCTATCATGCGCTGGTCAGCAAAAGTCGCTTGCTGGTTGTTTGCGTTTTCATTTGGGTGGTGTCCTTTGCAGTGGAGATCCTGCCAGCTTTCCTGGCCAACGCTGACGTGTACGCAGTCATCGAAGGAGTGGTCAAGCCGGCAGTGGTCTTCCTGTTTTGGTTGATAACTGCTGTCCTCTATGTCATTGTGTTCCGTAAAATTCGACCTGTACACGCCGCATTCGAATCGACTTCGCCGTTGCAACCGAGCGAGGAACAAGCCCGCCTTCGAATGAGCCAGATTCAACTCTTACTGGTTACATTCTCACTCATTCTTGTCACGTCTTTCGTCTGCTGGATGCCGTTCAGCGTGATCCAACTGGTACAATTTCTTCACGGGGATCTGAAGAACCTTGAGGCGGCCTACTGGATGTCCGGTACTGTCTACTGTCTGGCACCGCTGATCAACCCTTGCATCTACTGGTTGCGACTGGCGGGATTCAGAGAAGGCTTCCGTAAACTGTTCTGTGGATGTTTGACACAGGAGCCTAGCCCTATTCTTGAGGCTGAACACTCAACCTTAGATGGAGACCTGTGAATAATTACTGAAAAAAATCATGGGTAAAACGGTGGGAAAGAATTCCATTCCATTCCATATCACTCGACACCTTCCAAACAACCTATGAGACTGGTCTAAAAAATTATGTTTTCTAAGTGACTATCAATTTACGCATCATTATTCTTCCTGCTAAATTTGACGTTTTAAGACATGTTTTCTCATTCACGGCATTCTGTCGGCTAATGTATCACTGAAGGGGAAAAGTTAGTTATGCCCATGTATAGCAGTCTAAACTTCCTCCAAAATGCTTAACTTTGCTTACAAATTTACAATGGAATAATTGGAATAAACGAAGACGTATTTTAACAGATTTGAATATTAATCCTTACCGATTTAATCTTCATTAATGTTTGATCAAGAAAAATGGTGGTGGTGAAGAAGAATTACCTAATGGATGACGTTTGCAAGATAAACTTTCGCCGAAGACTGACTGTATGTCAACTTGTACCCATTCGGTCGATCGAAACACAGAGGTCAGAATAATTCCAGACCACTTCAGAGTGGTTCGAGTCCTGAGACCAATCTTACTGTCTCTCTCTTCACGAACTACTGTACCTGTCAATATTTAATAGGTTTTCGAGTCACAGACTTAAATATGGAGTCATTGTAATTCAGCTTGTGATGTTCTTGGGGTTAGGAGTCAACAAATTGAATCTTATTTATATAAATTAAACATTGATGAACTTTAAATAATTCACTTTGAAATTATTGTAGATATAATATGCTTGTAATAACATCACACGTGTCATCGTATATTCGAATTGTAACTAACACGTCTTTAAAACATTTCAGTTGATATGTATTTCCCAACACTTCGCAATTTTTATGCAAATGCAGTTTTCTTTTCCTAACAATAAAAAAAGACATAATTCTCCTCAGGTAATTGGGCATCGCTCATATCGGGTTTGTAGTGGTCCATCTTCTCCTTTTTTTGTCTCATAGACAATAATTCTCCTTGGCGTTAATGCATAAAATTTGCAACTCTAAACAAACATCAACCCTGATTGCTAAAGATTGTGACGTAACAACATCATTAGGTATCAAATTTTAAGCAATATCGGTTAAAACGACCACCTTCACCAAACCAAACGACCACCACCAAATAAAATGAGTGATCGACATGTGAAATAAATGTTTCCAATTAATTTCTTTGTTAGAGTGGTTACCCTTTTCTTATAAATAAGATGGTGTGTCTCTTACTGCTAGTCACAAGTCATTTTATTGCTAGGTCACTCCGTCCGATAAATTTGGATTTTAGTACAAGTTTTTACGTATTCGTCTCGATTTTTTTTCTCTTTGGTATTTAGTCGAAATCCAGTGATGCAGCTGTAGTTAATGGCCGAATTTTGACTAATGACCTGACGAATACGTTCTCGCATCTTTATTCACATATGCGTGCTGCGCAATTTATTATGCAGTGCTTTCCTTAGTGACAATAGCGAAAAGCTATGCAAATTGGAGGATTTGTCCATTGGTTAAAAGGGGATTTCTTCTCATACGTCAGGGCACGTGATGATTTCGAGACGTTTAATAATCACTGATAACCTCCCATTGTAAATTGAAACAGAACGCCTTGTGTCAAAATTGATCTTATGTAACCATGCCCTACTACATACGTGTAGTTATATCATTTTCAACCTAAAGCCGCTCGGGTTTCATAATATGCGCGTCAACACTTGCAACAAGCGTTGCGCATCCGTCAAAATCGCTCCCAGGGCGATTTTGTCGGCCGAAAGCAACGCACAAGCGTTTTGTTAATGGAGTCGATTGTCGTGTCCGTGGAAGTGAAACGCATGGACGCATCATGTACGCACTTAAGAAACGCATACACGTACATTGTATATGAAAAGGCGCCTTAAGTCGGTGCATAACGTCGGTGCATTGAAGAAATCGAATGTGTCTGTACCCCCAACCCCTAACTTAGGCTTGTAGTTTGCTCATGTGTTACGATATTTCCACCAGCTCAATCGAATAGTTGTTCTCTAACCACTTTATATTTTTCTCTGAATCCTTTTCGAATCGTTAAGTTTTATGGTACCGTAAAAACGATTAACACAATAATGGATATGCCTCCAGAAGCGGCCCTGAACACGTGCTGCATAACATTACCATAAATATTGTACAGTCCAATCAATCTTCAAGACAGGAAACAAGTTTCATTGACGCTTTTCTTTATTTTATTTATGCATTAAACGCACAGTGAAAACTTTTCTCTTTAAGAGGTGAATCCATATCTATTAATACTATACTGAATGAACCCCTGCAGAAAAATATCAATTTTTCACAATAAGCCAACCCTCTTTTCCCCCAACGATGAACAATAAGGGCATGTCTTCCGGTTTTATTAATAAAAATTCAAACCCTGCATATGTTCTCTGTAGCGAGTTACATCTATATCGTTTAAAGTCAGTTCCAAGGTTCCAAGACGCATCACTACAAGGACCTGCCCATTCTACATGTACTCTGTGAAATGTGATAATAGGTTGCACGCTCTGCGAATAATTAGTTAACTTAAGAAAACTTCCGGCTTTCCTATACCTGAAGCCCCACCCAGTCTGTGTTCGAGTATGTTACTCCCGATTCTCGTTAGTGCAGGAAAATGAAGCCCATCAGCCTTTTGCAAAGTAAATTTGAATAAAATCTGGTACACTGCATTATGTGATTGCACATAAACGTAAAATGAATTACCAAACTAAAGACGCTGTTGCTATACCACGTGATTCGGGGCTATGGACGTACATAAAAACTCTGGACTCACAATGCCCCGGCAATTCCCGCCTTTGTCCTCCGTGGCGTCTATAAAAGCGAGCCAACCCGAGCATTTGTATTCGGCTCGGGAAAATGGCCGCTTGTTGGCTTTCATACAAGGGCGTTGCAAGTCCGGGTTTTTTTTTTATATGCGCCCGTGTTCGGGGCAAGCTTTTGCATAGCGACCATAATCTCTGGAATGTACTGGTTCCTTTGTGCCCTTCTTAGGGCTCAAAGCAAAAGCTTGCCCCAAATCACGAGGTACTGCAACAGTTTTTTTAATATCGAGAATTCAAATGTTTAGGTTCACGTGAATTTAAAGAATTAAGTGTACCATATTTTATTCAAATTTAACTCGCAAAAGTTTAATTATGAACGACGTTCCCGTGTATTCCTAGCTCTTTGACTTCCCCTAAATGTGATCGCACGTTACTTCAAAACTCGGCTGGTCTTGTTCCCTGACCCATGTGTTGTCAAGTAACTTTGTCAAGGCATTATTGTGCAAGCACCCCACATTCAAATCACAAGAGTTTTGTAACTTTGGTCCACCAGCGTTCGTTGGCAAGATGTGCAAAAATCAAACTTGTCACAAGCAGGGATTAAAAAAATCCTTGTAATACAGCAATGAGATGAAACTTGAAGGATTTTACATCCTGTCTGGGTACATGACAATGTGTTGACCTTAAAAAGAAATCACATACATAGTTAGAGCCTTATACGTACTGGACCGTCCGGTTTTAACAACGTGGAATGAATTGACAGATATTAAAAGCTTGTTGTAAAGTTCCCAAGTTTGGTTTAACACAAAGTCATCGAATGTCAAGTTACCATACTCTTCTGGAAAGTGTTCATTGAGAAATATAACCACTGACAAGACAAGCAGACGAAAAACATAGTGTTATGTAAAAATCTATGAACAAACTGTCAACATGCAATTTGTATTAAAGAATAGTCTGGCGAGGTGTGGTAAGAAGCTGAAATTCTGAAATGCAAAACGAGTCCCAGCTATCAAATAATAGCAGGGTACCAGTCAGTAACTCCTTAATCCTAAAAGAGCCCGGTTTGTTTTGGAACCAGCCCACAGCTTGGGAGGGATGGATGCCAATGACTGATTTCCCAAGAGCTTGGGTGCCCAAGCTCGATCTTTTCAATCTTGACACACAAGTAAAGACCCTCATCTGTACAAATGTGAAATTTCAACTCAATCAGGCTTATGGTTTTGTTGATAATGGTTATTTGAAGGCCACACGTGAGTCAGCCTGTGTTCATCAAGCATGTCAATGGAAAGGTATGCACTTTTGGCTGACCTGTCGTGGAAAATGGATGCTGCGTGAGAACAGCTTATCCATTTCTACAAAACAGGTGTCAACATGACCGCAACATATGCATAGCTGAAAAAACTCCTGGAGACAGGACATGTGAAAAAAAATACAATGCAATAATACGGGACAATGTTGAGGGGTGGGTGGGTTCTCCTCGGCCACCTCCATCCCTGGCTCTTTTAGGGTTAAGCTGAACTGTTCACTAAACACCAGCTTGTAAAACAACGGTAGCAGTTGTGTTTAACAGAGGGTTGGAAGCTCAGAACCTGGGACACAGTTTGGAAAAAGTCTCTGCAGGTATACAGTGTAGATTTATTTCAAAAGGTGAAATCTCTGCCGTTGTTATGAATGGGAGCAGTAAAACTTTCAAGTTTGGTTGCATGTTGTTATCAATTCTACCTAGGAAAAACAAAATCCATGCTAGTGCAGTAAATTTGTTCTTGCAGACGGGAAAGATGTTTGTTTGAAGGGGTGAGGGTGGAAGGGGGGTGTTTCTTCTTACAAGGAGTGGAGAATTACTCAGAATGGAGTAAGGAAGATTGCAGTATCAGGTACTGCTCGCTGCTTGGTCTTTGTGAAATTTCTCTACCTGAAAATACAGAAATGAAAGGAAGAATTCAGCAAACTGAAAAAAATTGACATGTAAGACAGCGAGCTGCTATCTTCTATTCCCTCTGCTCTCTTTATGTTTCTGTTTGGCCCATGGTAGGTTTGGCATTTTCACATAGATGCTAGTTCTGCTAAATACCCTCTAGAACACCACTGTAATTAGTTTCCTTGGTTTACTGCAGTTGGTTAATGGTGTGTGTTGATTTACATGCACAAGAGACCTACAGGTACATGTATGCAATGAACCCACATATCAATACCTGCAGTTCTTTGTTTGAAGTCAATTCCATTTACATGTACTTCCATCTCAGCATTTCCAGATTAACCCCATGATACAGACATATGTAGAAAAGTTTCAGTCACACAACTGATAACACGGTCCAATATTCTTAGAACTTACAATTTTCTTAATGTGAACGACAGCGCTCTCTTTTCCTTGGCAGTTTTCAGTGCCGTAAGGTGGCAGGACCTTCACGTCGTCATTTACAACGATGACTGCACCTTGCCATTTGCACGGGAGTCTACAAAAGTCAACCAAGAGTGGAGACTATCATATGTAAGTTTAAAACTGGTTGGCAAGCATACAGCCCCATAGTGATGAATTGCTTTCTCTATAAGTAATATTAATCTAAAAGCAAAAGTATATACCAACAGCAACCAACAAATATTGATGCATATGCCAGAAATGAGATTATCATCTGACATGTCTGAAAAAACAAAATGCTTTGGAATCTCCACAATCCACTTGTACTTCTTAACTAAGCAGGTTCATCTCTTGTTCATTCCACTTTTTGAAAAGGTTTTGTATATATGGAGTTTCAAAAAGATTATTGGTTTGAGAGGGTTTGGGCCTTTCGATGAACTGAATGGGAAAATGTAATTAAATAATCAGCATGTAGATTGATTACCTGAGTGAGTGAATTCTACCTGATGGCTAACAAGGATGGTCAGATCTTGCACATGTGACCTAGCTTGGTACTCACGTTTTATTGATAGTGTGGAATAAATTTTGTGCTTCAGTAGTGATACCGTCTTGTAGTAATCTGAAATGCATCTGTTTGGCATTGATGGCTTCTTCAGCTCTCTTGTTGAGCTGAAACAAAGGGAACAGGCAATCAAAAGACAAACTTTCTGATGCTGATGATTTACATTATGCAAGAATGTCTGTTCACTTTGAGACATCATTTTGCGTAATCTCAGGCCGAAGTTCAAAGTTTTTCATTTGATTAAAACAGTAAACATTTCAAACTGATTAAGAAGGTCAACAGCAGAGATAGGGACAGTCTCCCATCTAACCATCTGCCCACTTCTTTGGTAAAAGAAGATTTTGCTCACCAAAAATCACAAACCACCACTTTTTTAACGTTAATCTTTAACGGGGATGACCCAACTGCCATATTTCCTTCTAAAACACCGATCATAATGGATATGCATGTACATGTATGGGCTCTAATTCACAGGGACTGAACAGGTGGTTTGTAACCTTTGCTTGGAATGGACAGGAATGTAAGCCCCCCTCCTCCTAAAGTCTCCGGTCTCTGGTCAGCGCGTGCGTTGCTGTTGACCTGCGCGCCGACAAAATGAATATTAAATATTAAAATATAGTTTTTTATTAAACGATGTCCAAAAGCTGCCAAACTTGCTTGATTGACTGGAATCCTGCTGCTGTGTAATTTTAACGTGTGTTTGATGGGGTACAGTTGAGTGACATGTACAGTAAAGGAGTCCCTCTAGTTCCCCATACATTTAGTCAGGCACTCTTTGTCAGATGATGTCCTTTCTGTATTATATGCTTACATCTGGGAACCAGACAAACAAGGTGGTCCTACATCCTGCGTACATGAACAAGTTGAAACTGCTTTGAAACAGCAAAAGTGCAGGGGTCAGTCTATTTTAGAGTTGGTACCGTCTGGCATTTCGTGTGCATGCAGTCGCAATGGACATGGCGCTTTATACGTACATCACTTCCAGAAAAAAAAAGCAAGGAAGGGGGGGAAAGCCGCATCACTGCACCACTTTTGGAGCCAGTTCCTGACCAGGAACCAGGTACTTTTTTGGGGCCTAATGCATCCTTGATGAGACCCTCGACAGGGATAAAGCCAAGAACTTACTGCACCTCCAACATTAATCCTAACACAGCACAGTGCATCAGGTGCAAAAGTCTGATGCACTTTCATTCACTTGGTAATTAACAGCAGCCAAACAAAACTGACTATGTTGAGACATTGGGAGCTAGTCCCATTGAACAAAACAATGCCACTGTTGGATCTTGTGGTGGCTGGCAATCACAGACTCCCAGGCTATTTTGGCCTTGGGGAGAGTTGACCTGATGGATCTTGTTACATTAGGCAGGCAAGCCACTTTGACAAATGATGCCGACTGATGTGTCTGGTGGAGTTCCGAGCCAAAGTACCCAGGAGGGTTAGGGTTAAGATACAAATACTGGCTCACAGTCACTGCCAGCAGCCACACAAAGCTGCCAACTCCTGCCTCAGATGGTTGATCTCAGCCGCTTACACTGCTCTAACAATGTCAACCAACCTTTTGGATGTTGAGCTTACACTGCTCTAACAATGTCAACCTACCTTTTGGATGTTGAGCTTACACTGCTCTAACAATGTCAACCAACCTTTTGGATGTTGAGCTTACACTGCTCTAACAATGTCAACCAACCTTTTGGATGTTGAGTCTCGGCAACCTTGGTGGTGGCTCCGAGGCAACTTTCTCTACCTGTGGGTCTTTGGCAGCATTAAGGTTGACGATGCGTATATCATGTGTGTTCTTCCTCTCGCCATTTACTGATGGCATTTCTGGGACATATAGTTAAGGACTATGAACTGAATGATTTTTACAATCTTAAATGAACATACCATCCGCATATCAGTGGAGAGCGTGCAAAGGTAACCTCCTTCTACTATAAATTGTAATTTCATCTTGTCCTAGTTTAAACTGAATTAAATATGCATACAAAAGGGTAGCCTTGTTAAGGCGTTTATCATTCGTCGCAGCGCACGGCAGCGCACACCGCCGCTCAAAATCAAGGCGAAGAGTGCTGGGGGTGACACTGACCAATCACAGGGCTCCTCATTATTTATGTCCAAATTGAAGGAAGACAAGCAACGGCCGTTGGGTACCACAGCCAGTGCACATGAGCGCGCTGTCGTACATGACCCCTTCCTGTTGAGCAGCTTTGACTTGGGCCTAGGAATTAGCCAATAATTGTTCAGGTTGGCCTAACAATTTTTCAAAGATCTCCAAAGATTTTTTAAAATTCTTTGATAAAAAAACTTCGTCAGAAATTGTGGGCCTCCATTCCTATCGCAAAATGCATGCATTTAATGGAGCATATTCAGGGCCTTCTCAGACTCGGGCGCTAGCACACAGCTGCCTAGGCTAGGGCCCGGATCTCACTGACAGTGACACTAAACGTAAGTTTGAAACGAAATATCTTCTTAACTTCGCCAAAAAAAGGATACTGAGCACCAGGAACTTGCTGACAGGGTCGTATGCCATCACTTCTCCGGAAATTCTCTCCTCAAAACATGTCTTACAGGATACAAAATTCCCGACTTTGAACAGTCCTTCACCGAAACTGTTAGTCGCCATCTTGTTCGTTTACTACCGTATGCGCATGCGTCTCTAGCTCTGCTGATTGTTCACTTGAATCAAAAGAGGGCGCTATTTACCACGATTGGAAAGTGAAAAGAGCACGTACCAGAGGTTTGTCGCGCACAGTCCATGTCCAACGAAAGGTGACAGTGACCCTAAATCATCTCCAGTGAAACAGTATCCCTTATTATGGAGAGGACTCATATCGTGAAAATAGGCCTAAATCTAACGAACCTTCTGAAAAAAGACCTGAAACTAAAGACTGGCACCCGGAGCTTTAATCATTCTCATCATCAGACAAGGACACAAGATCCTGTTTGTCGGGGCGAGTAAGAATATAAATAATCAAAATAAAAAGTATCCAGGAGGAAACCAGGGGGGGGGGATCTTCGTAAATTGATCCGGTTCTCATCCGCTATTTTCATCTAGGATGAAAACGAATTGTCATCTTGGAATGAAACTGTTCTTGTCATCTCTGTTTCGCAGATCTGCCAAAGTCGTTGGAAAGCTGAACGCTCGGGGCGTATCGTAGTTTAATGCACGGGTCGTCACGCTACGGTCGTGATTCTAGGCTAGTCTACCGTGACGCAGTTCCGATGAAACTGAACTTCAGCCAATAATGCCAACTCGTAACTGTCATGAAGACAGACAGGTCAAGCCAACCGAGTACCAACTTCAAAGGGTAAATTTTCCATGGTAACGTGTGAGATTTGATTTCTGTCATACAAACCACGGATAAAGTCATAAAGTACAATGCGCTGTGTTTATGGAAACAGGTCAACTCGTATTCGAGTCAAGTCGCCGTAAAATCAGATTAAATTTAAATCAAAAACAAGATTTATGCTGAGTAAATTAAATAAGTGAAATTCTAGGGCTGATTAAGTTTCGAAGCTGTGATTTTGTTGCCTTATTGATTCTCTTTTGTGCAAAGGTTACCGAGAGTATGAAGAGACAGGACTGTTTATAAAATTAATTCCGTGTTTAGGACTTGAACATTTGCAGATGAGCTTAAAGGGGATTATATTTTTACTCAAATGTTGATTTTACTTGTTCTCTGTTATATAATTTGTTATAATCCAGTTATTACTTCAATCTTTATCTTACCAACGCACATGTAGGGCTGGATAGCTCAGATGGTAGGGCATCGGTACAATATTCCGGAGGTCGCAGGTTCAAATCCCGCTGCAGTCAATTTCTGTGTTCATCTTTTTAATCATTTACCTAGTCAGTTTCCCCATTTACATGTAGTTTGTTTCAAGATATGTGTTCAAAAAGCTGCATTCTCCCTGAACGGTCCCTGTTCTCCAGGCGTAATCCCGGGCTATATGGTGGTTACATGGCTTCTGACTAGCGCCCTCGAACAAAGATTAATGGACAAATGGGAAGAGCCACCAACGCAGGGCTGGACAACTCAGTTGGTAGAGCACCGGCCCGGAAGTCGACGGTTCAGCTCCCGCTGCAGTCAATTTCTTTGTTCATCTTTATAATCATTTCCACGCACCTAGTCAGTTTCCCTATATAGCTTATTTCAAGATTTCTCTTAATTCTTAAGATTTGTAGTTGGTGTGATGAGTCTTTAAAACTCATTGTAAAACAGACACAATTCCAGTAAGGCAAAATACTATGAGTGATGGTTCTCAAATTAAAAACACGGAGTCTAGTGACGACAGACGCGTTACCAGTGTGACGTTATACGTCACTGCGCATGAGTGACACCAATGATAATGATAACCAACCTATTTGTTGTTGCTGCAAAAGACCTGAGTTTTTCCCCAATAAGGGACGTGTCATGTTTGGAACTATTTTGTTATTTTATGATATAAACGAATCTCTGGGTCAAGAGTATGAAATATGAGATCAAAGTGAAGCCAAGTGGAACAGGACGTGACACGCAGAGGACTAAAGGTTCAGATACACCTGGTCAGTGAACTCAGCAAATCACACCGCAAATCGATTTCGAAATGATGAGCAAAATCAAAAAGAAAGAAGGAAAAAATAAAAGAATAAGAAGGAGGACAAGAAACTAATTACTGTATACAAGGGAGAGACGTGTTAGTGAAGGAAATCTAAGCAATAATTCTTTGGAGCGTTTACTTGGACTTGGTAATCTAAAAAAATGTAAGAGGCGAGATGGGAGTGAGTTTCGTTAAACTTCTTTTTAAGTTCAAACACATTTTAAGGATTTTTCACGAATACATCAATTTAAATCAAGAAGCAGTTAAGCAGAAATTCGTTAGGGCGGGAAATTGATACACATTTTGAAGGCTGCCATCCAATGAAGTTCCTTTTATCCCAAAAAATATTTAAGGGAACAATTGTACTCCTTCGACCAGGACAAAAACTTACAAAATGCACCTGTCTGATGATCAGGAATCTTAAAAGCTGACCTTTAGGTCACTGCGCAATCGCGTGGAGAGAGAAAGTAAAGAATTACTGGATGAAATCGTAGCCTTTATTGTGTCTCACTTGGGGTTCTGGCTACCTCCTGGGTGGGTCTGAAAGCGGTCGTATATTCACCTTCTACAGGTGGGCCTTGAAAGGCAATGCTGGGTGGCTTGGTACAGAGGTGACCCACGAGGGAGTTCTGCCGGGAAGACAGAGACATCAAAGCCGGGCCGCCGAGCCGGAATGCCCGTCTGGGGTCCCAAGGGGTGACGTTACGACACGGTAATTAGAGGTGAGTTCGTTATGGGGCAATGAGAACGACAAGCTCTACGTATTAATGACATGTCGACGCCCTCACAGTGCTCAACTCGCTGCCATTGAAAAAGGGAGAGGGATTGATTTATTGTGTGGAAGTCATTTATTTGTGTTTGCCTTCAAGACGAAAATTTCTGGCGTGCCGAGTGACATATCTACAGTTCCGTGCACAGTGGAAAACACAGTCTTTCACAATAGTCAAGAATAAAAGCACTGTAAAAAGTGAGGACATCTGTCTCAAGGTGAAAATAAAGGTCATGCTCTTCATTTATCAAGGTTCTCACCCCAAGTGGGACGCAATGCTGTAAATATTAATATGGAAAATAACATAAAATCAGGTGGCATAGTGACTGAACGGTGGCAGAACACCTGCCTGAATTAGTCAAAGTTTTTGTTGAGTTACTGAATGTCTCTCTGTAACGCTGGAGTAACTTTGTTTTCCAAAATGTCATCAATGCCTGCAATAGCAATTCTCTCCTCCCCCTTGGCCTGTTTCTCACCTGTGGTCCCGGCAAATAGATGGCGCATTGTTCCTGATTAACCCACCGTGAAGTGACTCCTTCACCTACCTAGGGCCACCAGGGAGAGCTGGGGACCTCTCAGAGATCGGACTTCCTCGGGGCAAGGATCGAGATGGAGTACCCATCGGACCAAGATCTGACATTTTGGGGGATCCTCTGCCCTGTCATCAGGTCGACTGCTTCACCGCGTGGTGATTTGACCCCAGGTAAGACTGCTGGAAACAACTTCATTTACCTGCCAACTTTAACTTTTTGGCAGGGTGCTTATTGAGTTCGTAAGCAGATAAAATGTGCTTAACCTGGAGAGTTTTGCTAAGCTATTAAACCAAGGTCCAGGGGGTAGTTCCTGATCAGCCGGCTGACTGTCTTAGCAATTTTAGCCAGTAGCTCATGAACCACAGCTCTGACTGCTGACAGCGTTTTAAGTTAAAACACAAGGTCTGCTCGTGCCCGGACAATTGAAACAATAGATGAGGATCTGAGCATTTTCAATGGCTTCTGTGCATGAGGTGTATTAATTAGGCAGTGAACTTGGAACGATGGAGATATCAGAATGTGTCTCAGAAAAATGCATTGCGGCTGCCCCTTTAGGCCATGTGCGCAGGGGCATGACGAACAACATGTGAAATAAAATTGTAAAGAAAAAAAGCTTGCTTCCTCAAATTGTCACTTGTCCCACGTGGCCAGTCTCACGTGGATGCTGCCCCCTGTGACACCTCCAATCTCGGTCACGTGGCATTTGTCTGACCCAGTTTCATCACACAGACGCGACGCGGAGGAAGTCAACAGCCGTCTAGTGGCGGGAACCGGGAAATTAAACCGCGCCATTTCTGCCGTCTGCTCGCGATTATTGTGCACGTAAAATAGGGCAGTGATGCGACAAAAACACAGCTAACGGCCTGTTCTTAAAAAACGGACAGAAGAAATTGTCTCGGTGTTCCAAGGGGATGTAACTTGCGGACGCAATGGTCAAATTCGACTTTTCCTTTATTAAGCAGGTTTAGGTAGTTTATTCCTAGGCCGTGTCATATTTCAAAGGTTTGCGGGATGATGATGTAGTGGCTGCGGATGTGACATAGCTTTGGGCAATTTCTGGAATCAACAGACGGATGGTGTTGATTTTACACATTAGGCCTAGGCTATTTTAGTAATGGAGGTTTCTCCCTGGAATTTTTACATTTTATTTGGCCACAAACAGACGTGAGTGTACAAATCCCGAAGAACTGAGTGAAAAAAGTCCAGTGTTAGAGTGTAACCCTTTTGAGCTGAAGGGGGTGGCAAGTCTGTCTTATTTAGGCGAAAAGAAAAAAGATTACTCATGAAAATATCCGGGAAAGTTTAGCTCCATGTAAATTTTCCCCTCCCTGGATGGTCGCTGTGGTTTACCTCAATTTCCCGGGCCGAAACCCCGCCCCCTTCCCTTGACCCATGAGAACAAAATAATTTCATGGCCGTGACTAAAAAGAAATATACCTCGCGGCACTTGTCACGGAGAGATTATCAAAAAGGCGGGAAACAACATTGGAAAACAATCCAAGAATTATCGTCGAGAAACCCCATGTGAACTGATGTTCACCTGTCCCCACCCTGGTGTCACCTGTAGAGCGCCCTTTAGTCTGTGTCCCCATTATGATTCCACAAGTCGTATGATCCGCCGAGTCCAGTCGGCAGGCTCGTCGGGTTTGTTTTTGTCCGTCAACACACCCTTTATTTCAGGTTTCATCTGGAGTCTGTTGCACTTTTATCATGACAAGAGATAGCTGTACACAAACAGTGCTTTCTGGGGGCGTCAT